CTTCTCACGTTCTCACTCCCCAAGTCCAACCATTTCTCGCCTGGCCACCCGTCTAGGTCGTGTCCTAGATCCTCTTTTGTAAACTCCGAAGCGTCAGGCCGCCAGTCCTCGTAGCTCCCTGCGCTGAAGTAACATATCACTCTCTTGTCCATAGCATGCAGTCGTTGAATTGTCTCGATCGGCGTGTCGAAGAGGTCGATGTCGAAGATGCTGACGTTGGGGGTTGTGCTGGTCTCAGAGGAAGAGAGGATGGGCGGGTGAGAAAGGATGATTTGCCAAGTATCCGATACGGATGGTACCCATGGTAGTGTGGTGTTTGGTGTTGGCAGAGGTGTTGGTGGAGAGGAGTTGTCGTCGTTATTGTCGTCGCCCTGTCCCAAGGTAAGACCGAGACCTAATCCCAAGCCGAGCGCGAGTATCAAGACTACGATGAGAACTGCGAGAAGAATCTTGCGCCGCAAAGACCATGGCTGCCTCGGTTTGGGGTTCGCATCCATTACGTGCTTGTGTTGTTGGTCGCTAGAAAGAAAAGGTCGAGGTTTGCCAGTACGCCCCGTCGGTTGAGCTGCTGCTAGACACACCTCAGACGCGAAGATTCCTTTAACAAAATTCTCGTATACCTAAGCACGGCTTATCTCCAAACTTCAATGCGACCATAATTCATACGCAACAGCCTCCAGACCTATCGAAAATTCAATAGTCCCAAAATCTCATGAAAGGACGCGTCGCATGCGGCGCAGCGCAGCGCGCCGCGCTGCATATGTAGTTAATATAAAGCTGTTATATGTAAGACGGATAGTAACTGCATATGGTATAGCCCTCATGCAGTGATATTGCGGGTGTGGCGTGTTGCAGGAACATGCTGTTGGCTGGAAGATCGTGCAACAGGGAGCGAACAATCACCAACAGATGCTGTTTGAATGCTGTCCAGGAAGCAGGGTCAGAGTAGCAGAGAACTTAACCGTGAACACTAGGGAATAACGTCACATTGTGGCTTCGACGATATGGAAGTTGGTATAAGCCCATGTAGCGAGCTGAGGCGCTGCCACCCCGCCAACTTGGCTGCCTTATTCATCCATATTGGCGAAGTGGCTATGCAGGTGTGGGGCTCGATCAGGGGTCGGTAATGACCGCCTAAATTCCGCAGGCTCTCAGTAGTGAGCGCATATACAGGGTAAAAGCGAACAAAAAGGCAGTAGGGATCTTAGGGTGGAGTTGGCTACTGCCAAAACATGTACATTGAAGATGAAAAATGCGACAGCCGTTTGTACCGCGTTTTCCAATACATGCGCCTAGTTTTACAGCGGAATGGGCTTTGAGAACTTGTACTGCCTGCTTGCGCCACTCATCGATACCCACAATGTAAGAGGATCGCTTCCAAGCTGCTCTTTGGTTGCCCCAGTCGTGCTTGTCACAGCCCCTGGAAAAGTGATAGGTATCGTCGTTCCGCACTTGTTGCCTCCAGCTGTATATACATTAACAGATTCGATACTGGCGCCGTTTGCAGATGCTGTCCATGTCAAGCTTGGTCGGCATAGGTCGCGAGTTTGTCGATTGATGAATTGCTGCGCGAGATCATCATGTTTGAGTGTCTTGAAAGGCCAGGTAGTTCTATAGTGCGTTAGTCGGTGGATCTTCTCATGAAGCAAGATCTACATACAGGCGCATCATCTCAGCAGAAATGACCTCGATCCACGTCATGAGTAGCGAATACTGCCCGCTTTTTCCATTCACGGTGGTAGATGGAACGTCGTTGACGCGCATATTGGCCTGATGGAACATGTACCTAGATTGCAAATCAGTACAACTCTGTGATGCGGCAAATATGATTCGCTTACGGGTCCCAATGCAAACCGAAAAGATTGCGTATCGCGGTGTCTCGAGAGTTATCCATTAGATCGTCGAATGTTCCCTTGCCTGCTGATGTATCGATCCATTCTTGCAATGTACAAGCCGGGAGATCGCAGTTGTAATAGATAAGTGTAGCCCAGCGTGGCATGACGTTGAGTCCTGCATAACCATTGTTCTCAACGTTGGTAGTCAATGGCCAGAAGGTGTTTTGCTGGTTGCGAAGGACTGGACGCGTATTATCTCCTACCACGTTGACGATTCCGTTGTCCATCCATCCCTTAATGGCATCTGCGTTGTGTAGACCAGTGATAGCAGGCGGGATGATACCCTTTCCGCTCCAGCGTTGAGCAGCATCAAGACCGACCTGTTTCAGCCAGGCTTGGTTGAACGTGATCTCTTTCGATGTATCGGAGTACGTCGCGTTGGTCAGGTCGGCGTGCGAACTGGTTTCGAGTCAGTGGTGCAGAGACTGGATATACAAAAGGCTTACAAGGTATGCGAAATGTGCGCGAAGGCGTCGCGTTGCTCCTCGTCGGCGAACCAGTTTTCTAGTTCATCTATCTCCGCACACTCGAGGCTCCATGTGTACTGGGAAGGTGTAGCAGGCCAGATGTTGGTGCCTGTACCAGGAGGCTTTGTGTATTCTGGGCTACCGTCGGGTTGATCAGGGTATTCAATCGCGTATGCAGGATTACAAAGCCTCCCGCCCTCAGTCGTATCCGTAGAGGCCTCTATATCGCCATTACCGTTGTGTCCGATCTCTATGAAGAACTCAGACCCTGTAGGCATCTTCGCATTCAGTTCGGCCTGCCAAGTGACATGCATCGAAAGGTCGTCGGGCTTGGCACGATAGTTAACGCCTGCAGGTCGGTACATAGGCGTCTCCAGGAACATGTCATCTACTTGTGTGCTAAAGTAGATTCTCCTGAAGCCAACGAAGAGGCCTCTTGTAATCCAGGTAATCCATGCGTGTTGCAGGATGTTACTCGAGGGTGCCCAATCTAGGGCAAAAGGTAAAAACCATACCATCTGTTGACGAGGACCTATCTGGTTGACGACTGCAGCTGTTCCACTGCCCGAGAACTTGGCAAATTCCCATGCCATTGAAGAATTTACAATTGTCGCAGGGGTGTGGTAAATGTTCGCGATACTCACGTCTACATTGCTGTGGTTGAAGTCAGTATTGATCCGAATGTCGCGAGCTTCAAGACTTACGGCTTCAAGTTGGCCGTGGTAAATCCGGTGTTGTTTGTGAAGGATACCGGCTCATCGTTCAAATTACCACCGTTGCTGACGACCCCGAAGTCGGCAGTGGGGAATACATCGAGACGGACCATTCGCACACCGAAGTTGGTCTGATATGCATACAGATCATTCCATTGTCTTCTAGTAAGCGCGCTGTAATATTGGTCTCCATAGTTGTAGCCCACTTCGCTTATGGTGACAATGCCACCATAGTTGCCATGTGTAGCCGAGGAATTGAGTAGGGGAAGATTCGTGATACCAGCCTGGGGAACAGTGACGATCTCATAAGGAATGCCGTAACCCTGAAGGCCAAGCGTAGCGCCATTGATGGCCGATGTCGAGTCGCGTGCAATGACCAGGATCGTGCTAGATACCGTGGCACTTCCCACGTACGCCGAAACATGCTGCAAGAAGAGACAGAGGCATGTGAGTGCGCATGCTCGCAGTGACGATAGACCGGAAGACGCCATCGTGAAACGCGAAGTGAACAACGTGCTGACGAGACTTTTTTGTGAGGAACCTGGGCGGCTTAATAAAGAACTCTCGGCAGATATCATCTCGTACGCCACTGGGAGGACATTGGTCCAGATGCAGTAAACGATCAAGGGACTATTGATTTTCTCCCTTCTTAGCCTCAGCAGTCGGAGTTCTACCTGTAGCTCAACTTGATGCAGAACATGACGCGGCGCATAGCTCGATCAGAGGCTTCGAATAGTTATTGCCGTCCTCCTGGACTACTTCGCATACGTAACATGCCCTTATAGCCATATAGTCAGCAAGGGTCTTGGCTAGTCCTTGTACTTGAGAAGCGGTAGCGTTATGACTTTTGCCATGTGAGAGCAATGTATTGCAACGATCTCAGAGTATTACAGGACTCGTGATTTGACCGCACCTTTTACCTACCAGGCCGCTGGTCGTTTCCGTCTCGAGTAGAGCCGAAGGACAGATTCACTGTATGCTCGAGGTGTGCACGGCTGGGGTCCATGGCAGTAATTCCTTTTTTGGGGCCGTAAAAACATGCGTGTGTGTAGGGATATTGTGGGCGGTGCGCCAGGTGTCTTCTAGCCTGGCTCCATGCAAGCACGCGTCTGCCCGCAACCTGGCCATATTGCGCAAGCAATTACTGACCCAGACTTCATCTGCGGCAGGTGCATTACATTGCATGTGCCTCGGAGACAAGACCGACAGAGATGCCGTAATAGATGAAGTTTGATATTAAAGTCGCAGTGTGGAGAAGTTAGGCTAAAAGCTATGCCGGATGAACGTGATTGAAAGAGCGATGATGGGCATGCACGGACATTTGCTGCCGAACCCCGGAATTCCAGCCTCGTCACGTCTTCCCTCGTCCACCACTCTTGTCGCGTCATCACGACACCCTCCTTCGCTGACATCGCCTCATCGTTGAGATCTAAATCTTCTTTGACCTAGTCTTAATACAATCACGCTTCGCTGTTCGGGATAGATGGCCACTGACCCCTAGACGTTGTCAGCATTCCCTGTCATCGCTTTTGCCAATGCCCGGTCAGAAGGCTTCGCGCTGCAAGTCACTGACTGATGACTGCCGCTCCAATGCCATTCGTGGCGGCCAAGAGCCGTATTGCAGATTTCTGGAAGGATGGCTGCGCTCCTCCACTGCCGCTGGTCTTGCAGCGGTGGATATTTTGCACCGGCTAACCACCAACCATGTATGCTAACGCGATTCGCAGATCAACAGCTAACACATGACTGTATGAACATAGGATGTGCTGTAATTCTCTGTTTTCTTAAAACTGGCTTTTCATAGCAGATGAGATGGCTCATGTGCACGTTAAGGGTATCTTTACCTAGTCGCTGATTGTCTTGCTAGAATATCACATCCACCCTACTTTGACGGCCCTTGTTATGGATCACGATACGAAACCTCTGTGTATCGCTCAGTAGCTTGTCTCTGTCCAGAAAAAGAAAGAGCTGTTGCTGCACTCTGTAGAGCGTGGAGCTATCATCCAGGGTATCGGATCTACCCGCAGTGGAATCATACAGGAACTATGCCTGCGCCAGATATTCTCGGCATTCAAGCCTTTGACACTGGTTCAATCTTTCAGGAGTGGTGGCAATGGGCGCTTGTTGCTATCATCAGTGCCAGTGGGCTTGTGGGAGTTGTTGCGTTCCTTTGGTATTCTTATCGTTCCGTTCGGACGTTGTTGAAGGTATGATCTGAATATGTGCCACCCGGTCTTAGGCTTACAAGATTCTCAGGGGAATAACAACGAGCTTGGTCTACCGCGATCGGTACAAGAACGAATCCATCTGCTATCGCACAGTCCGAGTGTCGTCCGCAAAACCCATACTCTTCCCGGAAAACCTTCGTCCTTTGGCGTATACCTGGGCCTTCTGAACACCCCGATCACACAAGAGGAAACGCGGATACTGTCTCAATGGGACGTCGTAGTGCTGGATTATTGCGAACCCGGGGTCTTGGATGCTGTTGGTGATGATATTGTTCCTATGGGACCTTACATCATCGCGCGGCTTGACCTGGCACAGATCATCACGTTTGCGACGACTAGTGAGCTGGACATGGCGCGAGCAGTATACGTCCTTTCGTGGACTATCCAGCGGACTCTACGACAGCCGGACCAACGGAGATACTTCACTGGTGTCCTTGTTTCTGGATGGCGAGAGCGCATTGCGGTGCCTTTACTCAACGGTTTGACCAAGCTCCTCATTGCTTATGGTCTAGACGTCTACTTGGAAGTGGAAGCTCCAGAATTCCTGGATAGCATCGAGAAGCTGGATGTCGGATTATTCGCTGGCTTCGTTGTTCGTAACGGGACGATTATGTTGAATGGAGAGCGTCGAGATTTCTTCGACATGGACAAGATGAAGACAACAACAAAATCCTTTGTATCCCAGGCCTGCCAACGGCCGTTCCTGACGATGATGTGGGATACAATCGAAGACGATGCCAGTCTCTCACACGCCGTTGTTAGAAGAGCGCATATGTGGTGCAACTACCATGGTGCCATCCCTTATTTCCCACGTCGACGAGCTCTAACCGCTATGGACGCCATTGTTCATTGTCAAGAGCCTTTGGCAGCTTTCCAGTGGCTGAAACAACGGAAAGTGATGGACGTTCACGAAAAATATCGGACCGCACGAGCAGTAAGTCTCACTCTCTATGCCTTGTGAACCATCCGTTGAATTTCTATAGCTGTCTCCTGGTTTTTCGAGCATCATCGACGATTATCTCCCATTGCAGAAGATCTTTCCCTTCCTCGCCGATACGCTCGCCGGGCTCGACGGAGCAGAGTCGGACGATGACGACATCTCCAGCATATCCACAGACATCATACACTACCCTGAGATTGACGAGAACGGAGTATTGCTCTCGCAAACATCAACGTCGCCAACGTCGTCAGGAATGGAATGGACAATCGCGAGGGAGAAGCATGTCAGTAACCCACTATCTTGCTCCTACAACGGATCACCATACGAGTCATTGGGATGCTTTCCAATTGGATTAGATGCATCACGAGATGACTTCTCTCGGGTTCTCGACTCACAGCGACGTCTGCGGGATCTGAAACTGCTCAATCGACTCTCTGCTGCACAACTGCATCCCATCGCAGAAATCCTTCGTGGCTATTGTCACAGCAGTAGCCACTTTTTGGAATTCCTGCCAACGTCAAGGAATACCATCTCACAACTCGTAGAGGCACTGGCTCGCACCAATGACGATATAGAGGACATCTACCAGCTGCAGGTATATTCTGCGCTTGATTCTGGGTTCCACACACCGAGTGGTGCTCAGTTCTGGGCAGTCTGGGAAGTGGAGCCGAGGACTCAATCCGTCATCATATATGTGTCCAAGTCCGTCCAAGATATTGGCGCGGTTTTGCTCCATACACACCTAAGCAAACTGGGCTTTTCCAGATACCAGTGCTTCCTTGCAGAATATGGCCTGACGGAGTTCACTGCCGGGTCTTTTTCACCAGAACGACTACCCGAAAGGCTACAGCAAGATCTGGATCTGCTCTCTTCTTCGGATCTGCTTCTATACTTGCAGCACTTGCATTACTCAGAATGGGACCAGGATTGCTCTTTGCTTTCAGCCATCCGCGAACGTTGTGAAGAGTTGCTGATCGATGTACCTACGTACCACCAATTGAAGAAGCTCAGCAACATGGACTACATCAGCGGCGACATGACGGACGAACAAGTAGTCAATGCAAAACTCAAATGGTACCGGCTGTCTCGGCTTCCCACCCTTGATAGACGTGACGCGCTGTATCTTTTCAGGGAAGTCGCGAACGTGCTTGACAGCATACTGTGGTCGCGAGACTATGAGAAGTTAGACATCATTACTTCTGCCATAGTCAACATAACCAGCAGGGGAGATCTTGATTCAGCTGCTGACTTCGTACTTTTCTGCATCTTTTGCGCCGCAAGGAAAGCTGGATTCGAAGAATTATACATTGAGGTATCGGACCGAAACCCACTCTTTAACCAGTACTCAGATCAGAGTGCAGCATTTGCAGAGCTGTTTGCGTTGGGATCAAGATGCGAAGCGTACTTTGACATCAAGCCCAGCGACATCGGTATAATGCTGTCACAGAAGCACAGGAATTACTACAACCAGGAAGAACATCAGCCTCCTATGTGGCTTTTCAATGCGCCGTCGTTTGCTTCTGCCTACGCCGCAGCTCAAACTGACATCGACCCGGAACAGAAGCCTTCCGTAATGCCGGCTTACCGTCGCTTCACTTTCCTTAGTGTCTTCGCAATCCCGGCACTCGTTGGTGAGCATTTGATGCTGTGGCCGCTTGAATCTTTTGCTAACAGCCACAGACATCGTTCTATTATCAACTACTGGTCATGGGCTGTATCTCAGTATACGCATGGAAGAGGAGCAGCGATATTATGCTACGCTGGCGCTCATGTGTTCATTGCTTCTCTCTGGCGCCATTGGAACCTGGATCTCAATTGGAGGCACCTACTACCTCATCTCCATGGCATTCTCAGCCGCCAACATGTTCGTGCTGACTCGTTTAGTCGGTGGTCTCGCATTCACTCTTGCTGGTTGTCTTCTCGGCTTCATTGTCATCTCAGCTGCCGTAGGCCCAGGGCTTGGGGCGGTTTTTGTCTTTTACCTTTTTGGACTTACGACGTATTTAACGGTACTTGCTGTTCTCTCCACTTATCAGGTTCCGGGATCCAGCTTCTTAAATGGTCGCAAAGTCATCATCATGGTAGTCCCGACCCTGACAGTCTCTCCGTTGTTGACTATCTTTATTCCTCACTACGACATCTACATTTATCCTGGGGTCTTGTACATATTTGTCAGTTTACTGGTTCTTGGTACCCGTCACGTAGCGACTCAATGGGTGACTTGGTATCACAACATCAAGACACTCAACGACGCTGACATCAAGGCTTGGTACGTTGAGCGGTTGGTCAAGGAGCAGCGTTCCACAAGTGGTATACATTCTGGTGGTATGTACACAGGCGATGCCTCAATCCCAGAAGCTAATCCGGTGGCAGTAGATCAATCCAGTAAAGGACCTAGTACTGCGTCAAATGTCCCCGACTCTGACAAACCATCCTCGGGGATAACTGCCAGCGATAAAGACATGTTCCATGGTATGAGTGAGCCAGCAATCTTAGGACTTTGCCGTACAGCCTTGCACGACGCCGTCATGAAGGAGAAGGGACGAACCATCTGGCAAAAGCCTACGCAGGATGTCTTTGTCAGACAACTTGCAAACTGTTGGGATTCAACGCTTTTCTTACTGGACTGGTACGCGCGTATCACCGACACCAAGCGACCAATCCCGTATAGTTCGACTTGGAATCTTGAAACGCAGGTCGCTCTCGAAAGCATGCAGCAGTCGCAAAAAGGTATTCGACTTCATAATTCCTTTATACATTGGCGGACTGCTGGAGATGAGATCTACTGTGGTGTTCTCTACTTCCTTGTGGCACTGATGGATCGCTGGCTCGACATTATACGCGGCACCCAACAACCTGGCGGCTCATTCGCGGGATTACTAGGGTCCCTAGACGACAAGACACTTCGTTTATCAGTCGGTTTTAGCCTGGCGTATTACCTCATTGGCGCAGTGCTACTGGATTACAAAGCCCAACACCTCCACACAATGTCAAAGCAAATGTCTCCAGTCTCGATCAAGGACGCGCACGAGATTAAACAGGCGAAAGCCAACGACATGAAATTCAGGCGACATCTATATCTCAACACTTTATGCCGGTTCATTGGGGTTCATGTTTGGGCACTGGCGCTATGTGCTGCTCTAGTCTGGATCTTCAACGGCTCAGCAGATGGCCTCGTCATATTTCTGAGCTACATTGGCGCGTACAGTGGACTACTCCTCTACCAGTACAACAAGATCTTTTCAGGTCCACACGCACTGATGCCACTGCTGGCAGCAGTTGTTCTCGGTTTCGTGACCGGTAACATTCTCATCACACTGTTGCCGGGTTTTATGTATAACAGGGTCATTGCTCTTGGTGTATCTACCTGGATGGCAGCCTTTCTCTCGTTTCGAACTGCCAAGCTAGGCATGCCTGAGCTGCTCCGCGCGCCCATTTGGATATCTAGGTTCCTGCTGAAGCATGAGCAGAGCAAGCAGTCGCTGAGCTCGACCGAAATGTCTAGCTCGAGCTGTGTCGTATCTCAAGGCGAAGCTCAATCTACCATCGATGATAAGTACTATGCCTACAACGGCACTGGCAGCGATGCTGAATTCAGTCAAAGCGAGCTTCACGCCTACTGCAGCAAGCTGCGAGCCGCCCCAAAGGAAAACAGGTTTCGCGTAAATGCCACGGGCCAACCTGGCGACCAGATCTGCGCTACACTACTGTCGTGTACCCATGAAAACCTCTCCAGGCTTGCCATGCAAGCATTTCCGACAATGCCCTTTCTGATACAGCGTATCATCTTGGCTTGGAAGAGCGACAAGATCAAAATCTTCATTGTTCCGATGCAGGCTGTGGCTGGAGTGGATACCGACCTTCGGGCAATTTCGCAATATGCAGGCGGACGTCTGACGCTCTATATAGCCTCGGACGTAAAAGGCTCCAGGCAGACAAATGTGAGCAGCAACTGTGCAATCATCGCCGAGACATTGCTACACGCTTGTTCGGAGACCATGTTCGGTATGCCGCACTCTCAAGCCCAGCTCACAGAATCTATGCTTGCTTGCCGAGAGAGCGATTGCGGCTTTTACGCCATATCAGAATGTAGCAAGCGGTCAATGCCGGAACTGAGTGTAGGGCCTAAGGCGTTGGACTTTGAAATCGGATTCAAGAAAGACCTGTTGCGAAATCTATGCATGGGGTTCGATTGCGATACCCAATGGGACGAGCTTCCATTAGAGATTCGTCGACTCTTCCTCCGACGATGCGTCGGTACCCGAGCACCCTATACAAACACGGAGATGGCATGGATCAATGCCAATGTTCCAGCGGAAAGCTCATGTACAATCCTGTCGTGCATCGCACGATATGATCTTGGCGCATACCTAGCAATTATCAAGCACAACTTCTTCAAGAACCGAGGCGATCAGGCTCTCACCAAGAAAGAGTATCGTCAAATGACCGCAGACATCCAGGAAGCGTATCATCCGGTCCTCAATCGCTCAGCAGTCTCGATTCTTGGCATATTCACCGAGTATGTGCGTTTGCCCATCGCTTATGTCTACCATTCTGCCGGAACGTGGGTCAAATTCTTCTTCCTCGCGTGCATGGCCGATCCTGAATATCAGCGTGAACTGAACGGGGCCTTGTTACGTACACCGCGCCCGATAGCCAAACTCGCTACTTTCGTTCTGACGGGATTGTGGATCTACAGTCGGGCTACGATGTCAATCGCTTTACCTTACTTTTTGTACCATCGGCGCAAGGATATTGCAGGTCTTGCCGGCACTGTAAAAGGGAGTTTGATCATCCAAAAGAAAAACCGGTTGATCGTCCGAAGCTACGGAGATACAGAGACAGCCTTCATTCACCCTGTCGTAGACGGTGGAGTCAAATTGATGTTCTATCAGGGTGATCTGGAGCTGGAACCAACATGGGGTCATCTCCGAGTTACATACTACGACGAAGAGATGCGCATCACATTACGCGAGGAGTACAAGAATGGTACGGTGGCTAACGAGTTCGTGTACGAGTATGCATCGAAGCAGCCGCAACATAAGAGGAAGATCTCGAAGGTCAAGACAAGCAGGGTACCGTTGAGCAGAATCTGCCGCAGTGGCCAGAACGAAGGCGCCAAGGTCACATACAACCGCAAGGGCCACATCGAGTCCGGAAGCTACATCAGCCATGAAAACTTGGTCCGCTTCAAGTACCATTATCGAAAGAACGCCAAGTATGATGACGAACTTCTTCGCGCCGAGTTCGTGCTTCCACACATGTCGGCTAACGTCAGCTGGTGTGCACCTCCTGTTCGCCATGTCGAGAAGATGGAGCGCTGGATACCCACTCCTCGCGTCCATGAAGCAACTTTTGTTCAGGGAGCCGACGTGTACGAATGTTCATGGCTTTATGATCACAAGTTCCATCCAACCATCACCACTAAGCTTAATGGTGTGCCAGTCGATACCCCGGATATGATACGTTACGATTGGCTCGGCGTATTGAAGAAGCCAACTCGGTGTACATTTGCCGATGAAAACCCTTTGCTTGCATTCAAGTCTCCAACTGCAACCTTTTTCAGCCGACTGCTTCGAACAAACATCAAACAACAAGAGATCTCCACATCTAGAGCTCGATCACAACTCTGGAAAGCTTGGAAAAAGAGGAATGATCTGGACGGTGTTGTCATTCGATGGGTTGACGAGGAGCTGATTCGAAGAGAGGCCCTCCTGCGGCCATATTGGAGACGAAGAGATCGCGGTAGTCTCGTAAAGGCTGAAGACTATCTGGCCTTGCATGCAGACGCCATCATGGCCAGCTCAGATCTGACAAGCGACATTAGCGCATGGACGCCTCTTGCCATACGAATGAGCGACTTGTTCAGTTTTGGTCAGGGTGGAGATGCCGTCATTTTCACTAGAACTAAAGCATTACAGCGTGATACTGACCGAAACCTGCATGTCATCGCTGTCGATACTGGTACATGGCCAAATGAAGGCGGCGGTGTCTCGGCATGTCGGCGAGATCTCATCAACAACTTGCGCACGATCAAATGGCACATGGTGGTTGAATCAGCCAATGACTTTGGCTTGCCAAAGCACCAGACCGAAGAGAACGTCGAGTCGCTAAAGGTCATCCCGTTATGGGGACTGGATTTTATGCATCCAAACCACGGAATGTTTACCAACAAGCTAGATAGTGAGGTCGATCATTTGGTCAAAGCAGCTACGATATCGGATATCGAAACGAACTTCATTCCTACCTTGACCGCCCTCGTCCGCGGCGCACGTGCTACAACAATGACATCAGCAGATGTCAAGCAAGCCACGCGTGCTTTGGTCAACTTGAATACTTACTTCCAAGACTCGCGTCACTGGAAAGAAGTGTGGACGAGCGACATAGTCAAAGATGCTTGGCGAAACCTGTGGCTTGCTGATGATATGCCAAACGCACAGTCGCCTTCAGAATGGTTCCGTACTGAACTTCCAACGCTTGGACATTTCGATACGGCGTTAGAGCTGTGGTTTCGATGTGAGTCAGAACCCTCCCTGGACGGTGACTAAACTAACTTTCATAGATCTATTCATATTCTCCATCCCCATCCCCGAGAAGATTCCGCATGTGTTCCAAGCCTCGCATCATAGCGTCTCAGCCTCATATGGAATCGTCTGCAAACTCAAGCGAAACTGCACACTCCAGATCTGGGATCATGCAATCTCTTGGCGCGAGACCAACCTTTACCTCTCGTCCGCGATGTGCACTTTGCCGCCGTTCATCCGAAATTCGCTGTTGGGTCTGATGAAGCTGACGTCTTGCCTGATCCTACATCACGCCGACCAGATCCTTCCCTGCGCAGGTATGTACATCTTTTAAGGTCCTACAAACAGCAATGCTAACGCCATGTACAAGACTTCTTCAACCCCGGCTGGGAAGTGGAGATCGGCAGCGCAAAGGGTCAACTTACACATCGCAACGTATTCCGCAGAAAGGTCGATCCCATCGTCAATGGTATCACCGACATGACGAAGTTCTCCCCGGTGACTGAGATCAAAACGAAGACGCCGACTGTGACTATGCTCTCTCATGTTTGGTTTGCCAAAGATATCAAGACCGCTCTACTTGCGGCGGACATCATCACCAATGAGTGGGGTTTCAAGGACTACAAACTCGACATCTATGGAGCTCTCAACAAATCACCTGTCTACTCCTCTGAATGTCAAGAAATCTTGGCTTGCAAAGGTCTCGGACAGAACGTGGCAATGCGCGGTACGGCAGACCCGGCAATGGTCCTCGCGAACACTTGGCTATTCCTCAACTCCTCCGTCTCGGAAGGGTTGCCGCTTGCACTTGGAGAAGCGGCACTGACTGGAGCGCCAGTTGTTTGCACTGATGTTGGTGCATCGCTACGCGTGCTCACTGATCCTGATGATGGCAAACGATATAGTGAAGTTGTGGCACCCAACGATGCATACGGTATGGCACGCGCACAGATTAATTTGCTGGCCATGCTGGACGAGTGGGCACAGTACGCTGGCGATGGTCCTGGAACAGCGGCGCCGATCTTGCCTCACAAACCAACGCCCAAGGACGTAGAAATCATCACGCGCCGTATGTACGAAAAGTCTGAACATCGACGGAAACTAGGAATGATGGCGCGCGATATCGTCCAGAAGTCTTTTGGTGGAGAGCGTTACCTGCGCGAGCACGAGCAGATGCTCTGGATTGGTAAGGCCTGCTACGAAATGCTTGACCTAGAGAAGCGAATACCACCACCAAGAAACCCGGCGCGCATGTTATCACTTCGTCGTAATCTACCTCGGCAGCAACAGCAGCGCGACACTGCATCAAGTCACATGTTCGACCCGCAAATGGAGAAGATGATGCACCCGCGCCCCTATGCGCCGAGGCGGACATCGGCAACAACGTCGTTCTCCTCGGTGTACATTGACGAGCCCTCAGGCTCTTCGTCAACCTACTCCGACCCCATCTGGGAACACGAAGAATGGAATGTGCGTCACGAGTCGCCTGAATCTTCGGTCAAGTACGAAAACTCTGATACCGACGACTGGCCAATACCCGCAATCACTCGTCCAACAAGATCCTACTCGGGCAGCAACAACCTGAGGGCGGCGTCGCCTTCTGCGAGAGGTAAGCGGCCTGCTCGATACTCGTATTACGGGCATGAAAGCAATCGAGTCTTCAAGCCTGCCTCGGCGAATGCCATGATGGATTCAAGAAAAGCAGTGCTTATGCGTCAGAGTTTGGTCTCGCCAGATAGTGCGAGGAGTAGTGTGAGGATAAGGAGTCATTTGAATGAGGTGGAGCTTGCTGAATATGGAAACGTTGATGGGCGGCTGTGATGTCTAGTCCCAAGGACATGAGATGGTTTTTTTCTTTATGGAAGGCTAGCGGTTTGCATATGCATTTACATTCGTTGATTTTGGTATAGAATCAAAAGCACAGGGCGTATCTTGTTTTGGGAATTGATTCTTTTAATCATAAACGTGTTTCCATTGCTGGATGATTGAAGAAGATGTCGAGTTTGTGAAGTTGTAGGCCATAGTGGATGGATGGGTGAATGATGCATTGAACGTCGTTCTCTCGTACATGAGGCGCAGGGTGTGCAAGTCTTTGTCCTCACTCCGCAGTATCGCACAATCAAGGCTGATGGATCTACAACTCCTACCGAGAATATCGAGAGGGCTCTAGCATCCAAGGCACCGTAGTAATGTCAGCTTGTGTTGCGCCTGCTTAATCATAATTGTTCTTTGCGAGCAGACAGTATACACGCGACACGACCAAACTCGATCCAACCACTCTCGAATTGAACATCAAAGCAATTAAAAAACACCAATAGCATTGATCACAGACCAACAGCCTGGTATAGCATGGAAAAGATATATACATAAAAAGAAAGAAGATAAAATATCCACACAAGAAGAATCACTCAGTCGCAGACCCAACCATACTTCCAAACGTTTTTTTTACCACGCCAAAACCAATAGAAGCATGTGCGCATGTTGGATACACACTGCATCTACTGGCACTGCGAGTACCACTCGTTGCTCTTGACACACTTGCCGGAGGCACAAGTAGTGGGACCAGAGTATCCCTGTCCACCACATTGTCCGTACAGCTGAACGCTACCGCTGCTGCTACCTTCGTCGGTTTCGACATCTCTAAAAAACAAAGAACCAGGTTAATCGTTTGCGGCCTCGCGGGGGGTGGTATTGGTGGTCCGAAGGCCGTTTCTGGGGGGTTGGGGGATTCAGGATGAATGAGCTTACTTTGTCGTAGTGGCCTTCGCAGATGAAGTCTTGGTCTTGGTAACAAGAGTCGAAGTAACCTTCTTGGTAGAGGTAGGCTTAGCAGTGGTAGTGGGGGCGCCAGAACCGACGTCCGCACCGCAGGTTGGCAGCTTCTCGAGCTTGCCCTGCGCACCCATGCAGCTAGCGTTTGTGTCGAGCTTCTGGCTGCTACCGTTGCCCTTGTCAACGCCCTTGTACTCGCGGCAGACGGCCTTTGTGGTTCCACAGGAGCCGGAGATGGTGGCTGTGTCGCCAAAGTTTGAGTTGATGCCGATGAGGTCAGAGGTTACGCCAAAGGCGCGGACATTCTCGACAATGACTTTGCGGGGCGACTTCTTGGAGTTGTCGGTGCAGTCGCCGCAGGAGCGGTAGAGTTTGCCTGCGTTGACAATGGTGTAGTCTTTGATGGTGACGGTACCCCGGCCGCTAGGTACAAGTCAGACGGGGTTATCTCTATGGAGTTGGCTGATACTTACTTGTGCTGGATGACCTTGTCCTTGGCTTCTTGAGCACCACCTCCAACAATCAGGGCATCACCAGTACCAAGGACGGAGACGGCGTCCTCGCAAACGTCACGGAACCAGACGTTGGTCAGGGTGCAAGAACCCATGCAGTGAACACCCTCGAGCGAATCGGCACCGATGATGACGTTGGAGATGGAAGCGCCGTCCTCGAGGATGAAGACGGCATTGCTGCTGCCAGTGTCCTCGTCAGAGTCACATGGCTGGCCACGGTCAAACTCCTTGTTCGCAAAGTCGACCTTGCCAGTGATGGTGCTGGGCTCGGGGAGCGACACAATGTTACCGGAGCGGGTGGGGATGTTGAGGGTCTGCGCAGCTGCCATGCTGGCGACGAGAGAGAGGAGTGCAACTTGAGAAACCATGGTGAAGGATGAGAAGTGAGTAATTCAGCAAGGGTGGGTGTGGATGAATTGAAAGAGTTGATAGATCTCCTGGATCTTTGTAAGTATCGAAGGAAGGAATGAGTGAGCTGGTTGTCCTGTAACACTCGGGGCACTCCATCGCCTTTATACAAATGTTCCATACCCCCCCTTATCGAAAATGGCTGCATCGCCAACGGGATCTGAATACCAAGGTAGCCCTCCGAGGATGCAATGGAAATTGCTACAGGATGGAAGAAACCCCTGGTGTGTGGACTCTAGTCTGACAGGCCAAGGCGCCGTGTGGTAATTGTGGAGAATTGTTTTCCGCCCGCTGTATGCTGTGCTGGGCGATGAACTGTGGCTGTTGTAGACTTAGTGGTGGCTAGAATGGTCATGCTCACCACAACCTCCTCTCCAATTCGATCTGCGCTGCATGACGGCACATAGTCCGGATCTTACCATGATTCGCGGGATTTATATGGAGACGTTCCTCCGCACACCATGTAGCGGAAAAAGTAGTGTTTGGTAGTGCTGTACAGTTTCTGCTAGACAGATGATGAGGTTTTGGCGTTGCTGCATATTGGGGCAGACCTGGGGTACATTAGTACACAGCCACATTTCGGTACTCAATTCTCCGCGGTGTTTGGAAGGATTCCTGGGCATCGTTTTGTAAATAGCTTGGCGTTTCACTCAAGATATGGGGAATAGTTCTCGTAATGCAGCGCGTGCCGGGCGCGATTTGGCTCCCGTTTTGGAAGGCATGTCGCCATATTAGGTTTGGACAGCTCTGACAGAAGTTTGCCTGGTCAAAGACCCGCTATTATCCTGAATACGCTTTTGCATTGAGAACACTGGACTGTTGATTTTTCATCATGGTCGTGTATCTTGGTGTGGCACGACTCAGGGTGCTGTCGAGAACCTCTTGGCTGAGTCCAACATATGGATGTACCTGGTTCACCTCTTGACGTTGGAAAGACTTGTGTCTCTGCGTCTCATTTCCGCGCCTCCCGTATAGTACCATGACCGCACAGGTCACTGATGATTGGCTTTTTTTTGATCGGGGAACGATGCATGTCAGCGGAAACACCCTTCCAAGAGGCTAGAGCGCTTCAGAGATGGCGGCTAGAAGCTTGTACCCGATCCGACGGCCTTTGAAGACGTGTAGTGCGACTCGAGCGACGCGCCAACGATATGCAAAGCGTGGCAACAAATTTATTGCAGCAGGGCGAATACACTGGTACTTCCACCAACCAGCTTCGTATTAAATGTACAGCTACAAGTCGCTCGAGACCTGAATAGGCAATGTAGATGCGGTACAATTCTTGTGACCTCTTTCATAAACAAAAGCGGCAACTGCTTGGAGATCACAGCGCCAGATGCAAAGCTAGCGGCGCAGTGATTCCGCCGCTCAGGAATGGCATTCGAAATTAACTCGGCGACAAATCGAAGAACAGACACGATGAATGATCATAGATAGCGACACGGATGGGTTGGAACAGAAAGGGATTGCCAAGGCAAACAGGTCGAGCTAGCGGGAAAGTGGGTCGGAATCTTGGCAATAGCGGCCCACCGAAAAGTTTCCAGAAACACTACGCATCTACACAGCAAACTCCAAACACGCCAAACCGCCCAACATGTCGTCGATGCGGAATGCCGTCCAACGGCGCAATCACAAAGAGCGCGCCCAGCCCGTCGAACGCGAAAAATGGGGTCTCCTCGAGAAACGCAAAGACTACAAGCTGCGGGCTGCGGACCACAAGCAGAAGAAGGCCAAGCTCAAGGTCCTGAGCGAAAAGGCTCGAGACCGGAATCCGGATGAGTTTTCCTTCAAGATGATGTCGTCGCAGGTGGACAAGTCGGGGAAACGGGTGGCGGATCGGGGCAATAAGGCGCTGAGTATGGAGGTGGTGAAGCTGTTGAAGACGCAGGATGCGGGATATATTCGCACCATGCTGCAGCAGACGCGCAAAGAGAGGGAGGAGGTGGAGCAGAGGTTGATTATGGAGGAACAGGGCGAGGTGCGCGCTGTGAGGGACGGAGAGAGGGCGAGGCACGGCAAGCACAGGGTGTTTGTGGAGAACGAGGAAGAACAAGACGAGTTTGAACCAGACACTTGGTTCGGACGCGGCGAGGATATTCCCACTCGCAATGAGTCGCCTACTTTCGGAGACCTTCAAGACGAGCTATCGGACGACGACGACGAGCAGCCTATCCAACGGCCGAACACGTTATCGAAGAAGCAGATGGAAGCGCAAGAACAGGCACGGAGAGAAGCGAGGAAGTTTAGGAAGGACAGAGAGCGGGCACAAGAGCGGCACATGTCAAGGCTGCGGGCACTCAAGAAGCGCGAGAGCGAACTTGTAGCCGCCGAAGAAGAACTAGAGCTCCAGCGTGCAAAGATGAACAACACAGTCGGCGGCGTCAACAAAAACGGCGTCAAATTCAAGGTCCGGGAGCGCAAGCGCTGAGATATCCCTTTCCTCCTATATACCCTCGTGCCCTCGTAGAATACGAATATAAACTACAGCCTCGCCGGCATCCTCATCGCGCCATCCAACCTCAAAACCGTCCCGTTCAACATCTCGTTCCCCACACACTCCACCACCAACCTCGCAAACTCCTCAGGCTGTCCCGCCCTCTTTGGAAACTCCATGCTCTTCTCCAGACTCGCCTTTACCTTGTCGCTCATCATCTTTGTCATGGCGCTATCAAACATACTAGGCGCAATTGTCACAGCGCGGATACCATATTTTGACAAATCGCGCGCGAGTGGTAAGGTGAGACTGGCTACCGCGCCTTTACTCGCTGCATAAGCTACCTGGCCCATTTGTCCGTCAAAAGCAGCGGAGGAGGCGATCATGATGATGACGCCACGGGAGCCATCGGGACTGCAAGGCGTCGTAGTCGTCATGTGCGGTAATGTTTGACGTATCAAATCCAAGGTCCCTCTCAAATTGATGTTGAGCACGAAATCAATACTCTCGATACTGAGTGGCTCGTTCTTCTTGTCGATGATCAAACCGGGCATTCCCACGCCTGCTCCTGCTACCACGCCTCCGATGTGCTTTCCTGTTTCTGCGACCCAGGCTACTGTGCCTGAGACTGCTGCTGCGATGGCGGATGTGTCTGTTACGTCGGTTTCGAAGAACCGCACGCGTGAGCCCAGTTCAGAAGCGATCTTGGCACCGTTTTCGCTGTTGAGATCGAGGAGCGAGACATATGCGCCTTGGGCATGCAGGGCGCGTGCTGTTGCGAGACCGAGGCCTGAGACGCCGCCGCTTATGAGGAAAGTTCGGTCTGCGATCTTCATCGTGAGGATTGTATGGAGATGTGTATGAGATCAGAAATGAAGTAGTGGCTAGACAATAAAAACGTCGTGACTCTATGTGTACGTGGTGTTCAGTAGAAGCGGAATCAATGTGCACCTATGCATGTGAAGTTCGTTCCGCTAAAGCTACTCACGGATCTCGTGCCTCGGCCCATGAACGTCGGTGATTCGTGACCAAAAGCCCCGATGTGCCCGCTCCGTATCCCACCTACACCAGCAGTGACAGTGACCAAGTATACCCGCTCCCGATAATCTTAATCTTGCGCATCTCGAATCTCGAACCATCACCGCCGGGAGTCCGCATCCTAACGCACCACGCCCATTGTACGCCGCCACTCGCTATCCAAATACCCGGAAGCCTTCGCACACGCACCGTCGCACACCCACGCTACCTCGAGAAACAGCAATTCTCCTCAAAACGAGTGCTGCAAGCCAGCAATCCAACACCCCAAAAAAAGATGACAGACCGCATGATAATCGGGACCAACAAGTCGCCAACGAATCCCACACCACTATCCGCGCCACAAGAACAACAAGTAAAAGACCTATACTACAAGAATGTACGAGCAAAATGCGCAAAGGAGATTGAAACGTTTGCACAATGCGCATTGGGCCGGACATTTACCATGATCTACGCGTGCCGACAACCCCGTCTCGCGATGAACTCGTGCATGTTGCAATACCAGAATCAAGATGAATTGGACAAGGCGAGGCTGGAGTGGTTTGCCCTGGCTGAGGAGAGGAGACAGGTATGTTATTTTAACAACGAACAAACAAACATCTTGAGAAAGTTAGAAGATGGGCGGGTGGGGGCAATAAGCTAACGTTTTCATGTGTGTGACACAGGCGAGGATAGAGCACCAGAGGAAATTAGAAGATGCGAGGGAGAAACACAAAGAGTGGTGGAATCTGGATGAGTCGGGGCGTACGGTGGGAAAGGCGGCCGAGACGGTTAATGAAGCGGGGTTACGGCGACGCGAGGAGAATAGAGTTGATGCTAGTGGGGTTACAAGAGGAGGTGTTTATGGATCGAGATGACCGGTCGGTGGTGCCAGTCATGGGAGAGAAGAAAGAAAAAAAGGATGTGAGACGAAAGTGAATCTATTTGGCATGGTGAAAATGCATATTGGTATGGATTTCAATGCAGCCTGAGGATACCAATCCTCGAATTGCTTTGCAAAACGTTTCATCATGAGCGGAAAGCATATTTGTATTATAAACTGTAAATACTCGCTCCCAATTTTTTCAAGCAAAGAACAGAAAGCTTTTGGCCAGCTCTGGTATAACCCTTTTTGCAGCTCCGACTCCCCCCCAAAACGCCTTTACAAATGCTCGAGGTTTAAAGAAGCCCCCCGACCACTGAACCAACTAAGCCAAACGCCTTTTCTCCGTCATCCTAGCTGCTGCCTCGTGCAGTACGTGACTCTTGACTACCACGAGAACCCTCATACTACGAATTGTTCTCCCGATTAATCCCCATAGCCTCTTCAAACTCGTCATCATCGGCTTCTTCCTCCTCTTCGTCCATACCTCCCATATCAGTATCCTTGGCCTCTTCCTTTGTCCCTCCATTCGTAATAGCACCAACAGGTCCTCCACCAAACCCTCCTCCATTCCCAGCACCACCACCACCATCCAAATCCATCTCGTCGTCGTCGCCAACACCCTCATCAGCCACCTCCTCCTCGTCCTCCCACGCACCCTTAACCCCCCACCCCACACCCGTAAAACAATACCTCTCAGGCGGCAACCTAATCCCAAACTCCCTTTCCACCCTGGGTAACGCAATACGATTCCGCTCCTGCGCCACCTCGCTCATAAACTCTTTACCTAGCGTTGCTTGAAACGTGCCCGCCGCTCGCGCCCCCACAGCCGTCCTTAGCGCCGCTAGACTGACGCCCTCGCCCGAGTCTCCTTCGCCTCCTGCTCCTCCTGCTGCTGCTGCACCGCCGGCAGCGCGCTTCTTGGACCCAGATGTCGTGGGAAGTGGGGGCTCGTAGCTAATGGCGTCGGAGAGGATGGAAGACGTGTACCGGTAGGCGAAATCGAGGAGCTGGAGGGGCACGCGCTCCGTGTACGCGTGCACGCCCATGTTGGCGAGGATAAGGTGGATGAGCCGGGCGTCGCGTGGGCGCTTCGAGGTTCCCGGGTCGGACAGAGAAGTACCTGGAAAAGCGGGATTCATAGCTGTTGCGGTAGAAGTAGTCGTGGTATTAGGGTTTGTACCACCACCGTTTGTTTGGGATTGTTGTTGTTGCGATGGCTGTTGTTGTTGGGGCTGGGAGGGTGGAGGTTGTTGGGTCGGTGGACTGAGTGTAGGCGCATTAGCTGTTGCGGGCGGCGTTGAGATGCCATTTTGCATGTTTTCGGCGGCGGGTGACGCCATGGTGAAGGGTGGGTGGGTGGTGGTGGGGAGTTGCTATGTGGATGTAGTTGGGGCGGTTCGAGGTCGCGCGTCGGTGAAGTTGCGACGGACGCGAAGGCTTGGCGTGCGCATGCGGCTCAAGTTAGCTGGAATCTGGGGAGAGCTAAATGTTACGACTAGCGCGTCACATATCAAGGTCGTCAAGATGAGGGAAACATACTACGCAGTACTTGCACGTCCCTGAAGAACAAAGCAAGCGAGATATTTCGAGATGCTGCTGGAAAAAACTAGTCTTGATATTTGGCTGCAGACCCAGGACTTTACACATGGAGTGTAAAGACAGGAGAATATCCCCCCACATCCCTCCCCTTCGTCTCCTCCACCCACCCTCTAGATCAGTCATTCCTTAGTATAAACATCAAGTTTCAACAGACTCACGTGACCAAGATGGAAACGAAACATAGTCGTATGGATAGAATTAAATTCGTGACCCTCAAAAATTCTTCACACATCCCATCATCACCCAACGCCAACCCATGCCATGCTATGCAATCAACACACACAAAAAAAAGGGCAAATCTACCCTTATCCCCCCTCCGTCTATCCCGCCAACTACCTAGCCCGTGGAGTAGGTGATCTTTCTTTGACATTCAACTCCCTCATGCGTTCCACCGTCGTATCCAAGCCCATCTCAATCGATGGCGCAATACCCTCAATCTGCGTCCTCTCATCCTCTTCCTCATCATACTCATCTTCCACCTCCTCCTCATCTTCATACTGCCTATCAACGTAGTCGCCGCCTTCGATGCTTTCAACAACCGAGTCTTCCATTCCGCCATAATCGTCCCCTTCACCCATTTCGTCGAGCGACTCCCTACTCATATAGCTCGCCTCGAGATCCTCTCCGACTTCCGAGCCCATTTCGTCCTCACTGCGTATACTAGCCGCCTCCGTCTCGTCATCGTCATCGTCCTCTCCGCCTTCACTTTCGCTATCGGTAAAGTCGGCGATATCCAAAGGTTTCTCGCGCCAGTAGTTGAAGTCCGTATACGCCTCGCCGCCCGCGGGAACCAAGAGCCCGACGGGCGGGAAAAAGTGGTCTACAATCTCGCGCATACTGGCGTACCCCGTCTTGTAGCTGTTGAGCGAGAGCACGTCGAGACTGACCTCTGCATTCGAATTAATGGTAAAGATGCGCGTAGAAGGGATGTTGACGGATCGATAGCTCAACGCATCCGTAAAGCGATTTCCAAAGCCCGCGTAAAAAGGCGTTTGGTGCGCTGGCTTGTCAAACAATTGCATAATGTCTCGAAGACAAGCCATTTTGAAAACTTCGGGCTTGCGTAAATATATCTCGCGTCGTAGAGCTGCGATGGTGCGGTCGGGACTCATGATGACGGGGCCTTTGGGAAGTCGGTAGTTATCTTGTACCACGCCGTTCAGATACGCGCGCGTGGTGTCTGCTTGGCCGACGGACCGGGACGTGAGGTAGAAGATGTTGTACCCGTTGTTTACGATATCGGTGTAGAGTTTTGCGACACCTTGGTGTGTCCAGTCCCTCCCTATCATGTTCAACACGTGGCCTAGGGCATCTGATTTTGTTATTGTACCGTCAATGTCTGAGATTACGATTGGTACGTCGTGTTTCCAGTAGAACATGTATGCCTCACACTTGCTCCTGTTTACTGTAAAACTCATGGTGTTGGCACCGGGCTTGAGGTCCAGGGCCCGCAGTTGCTCGGATGTGAGACGCAGCGTCTTGGCGTAGGTTTTGGTCTCGGGTCTGGCTTTTGATTTCTGGGTAGAAGAGTTGGGCGAGTGTGGGGCAGAGGATCCCAGGGCGCTGTCCGAGTCTCGTCGCGTCGGGAATTGCGCCGTGTCGTCGCTGCGGCCGCTGTCGGATTGGTAGCCTGGGTCTGACAAGGCATCGGCGGATTGAAGAGCGGCTTCGTTGAGGACGTTCATGCTCGTCTTGGCCATGGCCGCTGCTTTGGCTTCCTCACTGCTATAGATCCAGAGGTTTCCATTCTCGTCGGCACCGATGAGGGCGCCGATGTCGTAGTCGCCTGCGAGTTCATCGGACAAGATGCGCCGGGCTATTACTTCGGCGCGCAAGGCATCCTCCTCGCTGCTCTTGTACCCCGTCATGTCGAGTTCGAGGTCGCCCGTCTCGGTGACCTTGTTAGGGATGTTGGAGGTAAAGAGCTTCTTGGAGAGCTTGATGGCGCGGGCGAGTGCTTCACTGGCTGACACGGGCGGTGGACTCGCTGAGCGGGTTGACCTGTTCCAAGCCGTGGCATCTTCCTTGCTGATCTGTAGCGGCCCTCTCTCGGGCCCTGTGCCATGTGCTTCTGTCCCCTCGAACGTCTTGGCGAAGCCGTCCTTGACCGAAGGAACCGTCTCATCCGTGCTGGCCCTTTGCATGTGGAAGCCGGACCAATCTCCCGACTTTGGCCGCCCAAATTCTGCCTCGGCGTGTATGCTGTCGGACGTGGGGACCGACATGGACATGCGCCCTCTCCTCCTGCTCACGCCAGCATTGTCTAGGTCGAAGGGCTCGGGCTCGTCGAAGGCGCGCTCCGAAGGCATCTCCACGGGCTTCTGCTCGGGACTCGCGGCGGGCGAGGCAATAGGCGACGTCTGCATCTCAGCGGGGATGGAGCGCGTCGTCTCGAAGACGAAAAAGGCCTCGCCCCCTTCGCCCAGCTTCATGGAATAGTCCTGCAGCTCGCCATTGACTCTGAACTCGACCTTCTTGTCCGACGGTCGCAGGATCTGGTACTTGCCGAAGCGGACGTGGAAGGGCGAACAGGCTAGGCTGCCATCTTCGTGCTCTACGACGATGGTATCGATGGCGCCGCTGAGGGTTGCGGGGTTGATGGAGTTCCAGCCCTTGGACACGCTGCCTGTGATGGATCGCACGTAATTCATAGTGGCTGTCTACGGGCTCAGCGGCCCTCTTGCGCGGTGCGGGAGAGGGGATAGGCGCCGAAGATGGTTTGTAGCGAGCGTCGGGAATGTACGTCAGAAGTGTTTTACAGATCAAGTGTGGTAGTGTCAGGAGTTTGCTGTCTTTCTTCACATGTCAGTGGGCCCTGGCTGCTTTCACCGAGGGAAGGAACCGGCGTTGTGTGCGAGACCAAGGGGAATCAGGAGTGAAAGTACTTTTGCGGTGATGTGCCTAGGCAAAGGGCAAGCTTGGGTATGCTGTCACCGCGCGCATCACGGGCCCAAGGACGTCAGGCCGAGATCATGGGATGCGAGTTGCCGGAGTAAGCGGCAAGCATTTCCAGAATCGACATCAGATGCGAGGTTATCTTTCACATGCTGCAAAGGAGCAAGCAGATTGGAGATAATTCGAGGCCTGCTTATATGTTGGGACAGCTACTGGCTCAACCACTTTCTGCTGCAGGGAGTGCGTAAAAGACATGTGAAGCACCTATCAATCGCGATGCATATTTTCCAGAAATGCATATTTTCTAGACCACACGACGCTTAAGCTTCCATGTTTGACAGCCACTGCCCCGCTAGCTTGTAGGAGCAAGCTGCAGGTTGAATGCGGAGGTGCAGGGTGGAGCAGCCAAGAAGTCGAAATGGCTTGTAGCTTCGGCCATTTGCGGCCGTGGCTGCACATGACGCCCGCTTGGATATCGCAAACTTCACCCACACACACTGATGGAGGCCATGTCTTCGTCGCTGTACTGGCCGCCGGATGTCGCTCGCTATGACATGGAAGCCCTCTTGTTCTCGTCGTCGGGGTGGCTCAGGACTGCATGCATCGTGTCGGCGCTCTTTTGGGTCGCCTTCCGCGCCTACCAGGTCCTCACGCAGCCTGTCGAGAAGCTGGTGCAGGTGCTTGGTCTCGAAGTCCCCGTCGCGCCCCTCGTCTCGCTCGCTGGAATCAAGGCAGACGGAGTGTTGCTCCACTGGAAACCGCCAGACCAGCGCACGTCTGTCCTGAAATATGTTATTCGAATCAATGGCATTGACATTGGCGACATATCACCCCAGGAATCCTCCATTACCATAGAGAACCTCCAGCCCGACCGCCACTACACCATCCGCATAGTCACGCTCAACTCGTCGAGCTTCCAAGCCCCCAGCGTCCCCATCCGCCTGCGAACCCTCCCCGCCGACTCGGATGACTTCTACGGCCCCCACCCGCCCAAAGACGCGCCTTCCCCCAGCGACGACAATGACTACACGCCCACGCCTATTATCCGCCCAAACAAGGCCCTCGCCGAGGTTGTCACCTCCGTCGCCGCCCCACCTATGACTCGCGAACACAGCAACAGCACCTCCCGCATGAGACGTCCGGATATCGGAAGGAGGGTCTCGCCAGCATCGCAAGAGGGAAGGCAAGCGCAAGAGGCAGAAGGCCCAGACTCTATTCGCCAGTTGACCGAGAAGTTGGATGCACTCAGACGCGAGTTGGACGACATGGAGCGTCAGATCCAGGACGAGGACCAAGAGTTTGTGACTCAGAAGGCCATCCTAGCCGACAAGCGCGACGAGAAGAAGGCTGCGTTGAAGGAAAAGGAAGACGCCAGTCGCGACTTGCGAAAAGAGGTGGCTAGTCTTGAGCGTCAAAACGCCGCTGCGCAGACCAGACGCACCCAGCAAGAGAGGGTTCTACGTCAAAAGGAAGCCGAGCGGAAGAAGCTCAAAGACGATGTTGCCAAGTGGACGAGGGAGGCGGGCGAACTCCGCGACACTGCCGAGAAGATCAAGAAGGAACAGTCCGAGTACCAATCAGCCTCCGAGAAGCGCGTCCAGGACCTCAAAGACAAGTATGCCGACGAGACACAGGCCAACAAAGTGCTCGAGGACGCAATTCGCGAAAAGGGTATTCACATCAAGGCTCTGGAGGAAGAGAGGCATAGGTTGGAACAAGGCCAAGAAGGCGCCGAAGCTACAGACGGTCCTGACAACGCCGAGAGGGAAGAGGACAATCGCTGGAGGATGACACTGGGTCTCCTGCAACAGCAATATGCTCAAGCTTGGTCGCTATACGCCGAAGCCGAAAGAGCTCACCAAGACGCTACAAGCAGGTTGACTTACATGCAGCAACGTCGTCTAAGCCAGCCCCAGCTCTTCTCGGGCCCACCTGTCCCAGAGATGGGTCCTGTCAGAAGGAACAGCCAACGTGCTCGTCCTCTCAGCATGCGCGAAGGACTTCTCTCCCAAGCTACTGGCGGATTCGTGCACACTTCGTCAGCTCCCTTCAACAGCATTCCAACGACCGCATCCCCGTCCTTCGCAACACCAACGCCTTATTTCAACCCGGTAAACGGCATGGCATTGCCTCCTCGTACATACAGTACTTCTTTTTCACAAACCGACTTCGAGTCCCTAACTGGCGGCGCACCTATGAGTCCGACTGCTGGCGCGTTACTCCCCGCCGGCCTCTTCGGTGACGATTTAGGACTCACAGAAGATGAATACGATGACCCAGGGCCACCCCAAGACCCCTCTCTAGATCCTTCGCCCAACATGCGTAATGTTCTCCCGGGCCTCGGAGCTCCGGGGACAATGAATCCTACGACACAGAATGGCAGCTCTCCCGCTTCACCACAAAGCGGGTCGCCTAGTGCTCTAGCCAGTCCTCGGGATAGCGCGGGCGAACTACAGTTTTACCCCAACATGACTAAGAATGACGATAACGTCGACAATGACCGCCGTTCTATACACTCGACCTCCTCCTCCTTCCAGATCAACAACAACCCCCAAGCCTCTCGTTTCGGCGGTCTCTTTGGCCTGAATCGCGCGCGCGGCAAGACGTTTTCTGATGACGGTCCTGCACTGGGGAGCCTGAAACCGAGTCAGAGTCAGAGCTTACCGCGGCAGGAACACGGTGTCGATGGTCTGGGTAACACTCACCGTCGTCGGGGCTCACACTCCGAAGGTGGTGCGTGGTACGACACTTTTATACGTACCAAGACGCAACCAATCGATTCCCTCAGCTCCCCTAAACACGTTGCAACACGCAAGCGCCCATTCAACATGTTTAGCAGCGCAAAAGCAGGTAACGAAGATCCTTGGTTGAGAAACATACTGGGTATGCAGCAGCCGCGTCCCTCATCGCCTGGGCGACAGGGAAGCACTAATTCTGGGGAAGGCATGGCGTTGCCGAGACCCAGTACAGAGAGTCAGACGCGGTTCGGCTGGAATGTGGATGCGTTTGGAGCAAGGAGTAGTCCATTGGGTGTGGATTGGAGCGTGAATAACACAAACACAACCTCGTGGTCTCGTCTCGGCTCTCGGCGTCCTAGCATGCAGCACACGAGCAGTGCGAATCTGATCAACGACGACGGTCTGCACGACGATGTCCTTGACTTTCCTTCCAACACTAGGAGTCCGACGCAAGCGCCGATTGGGACAAGACCGCAGAGTAGCGCGAGTCACATGCCCGCCCAACCGAGTACGAGTTCGCTGCCGCCGATTCCGCCGACGCCGCCCAAGCAGTTGAATCCTGCGGCGGCGAGCTTCACAATGTTCCAGCTGGGCAAGAAGACGGAGGAGGAGAGGGAGAAGAAGGCCAAGGAGAAGGAAGCGCGGAAGGCGGAGAAGGCGGAGAAGAAGGAAAAGGAAAAGGCGGAGAAGGCGGCGGAGAAGGCTGCCGCAAATGCGTCTCCGGGAATTGGTTATGACTCGAGGATGTCGCGTGATACACCGAGTATCATCTCCACGGCTGATGCAAGTGAAGCGGATGCTTCAGAGGCAGCAGCGAGTCCGAGAGAGAGTCTGGAGCGGCGTGTGAGCCACACTGCGTCCGACGCCGCTGGGTCCGTTGGCAAAGAGAGCTTCATGCAGAAGTTGACGCGAAAGGGCAGTACGAATCAGTTCTTGTCTTTTGGTGTTAAAAAGTTTTCTTCGAAGAGAAGTAATGCTGGGGACTCTGTCATTGTTCCTGCAACTCCGGACGAGGTGGAAGGAGGAGAAACTTCTAGTAGCGGATTCTTTGGGCTGGGCAAATCTACAGAGAGCGTTGGTGCTGGTAATAGTCCTTCTATTGGCACGCCAAAAGATAGAATGAGTGGGAGTATGTGGGGGAGTATTAAGAAGATTGGGAGGAACAAGGATAAGACGCCTAGTTTACATGAGAGTATTGCTAGTGAGGCGACTGGAGAAGGGGGGGAGGAAGATGAGGGTGGTGATGCTGTTGTTGCTGGTATTACTGAGGGGTCGAGGGCGTAAAGTAGTAGTAGTTAGTTGTTTCCTGCTGTAAAGCAGTAATGCTAAAGCTTTTTTTTATTCGTCATCATTACCACCCTTTTTTTTTTGTCTTTCTCTGAAGCGAGTAAATAGGGAGAGGATGCGGCCTGGGGTCATTGGGGAGGTCGGCGTCTTTTCTCTCAGTATCATGTTTGCGGAATTGTGTAATTCCCACTTGTCGTCTTGAGGCTCTCGAAGTCGTGTTGAAAACATATAGCTAAGATTAGGCTGCTGGTAAGACACTGAGGTTAGTGCTATGCTTCGGAAGAGATGCAAGATGGGTGGTCATTGGAGCGTTGTCTAGTCTTCGTGCTCATATTTGATGCGCTGGAACTCTGCTAATTACACTGAATCAGGCTCCGCAGAAGACATTCAAACTATGCTGGAATATATGGGCTAGTGCAAATGAGATGTTAAAAGAATGAGCAGATTCGACTCAGGCTGTTTTGCGGCTCCCGTGTCTCGATTGGAAATAGGTCTTACGTTCATGAGATGATTACTTGGATGCGGCACGGTAGCAAAGCTTCGGGGCTGACGTCAACAGCTTCCGCAAGCGAGCTCCATCTTCAAGCTACCCCGAGGCTCCTCTGCTCACCGTCTGGGAACTTCAACACCAGCTCTTGGCCCATGTCTCCGAAGACACGACAACCTATCTACAGCCGGATTGAGTGCTAGATTCAGTAGCGTTGCCGTGAGAAGGCCTGCTGCGGCATCCCCTCACCATTGGCAGACAGCTCAAAGTCTTGGTTTTTCCGACAACCGAGTCGACCAAACCAGAATGCGGTAGCGGCGTCAGCCCAAAACCTGGAGAAATGCGACGATCGCGGAAGCGAGAAGGTGCGGAGCCCCGCAAGATGATATCCAGGGCTTAGGTTCCTGAAAGTTCGGGCGAAATACTCCCGGAGCTGCTTGGCTGGTAAACATCCATGCTTTTGCAACCGGCTATATGAGGTCTGTTAGGGATCGACCAAAATAAAACGTTTGTTACCCCAGTCCGCCTTTCGCATTACGTCGCAATGGGTTTCAATACGCTTTCGTGCCAGCTTCTGCTAGCTGCGGCAACTGCTTCTGCAAAATGGATTGTACCAGGAGCGCGTTGGAGAGCTACCGATGGCACTCTTGTGAATGCGCACGCTGGCGGCATTACTGTTGATCAAGAGACTGGCAAGTTCTTCTGGTTCGGCGAGTACAAGATTGAGGGTCAGGAAGAGGGTGGTGGTGTCAGCGTGTACAGCTCTGATGATCTCGCGACATGGGAGCCTCACGGGTTGGCCTTGGAGCCTATTGAGGGCCACCCCTACATCTCCACAGAGGACATTATCCAAAGGCCAAAGGTTGTGTACAGCAAAGGCACTGGCCAGTACCATGTGAGAAATCCTCTGTGATCGACTGCATTGATCTCGCTAAACATGAACAGATGTGGTGGCACGCTGATAATTCCACTTACGGAGAGCTTCTCCAAGGTCTCGCTGTCTCAGACAACATCACCGGCCCATACGAGTTCGTCGATGCCACAGCACCACTCGGCAACTGGTCGCAAGACTTTGGTCTTTTCGTAGACCAGAAAGACGGTCGAGCATACTCGCTGTACTCTAATGGCGACCGCAGGGAAGGACGTGACGTATACCTGACTTCCTTCAACGAGAACATCACGGCTCTTGATGAAGTCGTCCATCGCTTTGACAAGTACGATCTGGAAGCACCGACGATCGTGCAAACCGACAAGAGCTACTTTGCGCTGATGTCGCACAAGACGGGTTATCGCCCAAACAGTAAGTACAGATGCTGAACACATGGCTATAATGCGTGCTAACTGATCTCAGACGTTGTTGCGTTCCGTGCCGACTCTCTTGCGGGCCCCTGGTCTCAACCCTTCATCATCGCACCATTGAACACCCGCACCTTCAACTCGCAATCAGGCCTGAATCTCCGGATCAACGGTACCAAGAAAACAACTTACATCTACATGGGTGACCAATGGGACTCCAACAGTCTCTGGGAAAGCAGATACATCTGGCTGCCACTTGAAATCGACGAAGAGAAAAAGTCTGTCGAACTCAAGTGGTACGACGTTTGGGACCTCGATGTCGAGACGGGAGAAGTCACTGCTATCAACGGCACAACTTACTATGGTAAAAACGCCACCACCACTGGCGAAGCGTACCACCAAGAAGCCACTTTTGGCAGCGACGGCGTCATCGTAACCGGCATCTACGGCAACGACAGCAAGGTAACCTTCTCCAACATCGAAGGCGCAGGCAAACCCCAGTGGGTCTCCTTCTACTACCAGAACACGGATGACATGGGCTTCGGCGACCAGCCCGGTGGCACACCCGATCGTATCAACGGAACGTGGCAGCTTCGCCGCATCTCGAGCGTCATTGTGAACAACAAGACGGAGGAGCTGCAGTCGCTGTACCAGAGGGACACACACAAGGGGATTATTTTGAGCACACCGCTAATGTTGAACTTGGAGGAGGGGAGCCACAATACTATTACTATAGGCGGTCTGGATAACGGACAGGATGTCAAGGGAGCGGACATTGATCGCATTGTGGTGTATCCGCCTGAGGAGTAGTGTGATGAATGATCATGATAGAGGCTTCTTCAATCAATGTGTTGAATGCCTGTAATTTGAATTTAACAAATATTGAAGCCTCTGATGTAATACAGATATTTATGGTCGTATCAATAGTGGATATATAGCTTTCAGCGAGCGATTGTTCGACGTTTGCTCAAGCAACCATACCTAGTCTAATTGAACCTCCAGGCCTCAAGTTAGAGATATCTGTGTGTGAATTGGTGTCCACATGTTAGGGGAAACGTCTCTCACCTTTACCCAACTCCTACGCAGTAGCATGTCCTAGTCGCAGACCTTCAGACAAAGCCTCGCGGTGCTCAACAAGCCACTCTCTCACAGTTTTCGGTTTCCTCCCAATCGTCCTCTCGACAAAGTTGTTAAGCGCCCAACATACCTCATTTGCTTGCTCGAAATTAAAAAAATGCCACATGCTTTTCACGGCAAACGGGCCCAAGATTGGTTCATAGAAGCGCACAAACGACTCCTCACTATCATCATAAGGAATATGGCCACCCAATACGTCACCGAGAATAACAGCAATCTCATGAAATTCCAACCAGTCCGCCCCATTATTCATGGTATGAAATTGCCCAATATGCTTCGCATCATGCGAAAGCAATAACTGTCCTGCCACCTCCGCAATATCCCTCGGATCAATGAACGGAACGCGATGCTCAGGCCAGATGAGCTTTCCCTCAGCCTGTACTGACTTGATCTGCAGGAAAAAGTTATCCATGAACGAAGCACCGCTGTTGATGTATGTCACCGGTAGGCCACTCTCGTCCAGGATTGCTTTGGCGATAGGATGCTGGACTGGTAGGCTCCTTCCGCCCTGAAGAGCGGTTGGGATGCGATGCCTGTTGAATTCGGGGAACATGCCAAGGAGGCGGATGATGTGGATCACAGAGTTGGATTTCTTGAAGGCGGTGACGATGTTGGTCATGGCGAGCTGTTCGTCCGTTGCGGAGGGCGTGATGAGAAACACTCCTTGTACGTCGGAGGTCGCGCGCTCCAGAGAGGGGAGATCGAAGAAGTTGGCTACGACTACCTCGGCGAGAGGGAAGTCTTTTTGCAGGCCTTGTACTTTCTCGAGAGCACTTGTTACGAGTCGGAGCTTCACATGCGGGTCTCTCTGGGTAAGGTAGGTCGTGAGTGGTTTGCCGATGTGGCCGCTAGCACCGAAAATGAGGATTCTCGATAGAGTGGGTTTCGTAGTCATAGACATCTTGAAGTTTCAGAGCGAATGCTCGTGCGGCAGTGGTGCAGGTACGGGGTTTTTCCCCTGGGAGGCATTAAATCTTATGAGAGGGTATGCTCATCAGTCTTGCTAACGATTGAGCCGATCGGCTGACTTGATGCCTACTTGAGCGCACCGGTGACATTACGCGCTCCATGGAAGCGCGCAAGTCCCTACTCGTCGCATGTTAGCCAATCAAGCCGCTGATAGGCTTCATTGCTGGCAAGTGTAACGCGAATGCTCCTGTGTACGACGAGTTCTCGACGCTTTGGGCAAACTTGCACAAATGGCCAGGAGTATGTACAAAACTTTAATCTGCGAGCTACGTGTTAGCAGGAGATGAAGGCCATGGAGTTTTGTTGACTTACCAGCATATTGTTCCATGTTTCTGACCAACAAAGTTGTGTCTTGCGTGTTGGTAGGGTCCGATTTTACCTACGAGATGCATCGCATAATGCTCTACAATGGTTGTAACAGCTGCTATGGCTCTTTGCTCTCTGCGCAACACTCATGTGGATAGTAAGTTGCAAGACTTCTCCTAATTCTTTCTCAATGCATTCAAGGGACCGATAGGATTCAGGTCACATCGATTGCTAGACACATAGATCGCTGAATTTACAACGTTAGTCTCCTTACAGCAAGTCGGAATTATCACGGCTGGCATGCATTCTCCAAGCAAACGAGATTGTTATTGAGATTCGGTATATTACCAGCATTGTCCTGATAGCCGCTCTTTCCTTTCCGCCTGTTGGTCGCTCGTGTTCTGATGCTGTGGCCGCGCTCCGCGGACCCCGCGTGAAGTTCTCCTTCGAAGGCGATTGCAGACATGTTCCTTGTACGACATCATCTGAACAGTCCATGTTTCACCTCGTACAACATTAAAGTTGTTATGGTAAGGATATTTCGTCCGACAGAATAGCATATTAGCCCCTCGGTCGTATTTGTACGATATTCGCCATCTTAGCTTGGCAGGTCGGAGCCTGATGTGCACCGACATACCGAAGCGGCTCACCCTACGTTTTGAGCCTCCGATTACACCTGCGCCTCCTTAACGCGTGCCGCGTGTCGATACGGGCTTTGCTTGTAATTGTTGGAGGTTAAGATTCATAGCGAATGTTGTTGTACGAAATTCTTTTCTTGGCAGAATTGAGATGTGATGATGCCGCCGACTCGACAACATTATGTACGCGGACGAGCTCCAAGCACATACTCTGTGGTATCTGGCGGCGTATATAACAGAGGCTCGATCTTTGCTGCGCTGCTCATGCTTTTCATGTTGTGCTATCCGCTCTCCTGTCCTACTATCCATAATTCAACCCACAACTGTCAATTCTTTCCTCACCATGCCATCGCCAGAGAAACACGCTAAAGTTCTTATTGCAGGTGGGAGCGTTGCAGGCTTAGCCCTGGCAAACATGCTTGAGAAGATTGGCGTCGAATACCTGGTTCTCGAGAAGTACAACAATATTGCTCCTAATTTAGGAGCCAGCATCGGTATCTTCCCAAATGGTTTTCGCATCCTGGACCAACTTGGATGCTTTGACGCGATTAGTAAATTGGTAGAAGGGGCAGATGGGTTTGAGCTCTTGGAGATGAGGAATGAGCTTGGCAAAACGATACAACGTCTCGAGAAAGCATCGCAGAAGATTCAGCATCGGTAAGGCGGACTTCGTGCGATAAAACATTGCAAGCCGGCAGCGCTTTAGATACTGACTATGGATAGCATAGCTTACGCGCCCGTCTTTATCGATCGGCAGATGCTCATCAAGATCCTATACGACAACCTCAAGGATAAATCACCAGCTCTTACCGGAAAGGGCGTTCAACACGTCGAACAATTTCCTGGTGGCGTCCGAGTACGAACGACAGATGGGAGCGTCTTTACCGGTGAACTCCTTGTCGGCGCCGATGGCATCCACAGCACCGTCAGAAAGGAGATGTGGAGGGAAGCGGATCAAGCCCGTCCAGATCACTTCCCCCTGTCTGATCGAACGAATACAGCGACCAAATACTGTTGCATATTCGGTATCTCGAGAGCTAACAGCAAGGTTCCCAAATTCTCTTCATGTAATGTGATGGGTCGTGGTTACTCATACCTCATTGCTAGCGGACCGAATCATCGCATCTATTGGTTTCTTTTCAAGAAACTACCGGGCGTGTTGTACGGCATCGAAAAGATTCCGCGCTATACAGAGGCCGAGAGGGATGCATTAGCCGCAGAACACGCAGATGATATGTTGAACGAAGAATTACGATTCGGTGAGCTCTATGCGGATCGGACAACAGCAACACTTCAGGCTCTGCCGGAAGTCGTTTTCTCCAAGTGGCATTACGGTCGCGTCATAACGATCGGAGATGCTGCACACAAGGCATGTCAAACAATATCTACATGTTACTGGTTTATTGTTAACGAAATCACAGTTCAATCCTATTGGAGGCCAAGGTGGAAACAGCGCAATCGAAGACGCTGCAGTACTAACAAATCAGCTCTCCAAGCTAGCTCCAACTGATGGAGAAGACCGACCTTGGAGTGATGACGATATCAGCGAAGCCCTCGAACATACATTTTCCCTCCGTTACGATCGAGTCGCCTCTCTGCTAAAAACGTCGCATGATCTGCAGACCTTGCAATCATTAGACAGCTTCTTCACGAGGATACTCGCTAAATTTGTCATACCTCGTTCCAGCCCGGATTCCGTTTTGGACATGTTCAGCATGACCGCTCGACCGGCCGCGCGGCTCGAGATGGTCGATGTCCCAGATCGACCACATACTGAATTGTATGATGACGAAAAGCCCACGACATCTGTATCACCAAAAAGAATGTCTCCGATCTTGACCTACGGTGCATTCACACTCCTCTCTACCATTGTTCTAGTCCAGCTACAGGCCCACAAACTGGGCCAAATTTGGAAGTTGTACTAGACTTACAGCCCAAAGTTTTCTGCTTTGTTACAGCCTTTGTACACTATCAATAGATTTTTGATTTAGAATGCGATACCTAAGTTAGCTCGAATACGATATGTTTCTGTCGTACTCATTGCGTAGTTTTAGTGTTGAAGTAACTTAAACAGCCGTTAGGCCTACATAGCTCGTGTAGCGCGCACAGACGTAATTGATAGCAGCATCATTCAATTGCAGTGCTCCACTCTAGGCAACAGTCAACTCCTTCATGATTCACCTGTCTCTTCCATTGACATCACGTATATCTTTGCATCGCCATGGATATACCGAAGGTCTGTTCGGCTCCGTTCGATCTGAGAGCGCCTTCGCTCCTGACCTTGCCGGCGGAGATCCGCAACAGCATCGACGAGTACATTTTCACTCGGCCCGAATCAATCCTGATACACGATGCCGACTTCTATTACAACAGCGGATCGTATGGGTGCGAAAACAATGGCCACTTCTTATTTCCCAAGCATACATTCAGCAGCGACGAAGAGGAGCAAGTCTACCAGTCTAAAAAGACGCGCTGCAGCAAAAGCTTGAAGGGTTGAGAGACAAGATCAGATGCCGAGAAGGAGAACGTGCTTCTCTTCAGACATGAGGCATCACTTGAATTATCCTGTTGAAGTCGTGTCGCCAAATGTACCACGAGACATCTAGTATCTTATACTCCAAGAATACATCCGTCGTCTCCCAAGTGCGCGAACGTGCTCCCCACGAAGAATGGAAGGCGTGTGAAAGCGAGAATCGTCGTGACTACCACCTAGTATTGTACACTCCGAAATGGCTGGCTTCACTTGGTTTCCAAATTAGACAGTTGAGGAAGGTAGTCATAGACGTGCCAGCAGACACATATGTTTACTCGGACGCAAAACCAGATTGGTTACCGCTACTAAGAGCTATCTGGGACGGACTTCCGATGCGATGCGATATCAGTTTCGCTCACACTGGGAGGAGAACGAAATTTCATCCAGTACGCAATTCTTGGGGTCTCATGCCAATCGCTACCCGATTGAATAGAGCACTTAACGCTCTGGCCCAAGACAACACATTACGTCTTCGACGTTATTCAATCTCAAGGTCGCTCATGTCATCTGTCACAATATCTGTAGGCGGCAATTCTGGCTGCGTGAAGTTTTACATAGGACCGCGGAGCATCTCACGCGGCTTCTGGATCGACGAAGCATCCGGAAACGCGGTTTGGCTCACCCCCGAGACAATCACGTCACCTATGGATCTTCCTTTACAAGTAAAAGACATCGTTTGTCGCCATGTGTTCGCGCATGAACCAAGGCTCCGAATTGTCGTGAACAGCTTGAATCCTCTAGGTTGTCACCGAGCCGTGTTCGATGTTTCCTGGGATTTTCGGGTGTCTTTCATTAGATCAGTCGCCACTGACATCCCGATCATTGTTGAGCTTGAAGCAGCACCAGCAGATATGGACTACAACGCTTTAGACCCTTTCAGAAGATATTCGCTCATTGCAAGAGCTCCATTGAAACGGGATCTGTATCACAAAAGAATGGCACACCTACCAGATCTTCTAAGCTCTCACGACAGCCTCATCAGCCAAATTATTCAAGAAACCGTCAGAGACCGCTATCGTGAAGAGCAGGACAATGACAGGACTACACTGCTAATTCGTGTCCCACTCGTCCGCCCTGCCAAACCTACAGACATCTGTATCAATATAAGTGTTCCGCTCAGTTGGCTCGAGGGGATTGGACACAAGAATTGCAGAGATGAGGTTCCCCTCGTGATCCAGCTCGAATACACTAACGGACGGGAGCTGTACTACGAGACTAATAACACTACGATTGGGCAATTGAAGGTGCAAATATTTCTGTCTTTCACGGGCATGCTCAATCGACATCCACGAAAGGAAGAAAGTGGGCCAGAACTACCAGAACTGTGGATTGATGGACATGCAAACCTTGTGGATCTGGCCTCACCATCGATGGGATTTCGGTCCAGTCAGACGGATTCCATGGAGTCTGAATTTAGCAAAAGACATATCAAGAGTATTTTGGAAGACATTGAAGCTCGTCATAGCTTGAAGGACCAGTTGTACTGCGTCATGTATGGTTCATATCCGTGCATGTGCCGCGCATGGAGATCATTGCGGCCATGGGCAGAGTCTGTTTGGAGAAAGGAGCAGTTGTAGATCGAGAAAGATGAACAGAGTCATGTCTGATACAGATACGTGGCAGATCGAACTCAAAGATGTTCGCATCCGATCAATCCTGAACACCTTGGATCAAATTCTTGATACCCTCACCCTTGGACGTCTTCTCCCACGCCTCAGTCGCCTTCTCAAACGGCGTGATTGAACTGATCAAAGGCTTTACATCAATCAAACCCTTCTCCAAAAACCGCACAGCAAGCTCGTAGTCTCCAGCACCATATCGGAAGCACCCTCTCACCATGAGCTCCTTCTGACTCATAGCCACAATTGGAAATTCAATCTTCGGCTTTCCAAGCCCAGTCTGAACGTACTTGCCACCTGGCTGCACAACATCTATACCCATATCGATGCTGGAAGTTGCACCGGAGGCTTCGATAACAGTATCTACGAGACCGCCAGTGGTATCAATGCCGGATTCCATGAGATCGAACTTCTTGAGTAGCTGTTCGGCATTCTCTTCTGGGCTTGCTTCGGTCGATGAGCAGAACGTCTCGCATTTGAGGTAATCGGCTGCAAACTCCAGCTTCTTTTCCAGGATATCGACGATAATGATGCGATGCGCGCCGAATTGACGAGCAACCGCCGCGCAAAACAGTCCAATCGTTCCACTTCCCATCACCACGACCGTTTCGCCAGGTCGCACATCGGCCAGCTTGACTGCATGAACAGCGACAGCGAGTGGTTCCACAAGAACGGCTTCGTCCAAACCCATCTGATCAGGAATCTTGTACAAAAAGTCCTCCGCGCTCCGAAAGTACTTCGACAGTGTGCCTTGCGTATCAGGCGGGCCAGGGGCGGCAGCGAAGCGCATGCTGCGACACATGTTGTAGACTCCAGATTTGCACGCTTTGCATATGCGACAAGGCATGCCTGGTTCGATGGCTACGCGATCACCGGGTTTGACGCTTTTGACGGATGAGCCGACGGAGTGGATGGTGCCTGAGGCTTCGTGTCCCATCACGATGCCGGTACAAGGGTTGATCATTTTGCCGATGCCGCCATGGTGCCAGAAGTGAACCTGAGTGTTTGGTCAGTCGGTTGGGATGGCTACATTACGGGGAATGTTGTCGTGGATGAGAGTGGTGGTGATGGTCTTACATCGCTTCCGCAAACTCCAACGTAGTTGATGCGGACTATCACATCGTGAGCGTCAACCAACTCCGGTATCGCGGCGTCTTGAATCTTCGCGGTCTTCGGTCCGTACAATACTACGGATGGATTTTGCATGATGTTGTTATTATTGATAGTGTTAGGTGTATAGCTTGAGAAATCACTATCTGGTTCAGGATGCGCAGAGAAAGACGTATGCGTATGTCAACAGGGCAAACGTAGAGCATCTCTTATATGTACCCTGTCCGAATATTAGGCCTGCAATGAGAATCGTTATCGACCGTAATCCGCGCCCCAAAGCGGGGACAAGGGTTGTAGACGCGTGTAGCTTCCCCGCATCCTGAATTCCATCGTCTAACCCCACATATCCCGCAATGTTCAAAAAATTCACTCGGTGCAGAATGCAGTTCCGATACTTGGTTGAAATGCTCAACGTACGTGAGATGACATCATCATCATGGGTGGGGACTGGCACTCAGAGTTGAGAAAGCGCGTGTTACGGCCATGTTGCTCAATTCAGGCTGCGATCACTTTGTCGTGATTCGACTGCTCTATTTTCTGTGGAGAAGATGCATATGTCATGTCGATATGCATACCGCTAGTCTCACGGATGGTGAGTTGACTGTTGCAAGGCACGTGAACTCGCGGCGCGGACGTGAGGCGGCTAGAACCTTCGCCCCCACTTCCCTTTAGCGTGTATCGCAATCAGGGTCAACGCAAGATGCTGATCGCGATTTTTCGCTTTCCGACACGGCTTAAGAGCGCGGCCTGCTCGTAAGCTCTATGGTTTGCTCACTTCCGAGGAGTTTGCTCAAGACTTGTTCTGCAATTATCATTTTGTTTGTCAGCTTTCCATAAATCTCCAGATATAGGAAGGTACATCATCATAAGCAACATGGCGCCCAAATCATGTGCTAACTGCAAGAAGACAGCCGCTGATTGTGGCCTGGCAAGCCTCCAGCAATGTTCCAAATGCAAGACAACAGATTATTGTGGCCGCGATTGCCAGAAGGCCGATTGGAAGACATACAAGAAGATTTGCGCACAACAAGCCAATGCTAACGCCGGATTCCCGCCAAACACAACCCACAGCACCAACTACTCAGCACCCCGCATGAAGTCCCTTGAGCAGCACGTGCCAGATCCGTTTACGCGACTAGATGATGGCAAGTATCTGCACGACCGTCCAGAGACAGATGTCTATCGGCTACTCATCGATGCATTCCGTATGCGCTCTGAGGATGGTATGAAGCTTGAGAACAAGCCTACGCCCAACAGCATTTACACCGGGAACCCTTCGAGCATCGAACCATTCAAGAAGTTTCTTGATCAGGCGGCTACCAGGAGGGATTTGCTGCCTCCATGGTGGGATGTTGGACACCGTGCCGAATGCGAAAAGTTCGCTGAGAGCGGCGAATGGAACGACGTACGGAACAAGGTTACAAAAGCCCAGATGGTTGAGCACTATGGTGATGAGAAGGCACCGATGCAATTGAGGATGTTGGCTGAGGCAGTGTACGGTGTGGGATCGATGGGCCAGAACGGCGCAGGGATGCGCAAGATGATGCGTTCCATGGAGTCAGGTGGTCCTGGAAACGGTAACGTTATGAGCATGATGGACATTAGCAGGATGATGGGTGGCAGTGGCCGCTAAGCGTTTGTTTGAGCTGACGTTGACACATAAACTTCTATGCATCTCTGTACAAGACCGTTTGAATGTCCCCTGCGTTCGTCGCAAAAGCCGACTTATACAATCATCAAAGGGTGCAGCTCATAATTTCGTACTGTGATAGGAGAAGAATCCAAAGCGAGGGCTGATATGGGAAGTGGATATTGTAGGGCAAAGATGAGTGTAGACGTGCATACCTAGGTAGCGGATGCGATACAGACGCGTCTAGCTTGTGGAGAGGAAGGACACGTCCCTCGAGTGAAGACCTTGGCAGGGAAGGGGCACCGAGATCTGATAGCACGTGTCTGGCAAGCGCTTAGTAAGAACTGTTTGTTCTCTTACACATTCCCACAAATTGCAATACAAATCCACCGCTCGTTATCATGGATCCGTGGAAAATCACATTTATTCGTAACTACAAGACAGACAGCAACTTATTGAAATCATCAAAGACATCGTTGGCAAATTGTTCGGCCACCTGATCCTTTTCCTCTGTCTGAATCTGGTCGTTTCCGGGTTGAAAGACACCGGATATACATCTGTACACCAGGTTTGCCATAGTTTCGCCTGCCCTCTTCGCCACTAGGCTCTGGGCCATGATCTCCAGGGTTTTCTTCGTGTGCTCTGCATTATACGTATATAATTCTGCCTCCGACGGGCCACCGTCCTCTTCATCTTCTGCCTCACCAGGAAAAGACTGGTGGAAGCCCAGAGATTTGAATGCATGTCGATACGCATCTGAGATCATTTCATCTGCCAGCTCGTCTTCACCTTGTCGAATGAGGGTATCCCAGGTGAGCAACTCGAGCATGCATACACCAAGGCTATAAATATCGTGATCGATGTTATAGCTTTCCTTGGCTCGATTGTCTTCGACGCGGCGTTTTGGGTGTTGGTAAATCACCTTCGATGCTGTCGTCTCGCCGATTAGAGTTGTGGCTACGCCCTCAATGAGACGTGCATTCTGCCACCCAGCCAGAAATAACGAGGCCTCTTGAATAGCGCCGTTTGAGGCTCTCTCGAAGTTTACCAGAAGATTGCCTGGGCGAATGTGCTTATGTACCAATCCCAACTTGTGTGCCTGAAGCACAGCAACGGCTAGCTGACTGCAAAGTCGAACTCGGATATTGAGGGTGGGCTCCGGGCTTCCGTCGGTGTATATTCGACTCAAGCTCGCCAGCTCCTTGTCTGGACCTGGATGAGAGAAAATTAGTTGTACCGATTGGTCGGTCTCATCATCACGGTATCCTATCAAGTGAAGAATGTTCCAAGCTGAGAGCGCAGGGCTTAACTTGGTTGACAGTATACGCGCGCTTTCGAGTAAGGCTTCTCTTGGCTGGGTTCCATAATATCTTTTCTCAAGCACGACTTCCTGCATGACCATAGCGCCCTGTCCAGGTGCGATATAGGATGCTTTGCTCGTGAAAGAAGTCTCCCCGTTTTGGACGAATTTAGGCTTCACACCCACAAAGGAGAAATCCTGACGACTGAGAAGGAATGAAGAATCGGTTTGTACAATGGCTCGCAGGCCTATGACCTTTTGATGAAAGCTGGATATCCTTTCGTCAAGACTAGTGACCTTGGACTTGAGTTCTCGGAAAGCTGATCCCCGATGCAGGACGTAAGGCTTTTTCTCAAGCTTTATCACTGCATCTACTGCACTGGGTATGGCCTCTAGGAGTTCGTTCAGTCGCTGGAAATTTGCCGCGAGTTCGAGTGCCTCGTTCCTGCTCCGAGTCCTGTCTCTCACGATTGTTTGGGCCAGCTCCAACGCTATTTTGAGCGTTCCTCGTCGCTCCGCGAGTCCGAATGACTTCAGTCGTTTTGCCAGGACATCAGATTCTCGATGTTCCTGCCTTTTCTTGTCGATGTCGTCCCATATATCTAAGACAGTTTTCACAAACCCCACGGCACCCATAGCGAAAGCAACAATTTCGAGACCGGACATTCTGTACGTGAGTTTTACGTATTTGGAGGTGGGGACGGCGACGAGAATTTCTTGTAGATCAAGCAGAGTCAATGAAAATGAAGTGGATCTGGGTCGCCACGGAGATGATGAGGATGACGGATCCCTACTCGGTTTCAGCCGCACTTTCCCCGCAGCTATGCCCAGTTGGCTACCTGAGCTGAACTGAGCTGAGCTGACAACCGATGCGGCCCCACGGCCCGCCCGCTCATAGAACATGCTAGCTTCACGCCAGTCTTGACTAGCACTGGCGTTGTTCTGCCCCGCTTGCAGCTCACCAAACTTGCAGAGAAACATCAAGTTTCACTCTTCAGATCCTTGACCTGCTTGCGTCTCTTTATCACTTCCATGATGGAGACCTCGATGCTTCCGCCAGATTATCAGCAGGCGATTGGATGGCTGCAAGCACCTCCAGAGGGTCGGATGATATACGAACGTCATCTTGTTACATGTCCTCCCGGTACCACCAACTGGATCTTTGAAGACAGGAGATATCAAGATTGGTTGCAATCCACGGGACGAAGTACACTATGGATATTTGGGCCACGTGAGATTCCTCAAATTTCGACGTCCTGGGTCTAAGGCTAATTCCTAACTACTCACAGCGGGATGTGGCAAGTCGGTGCTCAGGTCCGTCCATCCAAAAACTGCTCGCTAATGTAATGCGCACCATTTTCTCACAAAGATCTACAGTGCATCTGTAGTCGAGCATCTACTCAAATCCAGTTCAGAGAGAATAGGACTGGCTTACTTCTTCTTTTCCTGGAACTATGAGCTTGACCCCGTCGTTGCTCTTTTTTCTGCTCTACTCTCTCAGCTATGGATCCAAATAGCGACAAGGGTGAATGGCATAGAAGAACCTCCGGTCTTCGAGGAGCTCGACCTTGGGAATCGACCTACAGTTGACGAAGTTTTCGGCCTGCTGATTAAAACGCTCTCTGTTTTCGATCGCGTATCTGTGGTCATTGACGGCTTGGATGAATGTCGACCAGATGACCGTCCCTCATGTCTTGAGCTAATCAACCGTTTGCGTCTAGAGCATCCGGACAAGCTTTACATCCTGATCACGAGTCGGCGCAATCTTGACATAGAGGAAGCTCTGAAGACATCGACACCAAGTTCGATGATCTCGTTCCAGAATCACATGACCGACCACAATATCTCGTCAATAGCTTACGAGAAGTTGCTCGACAGTATTCCCGTCGAACAGCATCCATTGGCAAAGTCGGCCCTCAGTTGGCTGACGTTCGCATTAGAGCCGCTGTCTGTCGAAGCATTAGCGGAAGCTGTTGCTCTACGCGAACATGACCTCGAACATGATCTCAAGATACGGGCTCACGATCCACAATCTCTTTTGGCAATTCTAGCCCCATTTGTTTCTCCGCGACCAGATCCATCGATTCGGCTGGATCGAGACCTGCTGAATGCTCTTTCCTCGGGTATCATCACCAAAGATGCTCTAGGAACTTTCTATACGAATCAGGACGAAGTTCGGTTGTATATGGCCGAATGCTGCATACAGTACGTCCTGCTCTATGCAAGATCGGAGGCCCGGGAAGGAAACACGAACGATCTGTCCACTTTTCCCTTGCTGCAATACGCTAGTAAACACTGGATACCGCACCTACGACAGCTTTGGGAAGTATACACGAAGGAAGAGCAGAGTAATATTGAGCAACTTACTCTGAGACTTCTCTCTGATGACGAATCACTTGATTGCTGCTTATCGGTCTACGACCCGCAGGATCCCGGTCGGGAGCCATTTACAGCTCTTTCAAACAGAGATGCAGCCATATTTTACGCAGTTCGGACAGGTATGGAAAGCGTGGTTACCGCTCTCCTTGAGAGTGATGCTGCGAACAACGAGTGTGACGACCTCGGTCGTCAACCATTACACATAGCCGTCGAAAATGACGATGCTCACATTGTTAAGGTGCTAGTCCAACACCATGCGAGTACTACTGCGGAGAATGAGTGTGGCGAAACGCCCCTTTCAATTGCTGCACTCTCAAACTCGAGCTCTGAAACACTTGACATATTGCTCCAACACACAGAACTACAAGTTTTGTCCAACTTGAACGTGAAAGGAGCGCCTTTTATACGCGTCGTTACGCAAAAAAGCACCGGCCAAGTGTTAGGCAAGCTTATCTCCCACCTCGGATTATCGGTGGAGGAGCTAAATCAGAGAGACGAAGATGGCCGGACGTTGTTGCATTTCGCTGCTGAATGGGGAAATACATCGACAATATCTACTCTTCTGGAAGCAGGTGCTGATGCGAATGTGGGAGATAAGGAGGACGACAGGCCTTTGCATCTTGCGGTTCGGTTTGATCAAGAAGAAGCAAGAGAGAGGCTGATTGCTGGCAATGCTGACCCGACACTCTTTAATTTGAAGAAAGAGACCCCTCTTGCAGAGTCGTGGACACGAAAATCGCTGGATTGGAATTCTTATCAAGTGGACATGGGGCTTGAAGCAAGCTCAAACATGAGTCGACCGTCACAAGCAGCCTGTCATATTTTGTCAAAGCAAGGGGATTGTCAGGGGCCACAAGTAAGTCTATAATCCAAACCTTTGGGATTGCCACAGGCATGAATTGATTTCTCCAAAGATAATCTTCTCCAAAACCTACGATTGGTCTCATCTTGACGGCAATGAAAACAGAAAGGCCGAGCGGAAAACTCTTCTACTTTCTCTGATGCGCGAAAAGAAGTCTCTCCAGCGCCTAGACCACCCCTTCATTGTCTCGTATCTGGGCTTTATCCAACTAGAGCAGAAGAAGTCCAAATATAACTTGTATCTGGAATATTGCGACGGTGGGGACTTAGAAACAAGGCATATTAACAGGACACAACAAAATGAAGGGCCCGCGAGCGATGACGAAGAAGACGAAGCGCTCCTAGCTGAAGCAGGTATACAAGACTCATCTGACACGACTAGCCCGGATGAAAACCCTCCCACGTCCATGAAGGCGGTAGAGCGCCAAGCCTTGGATGAAGACGCTGTCTGGACCTTGATGTACCAGCTATTTGCCGCTTTAGCCTATCTCCATTACGGCATCTCGATCTCAAAAGAGGGGGCCTGTCGCGTTGAGCATCACTGGGACACTATGTTGCACAGAGACATAAAGCCCCATAACAGTAAGAAAACATCCGAGATGATCATTCGCGGACTATTTTTCGTGTTCTAACCAGGCTCTGCACAAAGTCGTCCTGAAATCTGGGCCAAACGGCCAGCGAATCGCGAAGTTATGTGACTTGGGACACGTTCGTAACTGGAAAGCCGCCGGCCCGATGACCGTTCCCACATACAGAGGCACACGCGAGTATTGGCCACCAGTAAGCTTCGATAATGTCTCGGTCGCCGATAAGACGAGCTCATACTGATCTATTTTAGGAAATCCAAGGTGCCAGTCTCTCACTAGAGGAGCGGCACCGTCAATGGTCTACGAAAGGCGATGTCTGGTGCCTTGCAAGTTAGTGTTTTCGAGGCCCATAGCTTGATTTTTGCTCTGACAGTCTATCTCAGAGTCTCTTATAGAAGTCGAAAAAGATTTCTCACCTGGTCCTGGGATGCTAGAGGTTTTCGAAGGATGCTCAGTCGAGCTCCCAGAAAGGCGATGGAGCAGTCTCTCCGCATTGGAACACATCCACCAGTACCGAAATTTCTTGCGTGAGCCTTTCACATCCTTCGAGAAGTTACTAGGCGGAAAGCCACCTGGATACGAGTATCAAGCTTTCCTTCAGATAATGCCCATACTGGACACCTTCGCGCCCTACACGCAAGTCACCAAGACACAGCGAAGGAAACTACTGGATAGACTTACATTGCTTTTGAAGGATGGTCCAGGAGCCATGCATACTTTTCAAACAAACTCGCGATCGTTGCACCTTGCGGTCTTACTGAATGAGGAAGATCTGCTGAAGCGGCTGCTCTCTAGTGATGGACAACAGAACCCTGACGAGCCATGGCCGAAATCTAAGTGGACAGCTCTTCATCTTGCCGTCCAGCAAAACAAACTGGAGTTTGTCGAATTGCTCCTAGAAGCTGGTGCCAACGTGAACTTGGAGGACATGCACCAAATGAAGCCTCTGTTTTATGCAATAACAGAGGGCTATAGCGATATCGAATGGCGGCTGCTGTCACCCACTAAGGAAAGACTATCTCGGTCGTCAATCTCTCTTTCCACATCAAAGGAAGATGTTCAAAGAAGAAAGCATAGGTCAAGAGCTGTACAGGCCTATCGACAATCGTGGAGAAGATATCCTACCATCCTGTTCCCTTGGAGGATGAAGCGTAAGGTTGCAGCAGCGCCATCTGTGACCTGAGCGAGGTCAATAATGCACAGTCTCTTCCCAAGCATAAGGGCGCTTGGTTGGAATCGATCCAGGAGATGGCTCCGGTCTTTGTGGTACTTGTGCTGTACAACATAGTTTCAGAGATGGGGTCAAGAAGAAATGTAAAAGAACCATTCTCGATGGAGCTCGCAACTTCTGTGACGACGGAGACAGATCTAATTTGGCTGCATCTGCTTGAAGAGGCCGAGATTAGAGGCAAAATATCCAGAGTGAAAATCCGATCCTGCCGCTTATATGGCAATGGATAGTGTATTGAGAGACTCAAAAAGTGGCTATATTGGGTGAGGTCCTTGGCTGTCACCAAGTACATTCTTCGTAAAGGTGAGTCTCTTAAGCCATCTAGTGCATCCGCGAGCGCACTAAGTGTCCTGTGCCTGAGGTCATCCACTACTCAGATACCCCAGATAACGATCTAGGTGCCCTTATACATCTTGATGAAGGTATAAAAAGGTCGCCGCGCTCGTGAGGTCTAGTGTTGCGCTGATCTCATTAGCGCCTATCAGCGCAATATCTACCTCGCAATACCCGATCATAAATCCTGCAGCTGCAGCCCGCAGCATCTATCAAGAAAAGATGTTACCTTATTATGGAAGCTTTGTTCCTCGTTCGGAACGATGCTTGCCCGACCTCTGTCAGTTGCCACCCCTCCTGTTGATCATGACGATCTCGCGTGCGCTAGGCGTTTCGCACGGGTCTCATTGGCGCTCGATCGCGTTTAGATCGTCTTCAGCCTTTCAACAGCAGCCCCGCGTTTCTGTTCAGGGCTGATGCTGACCCACTGCCGAGAGCGGCTCCGTGGACAGCCTGGCACAGATAACCATTATCCTCGCTCACTTAGACTCGCATCTTCTTGGATCTCTTGTCGGTGGTAGGAAAGACTGCACATGTACACTGTTGTTCACTTTTCTGGAAAGTGTTAGCTCAGAGAAGATCCACGTTGTCAAGCGGAATCTAAACCTGCGCCGTCTCGCTGATCAATAAACTATGCCTTACGGTGGGGATGCTCGCTTGTAGAGACGGGAAGTCTGAGCGACCAGAACAGCTTCGTTGCAGTTGTCGTCAGGACTCACGAGCAGAAGGAAGCGAAACATGAAGGATGACGAGACAAGATGACCAACTCGAGGGCGCAATTGCAGCACACATCCTTCGAGTATCCGCTACAAGACTTTGAGGGGCATTGGGGTTCACTAGGAGTACGACTGATAACGGCATTGTTTTAGAGTTTCAAGCACTATTCTAGCGCCTCCTTTGCTGAGCGAGGGCACCCCACGCTCACGCTCACTCGTGGACCTTGAAAAGGATAGAGCAGACAGATCTGCAATATCCGCTTTTCCCAGAAGGTACAATTCGCAAGGTACGCGGCTCGAATTCGAGGCGCATTGTGGATCTTGCACCTATCCAACAACATCACTATAACCGAAAACATGATAGAGTTGTTCAGTTCGCACGATCAACGCATGGACCTGTTCACTTGAACACTTACGGCAGATTTCCCTTAGTGCGAGAAAGGCATCATTCGCTCTTGAAACCCGACACTGTGGGCATCGACTTCGTTCCGAGCAAAGTTGAGTAATATCAAAAAGGTTGTGAGGCGGGATTGCCATCTCCTGCATTGTGCACCCTGCGTGTCTGCATAGCCAAATGTACCTCCTTCACAGGTGGTCGATCATACCTTGATGGCCTTGAGATCAGCCCCGATATATATATCTGTGGGGCAGATGTGATCCACAGTTACTCGAACAGTTCATTTCGAAACTTCCTGTTCACCTAAGTTTACAGTCACTCTTTTCACAACCAGCAAAGTAACAATGGCAATCGGACACCGTGCCACACAGCTGATCCAGGTATGTGTCGACTCAATTCTCCTAATGAACACGTCTGACTAGCACACACAGATCGAGATAGCATTTCAGTGCATGGCCTGGATCGTTGTCGCCTTGCGCATGTATGTGCGCACCTTTGTCGTCAAAGCCTTTGGCTGGGATGACGGGTGGATGATTTTTGCTCAACTGATGCACACTATGAACTCAACGTGTGCCATTGGAGGTGCACTTACTGGCACTGGTCGACTTATGAAGGATCTCACTCCTGGAAGCATGGAGATGGCACTTAGGGTAAACAAACCTGTTCAATCTGTGTATTCAGCCGTTCGTGGCAATGACTAATCCAATCCAGTTTTGGTGGATATGCTACTTCACATATTCCCTATCCATGATCGGTGCCAAGGTCTCCGTTGGCCTGTCACTGCTCCGCTACATGTCTGTCACCCAGAAGGCCTTTCGATTTATTACCCACGTCATCTTGTACACCAGCGTTGTCATGGGCTTGATCTATGGCCTGCTGGCTACTTTCCAGTGCAACCCGGTGGACTACTTCTGGACACGAGCCCTGGGTGAAACGGGGACTTGTATCAGCATGAACACCATCGTCGCATTGACGTACCTGATGTCTGCCATTTTCGCGATCTGTGACTTCAGCATGGCCTTGCTGCCGGTCCTCCTGATCAAGGATCTGAACATGAGCCGCAACTCAAAGTTCGCTCTCATCTTTATCATGAGCATTGCATGCATGTGAGTAATTCTGCCCTTCTTTCCGAGAGTATACGAGTAATGGTGCAAAAGTGCAAGCGCAGCGGTCATCATCCGTCTCGCCTACGTGCCCACTTTCAGGGACCCCGAATTCCTCTATGCCACCGTCCCCATCGCTATCTGGTCAGAGGTCGAGATGGGCCTTGCAATCATTGCTGGTTCATTGCCGACCCTTCGGCCTCTATACCGCATTGCTGCTCAGAAGTTCAGCTGGAAGACAAACTTCTTCAGCAACCGTTCCAGATCATACAAATCCATGGATCCCCACAGATTGGATGGAACCCCAGTTGGCAGTGCCGCCATCGATAGGAACGAATTAAGCATCAAATCTTACTCAGAGTCTGAGCGGAAGATCTTGAATGTCGATGTTAAAGAGTTCGTAGTAGAGGGCCATTAGACATTGATTAGACGCAAGTTTACGGGCATAACCTAGGTTACACATATACAAATCGACTATGAAGGCGATGGCAGAGTCTAATCAGGAGATGCGTGTCTGAGTAATTTGATGAAGCGATGATAAACGCGCATTCAGCTTTTCGTCCAAGTCGGCCAACTCTGGTCCGCCGCTCCTTCGGCTCTTTCACTCGTTATTGAAGCTGTGGACCTTGAGTACACTCTCACCATCATGACCCAACGAACAAAACACGCTTCTAGACTATATCATCGGCCTTGTTATGCGGATCCCCCACCTCTCTCAGGCACACATCAGAAGTCAGGCCGAAACACATGTTATCACTAGCATGTCTTACTTGCAACATTACGCACACCATCCGAAAAACACTCCGTAGTCGTACAAAAGAAACCATGCTGACTTGTCGTAACCGCGATCTATCCGAGGTGTTCCACAGCTGGGATGATTGTTCAAACTCGCCGCAGCAGATGTAACTGGCCAACCTGATGTTTACAGTATATTGTTGACATGTCAGCAAGTCGCAGATGGTGAAGAGTTCGTGGGGTTCGAGTTTACTAAACGCTCGGAACTGTGCGGAGGGAAGTGTGGGGTGCGTTGTGCGCACTGCGCGGCACGTCGATCCCTTCCGAGGTCTCTCGGTCTCGACTAATCACGCTTGATCGCCGCCGTTGTGCCCCTGATACGCACGTAGCTACGGCCATCTACGCGAAACCGATGCGCCGAACTAACGCGTTGTTTGAAGGCCCTACATAAGCATGCTGATGATGGAGCTTCAAATTATTACGAGCCGAGTGTTGTGGTATAGTCATCTCTTTCACCTGTCTCCTCCACAATGCAGATCGAGTCGCCTCATCCTAGTATTACGATCCCAGCTGCCGATATATGGTCATTCTTCCTCGAGCGGCCTGATCGCCCTTACCCTGATAACCATGGTTCGTGCTCCTATACGCTCTTCCAACGGCACCTGACAAGCTCGCAGTGCTATTCGTAGACGTCGTCACAAATCAAAAGCTCACATACTCTCAACTCCGATGGAGTGCTGAACGTTTCGGGAGCGGCCTTCAGGAACAATGGGGCTGGCGCAAAGGTGACGTCCTGGTCACGATGACGCCAAATCATATCGATATCGTGCCCGCTATCTTCGGAACACAACTTGTGGGAGGCGTTGTGTGTCCTCTTAACTTCATGTACACGGTCGATGAGCTGGTATCTCAATTGACGTCTTCAAAAGCCAAGGGACTGTTGACAAACACGACATGCCTTGATGTAGCATGTAAAGCGGCATCAAAAGTCGGACTTCCTCTTGATCGTGTCCTTTTGATTGGAAATTACAAACCGACGACAACAGCTGTTCGGCACTTCTCGACTTTGAAGAGCTCGTCGAGTGTGGAGCCAGTCACGATCAATCCCAAAGAAGACCTGGCGTATTTAGTGTACTCGTCCGGAACCACGGGCGTTCCAAAGGGTGTTATGTTGACTCACGAAAACATCAACGCAAACACTGTCCAAAAGCTTGCAGCAGATGGCCATGGTCCGGACTGGAGGACAGATAAGAGTATCGGTTTTCTACCCATGTACCACATCTACGGTAAGTATGGTGTCCTCGCTATCTAACGTTCGCTGATATGAAGATGTAGGCATCGCCGCCCTGATCTTGGCACCTGTTTTCTATGGTTCGACCGCGTATGTCATGCAAGGTTTCGACCTTCACAAGTTTTGCGAGACGGTTCAGAACGAGAACATCACGATAGCATGGATTGTTCCACCTGTCGCATTGGCATTGGCAAAGGCGCCGATAGTGGACCAGTATAACCTCAAGTCACTACGCGACCTGCACTCCTCCGCTGCTCCAGCGCCATTGGAGATCATCACCGCAGTGAACAAGCGCATCGGCGCTCCTGTCCGGCAGGCGTACGGTCTGTCCGAGGCCGCACCAGCTGTATGCTCACAGCGTATCGAAGATTGGGACAAACCAATGGGTACATCCGGACGCCTGTTACCCAACATGTCAGCAAAGCTGATGAAGGATGGAAAAGAAGTGGACGCTGGCACCGGAGATGGCGAACTGTGTCTCAAGGGCCCAAACATCTTCAAGGGATATTACAACAATCCCGAAGCTACGGCTGGGGCGTTCGACGCGGAGGGGTGGTATCATACTGGCGACGTTGGAAAGTTCGATGAACATGGAAATCTGTTCATCACCGATCGCCTCAAGGAACTCATCAAGTACAATGGCTTCCAGGTTGCGCCCGCAGAGCTCGAAGCACTCTTGCTTGGTCATCCAGCTGTCGCTGATGTAGCTGTTATCGGCGTGTATGATGCATCACGAATAACAGAGTTACCGAGAGCGTACATCGTTGCAGCGCCAGGGTACAAGGGTGATAAGAAGCTGGATGGTGAGATGCATGAATGGTTCAACAAGCGCGTAGCGCCGCATAAGAAGCTCAGAGGTGGAATACGGTTCGTAGAAGCAGTGCCTAAGAGTAATGCGGGCAAGATACTGAGGAGAGTACTTGTTGAACAAGCGAAGGCAGAGGAAGCGGAGAAGGCAGTCAAGGCTCGCTTGTAGTATCTAAGGTCTCATCATTAACCTCTATAGAGTTCAACAAAGAGTTTAGAACAATCATATCCATCCCTGATCAATGTGCATGTGGCCTGATATGCCATCCGTTTCTTGGTCTACCTTATCTACGAGGTGAGTTTTGACATCTTATACAATGCGATAGCTGTGACTCCTCATCCCGGGCTAATTGTAAAATTCTGAAAAAAGCGTATTGTGTCTAGAACACATCTTCGCATTCGTATTGTGCACATGCGTGAAAGCGCTCGATTGACGTCATTATTGATCTACAACTTTGTAAATAACGTTTCCTTCATCGCCCTAACGTCCAACTCCTGCGTCCAAGTACTCCTCGGCTGCGTATGCAAAAACCAATACGTATGCGCCAGATCTCTCGGCTGAACGAGATGCGCTTCCACATCTGCCGCCTTGTCTTTCTGTCCTGTCCTTTCCCATTGCCGCTTCATCACTCCTCCGATCAGCTTGCCATCGACCGGACCATCGACGATGATATTACAAGCATGGATCCCCTTGGCCTGGTACTCGCGTGTGATGATCTGGCACAATGAGCGCAGTCCAAATTTCCCTGGCGAGAAAGACGCTAAGCCTGGCATGCCGCGCAGCGCACCCGTAGCGCTGGTGAAAAGGATAGTGCCTTTGCCAGCTGCAAGCATATCTGGAATCACTAGTTTGCTTGCCCAGAACGCGCCGAACAGGTTAATCTTAGTGAAGTTCTCAAACTCTTCGCTCGTGGTGTCGATAAGAGATTTTCCGTTGACGCGGCGTGCGCCGGCGTTGTACACGAGCACGTTGACAGGACCAAGCTCTTCGCGAATGCGTTTAAACGATGAGATTACCGTATCTTCGATGCGCAGGTCTGTGATGTAGTAATGCGCTGTGCCGGTGCCGACGTCGCTGTCGATGTTCTTGGCCATGGTTTGCAGGGCTTCTTCTGTCCGCGCGAGGAGTGCGACGACGAAGCCTTCTGCTGCGAAGCGGTGAGCTACTGCTTCGCCGATTCCTGGGCCTGCGCCGACGACGGCGATGACGGGCTTGTTGGCAGCGTTCTTGGACATGGTGGTCGAGGGTTGTGTTGTGGGTCCTGCAAATGGGGGATGTCAAAAGACTAGGTAATATCAAGTTACGGCAGTATAGTGCTATGAGTGCGCCCAGGCGTTGTCAAGTCTTCATGTGTCTCACATCTTGTCCTGGAGATGGGTAGCAAGATATTAACCACCGCAACTTTGTTGTTCATGGGTTGTGTGAACCTAGCGTTCATGATTAGCTTCAAAGCGGGGGCGATGCGCGCCTCGGAACCTCGGGACGGTTCAGTAATCGGGCTACCGTACGTATCGGCGTCACTACCAGTGTTAGCGCAATGTATGCCGCACCTTTCACGTGAGCATTATCGTGCTCTTCCTTTGACATTGCTTGTTCTTATTGATGCATTGTCATCGGCATATGCGTGGCATGATGCGACCGATATACGTCCAAAGTATTGGAAGCATGTGTTGCGATGGACGGACGTAATGATAGATCCTTCAAATATATTACTGCAATCACCTGTAGCCACCAGCGCGCATGTGCCTTCCGCAACACGAACTATCTAATGACGAAGGACATCGATGGACAGTCAAGCAAGCACCGGCTTTCATGAGACCTGCCTCTTTAGAAAGATGCCGAATCAACATAACTATCGGAAAGCGTATGGCTCCCACCCGCACACCTGTATCCACTAGCCTGCTTGATCCACGTGTAACCCATTGGGCATCGACCCAATACCTTCAGCTTCTTCTGCCTCTCCATCTCCTTTTGTCGCTCTCTCTCGATAGCTGCCAACTCCTCGTCGCGACGCCGCCTCTCCAGTTCAGCTGCAATGCGCGCTTGCTCTCGGATACGCCGCTCTTCTTCATCGGCGGCGGCTTTCTCCGCACGGATAAACTCCTTGATACGCTCTTCGTACTCTCGCTTCTCTTCTTGCATATGACGAAACTCGCGCTCTTTAGTGACCATGGCATGTTTGTCGCGTTCTAGTTGTTCCCATACTTCGTCGGACACGCCTGGGTCGCGCTTGGCTTTGAAGATTGAATCGAAAGGGTCTTCAGGCTCTGCTGCAGGTTCAGATTTCTTCTCGATTGGTTTCGGCTCTTCTTTTTGCTTGTCCATATCGATCACAGTCGGTGGCGGGGCAGTACCCGTGTCAATATCTAAACCTCGCGCCGTTGGCGGTGCCGGATTCTGCGTCTGTGGCTGCGGCATTGGTCGTAGAGGCATCGACTTGTCGAACCGGTTGGTACCAACAGCGGCGTTTCGTCGGAAACGTTCGTCCAACATCTTTTCCATAGTACTGATGACAATGTTTTGTGTGAGTATGATACTAGTAATCGGACGTACAGCCGTAGAAATAAGTGCCTGAAATATGTTTTTCGCGAGCGATTTGACGTCGCGAGCGTTACCCCACGATTCCAGTACCGATAGTTCGCGAAAGAGCTGCAGCAGTTGTTGCCATAGTTCCGGTGTTGGCGGATCGAGGACCGACAGGTCGAGTGGCGCCTTCTTCCTCATCTTCTGTAGAACCTTGACAAGAAGCTTGAAGCATGTCTCCGGGTCGAGATGCTTGAATAAAACCGTTTCGGGGAAGCGACTGCTCAGGCCAGGATTCATGCTCATCAATCGGTCGATGTCCTTGTCGTAGCCTGCTAGAATGACTACGAGTCTTTGCGCGAACTTTGGCTTGGTGAGGCAGTCAACCAGCTCATCCATCGCCTCAGTGGCGAATCCACCTTCCGCGAGGCGATAGGCCTCGTCGATGAAGAGAACCTTGCCCATAGCCTTCTCCATAAGCTTCTGCACCTTTGGCCCAGTCTGACCTACATACTGTCCGATTAGATCGGTAGCAGAACATTCTTCCACGCTGGCCTGGCTGAGAAAGCCCATATCGTAGAAGATCTTGCCCATCTTTGCAGCCGTGGTAGTTTTGCCAGTCCCCGGAGGTCCCTTGAAAAGGAAGTTGAAAGGTAGCTGTTCTCGAGCATCCATATCGAGAGCTTTCAGGGTCGCAGCGGTGTTTTGATAACCCTGGAACTGTTTAACAAGCTCCTCACATCCTACCACGTCTTGGAAGAGAGCAGAAATCTCGGTGGCTGCACGTTCACCACGGTCAAAATCTGGGTCGAAGTCAATGGCTTCAAATGTGCCAAATTGCTTTACTTTCCCAGAAGACTTGTGTTTCTGGTGTAAAGCCTTTGCGCGATCCAGGATAATGTCGACTTCGCCTGCGTTGCCGAAGTTTGGGCGGTTGCGCGCACGTTGTACGACTTCCATGGCGACCTGGAAAAAGGTATGTTAGCACGAGTCGGCATGTCGCCTGATCTTGGACTCTACCTTCTTAGCTTGATCCGTAGCATCAAAACCGATACCCTTGAGCTTGGAGTCAAAAATTTGACGAATCTCAGTGTCGTTGAAATTTTCAAAGACGAACGCAGACTCTAGTGGAAACCGTCTCGCAAGGCCAGGATTGACGTCCCGAAACATCTCTTCCATTTGGTCCTTGTATCCCAACAAGAGTACGCATCGGTCTTCACCTGCAGTGCTCTGGACTTCCGCAACGATGGTGTCAATAACTGCAGCTTTGTAGGGATCACCAGCAGCACCACTAGCCAACATGTAAGCCTCATCAACAATGAGAACTTTGCCGATAGTGGACGCCAAGATGGCTTTCGTGTTAGCTTCGGAGCCTCCTAGAACACTACCAACAAAGTCCGCTGGGCTTTTCACGACGACTTCTCCGTTAGAAAGAAGCCCAATATCGGCCAGAATGCGCCCATAAAGCTTTGCTACAGTAGTCTTGCCTGTTCCTGGGGAGCCGATGAAGCAGCGATTAAGCGAGTACTGGATAATAGGCTTCTCTTGCGTTTCGAGCTGGTAGTTCGTCTGTATCCCGTCAAGAAGAACTTGTACAGACTCCTTGACTGATGACAAGCCGGTAAGCTTCTGCAGCTTCGTCCAGGTAGCGTGATTCTTGAGCACTGACGAAGGTTCTGGTCCAATCAAATCCTCCTTCGTGAGAAAATGGTCATTCGGCATCTTGCCAGCTCGTCTCTCTTTCCGCAGTCGCCTTGCCTGACGCTCGGTGATCTGTGCGATCTTGTTCTGGACTTCACGGGCGTTACCGAAGCCATCACGTCCCCGGCCCCGGCTGATGCGCCTAGCAGTGATACGCACGTAGAGTCCGTTCATACCGCCTTCAATCTTCATGCGCCCGCGATACTTTTTGTCGATGTACTGGCAGAAGATTTGTTGCAACTCGCGGTCTTCGTAGTCTTGGAACTCCATTCGTATTGGTATACGGCTTGGGATGCCTGGATTGTGAGCGAAGAAGGCTTCCATCTGCTTGTGGTAGCCCGCCAGTACAAAGACAACTTTGCCGGTCAAGTTCTCAATCTCTGCAAGCAGGTAGTCTAATACTGCTTTACCACCAGGGCTGTTCCCAGATACCAATTGATATGCTTCGTCAATAAAGAACACGCCGCCACCTTCTTCGAGGATCTTATCGATCGAGGCTTTGCAAGCGGACACGCCGTCATTTGCGAGAGCTGATCCGGAGCTCTCAATGAAATGATCACCCGGCAGAGCTCCTACTTCGGCCAGGAACCTCGAGTAGTACCTAGCCACTGTTGTTTTTCCTGTTCCAGGGTTTCCCAGGAGGGCAGCACCAAAGCGCTCTGCATTAAGCGATACCCCTTGGCGCACCACCGTATCCACTTTGGCCTTAATCGCGAGGAATTGTTGCTTGACGGACTCAAGTCCTATCATGGGTACCAGGGAATCTAGAGCTTTATTTTCAGCACCCTCATATCTCTTTTGCCACTCCCAATCATCCCTGGCTTCGCTCTTGTCCCAACTGGGCTGCTCCTGGTCTCGATCTGGCGATGTAGGTATGGCGTTAGCTGCAGTCTCGTCGCGGTGAGGAGAAGCCGCGTTGTGCGATGCAGAATCCCTCCGTAGCCCTGGATCGCCGGTCGACGGCGACGCTGTTGTTTCGGATGCTGGAGACGTTGAAAGTGGTTGCTTTCTGGTACTTTTGATCTTCTCCTGCAGATTGCGAAGATCTTGCTTTTTCTGTTCGAGCGCTTGCTGGCGGTCTCTGTCCTCTGCCTGCTCTTTCAGCACACGCTTGTGGTGCTGGATCTCTTCGTCGATCTCAACTAGTCGTGCCTTATACGCGCGTTGCTTTGCCTCTCGCTCTTCGTTTAGCTCGTGTTCTCGTTGACGCTTCTTCTCTTGCGCTCTCACTTCAGCTTCACACTTGTGGCAATGTACCGCGGCTTTCACATGACACCTTCTTGAAGTCTTATGATTGCTGGGACAAGTCGAAGAGATGATGACTTTGCAATCCATACGCGAGTGATCCTGTAACTGATGGCATCGGTGGGGGCAAGCATGAAGGCCGCAGTTGAGTATCTTGCCACATGGTTCAGAGCAACCGCCATCAGGGCATACCGTATCAAAGTGCTCTTTCTCGGTTAAGAGAGCAGTCTTTTCTGGATGTTGCTCGCATTTGATAGGGAAACCGTCGTAAACGTGGCCATCTCGCTTCAACTGATCCATGAGCGGTACCCATACTTCCTTGCCTTTGTGACTATTCATGAAAGTGTTTGCATTACCTATCATGATCAAAGCATTCCGTGCTCGTGAAAGTAACACATTGACACGCTGAGGAGAAGACATGAAACCGATGTCCCCGGTTTCGTTACTTCGTGTGAGACATGCGATGACGATATCGCTCTCTTCACCTTGATAGTTGTCGATAGTTGATATGCGAAGCTTGCGCTTGGATATGTTTGCACTAGCTGGTGTGACCAGACCTGCTTGAATCAACTCATGAGAATCCAAGTCGTTCAAAATGGGATCGTTCTCCTTTGATAAAGTGTTCACTAGCAGGTATAGCTGGCCCAGGTAAGGTGTCAGTACCACGATGTCTTCCGTCCCATAGCCCTGCTGACCAAGATATCGCACACATTTCAGCACCATGTCAGCTTCATACAAGTTCTCCTTACTGGAATTCGCGCCGCCATCACGGCGGTCGGCAATCTTGATTGCGTTGAGCTCAGGACGTGAATGTGACACGAAGATGACGTTGCTCTGGAAGCCGCGTAGATCCGGTCGACCCTGAGTCTTCTCAGCATCTTTCAACTCCGGATAAGTGAGTGATCTGACGAGAGATGAGATCTCGGGGCGCATACGATGCTGCTTGCGAAGGGTGGTATGAGGGACTCCACTAAGCACCAGACGTTCGAACAGGGAAACATCGAGATCGTACCCATCTCCTCTCTCTACAGTCAAGGCATAGTTGTTGACTTTAGGCCGTAGCTGCTTGTGATCACCGATCAGCACGAGTTGCTTCGTGGTCGGAGTTAAAGCTGTAAGTATATGGCTTTCCAAAATCTCTCCAGCTTCTTCCACCAGAACTATGCCAGGTGACGCCTTACGAATATCGTCGTTGTACATGGCAGCTGCCGTCGTAGTGCACCCTATGATTCGTTTCTGACCAAGGACGTGGAAGTTCTTCTCGCGAAACAATCGATCGATCTGGGCACGACACTTGTTGTACTTATCGGCAAGCACACTAATTTCAGCGACTCGTTCTTCAAGGATGGTCTTGTTCCACTGCGCCTGAAGATCACATCGGATCTGTGGCGGGACATTCCAAACGTGAGGATAGGTCTGCATCGTGTGGCTCGAAAAGACGCCCGCGTCTTCACCTTTGAGCCATCTCTTGACTAGATAGTACTCATCGATGCGCCTATTGTTTTTCCCCATCATCGTCATGCCATCTTGGTTTTCAGGCACGACGAATGCATCGAAGTATTCTGAATCATCAGAGAACTCCAAGAAATCGAGAAGCATTCGTTCACTGAGCCGCGTAGAAGCAAAGGATGCCATCCTTGTGACTAGCGCGTCATGATAAGACTCAGCTTCCACCTTTTGGTCTTGAATTGAAGTCCATGTTTGCGCAGTCATTTTGTAGTTGTTCGGCTGTTCTCTGATGCTGAGTGCACGAGTATTGGCATTCGATTTCGATCCTAGTCGCACAATCGAACTAGCCGGGATGCCAGCCTTTTGGATGTCTTCTAAGAATTGGTCCAGAGCATGATTCGTGTATGTGAGTATGAGCATTTTCTCCTTCGTCTGATCGTGTAATATCTTTGCGATGAGTGCGCCGATGAAACTTTTACCAGTTCCTGGTGGGCCTTGAATAAGGCTAACCTTCTTCAGTAGACCAGTCAACAGAGAATCTGCCTGGGCTTGATCCAGTTTGATGGAGTGACTACTTCCAATGATGTCTTGAAGGTCTTCTTCCCAATGGTCACAGATGGCATTGATGGTCTTGGTCGGTTGGATACCAGAGACTGTTTCAGCGGAATTTGGAGTGAGGCTGAGGAGCTGATCCTCCAGTGGCAGCTCGGTCAAGGACTGGAGACGTTTGAGAATAGGTTCATACGCAAAAACCGCGGTATCCACTTGCACAAAGCTGAGGTCCGCTGCGAGCTTACATGTCATTAGCACTTTGCCAAACGAGCTAGCGTCGGCTACACGCAGCACGACGATAGCAGGTTGCTGAGCAAGAAGGTCTTCATCACGGTCTACAGTTGCAAATGCGACAATATTGCCATTGCTAATGAGGCAACCGAGTGACTGGTGTTTCAGGACGTTCCTGTTGTCGGCGAGGTACTTCTTGCGAGCAGCGCCCTTGACATTACGTAGCTGTGGAATGTCGTCTGGGCAGGAGAGTTTTAGCGAGCAAGGCTTGCGTTTCGTTTCCGGTCCGCAGTCGATACCAGCATACTTCAGGTGCTCGAGGATTATCTTCCGTCGTCCTTTCTTCTGACCACTAGCGATCTGAAAATCGTTGCGCAGTTCGCCCAAGAGATCTTCACGAAGCAGGCGAAACTGGTTGTCAATATGAGTCAGCCCACGACTCTCCAATGGGGCAGACGCGATAGAATCTGCGCGTCTGTAGAACGGATGTTCGGAGCATGCGAACTCGTCTGGCGTTGGTAGGAGCTTGATCTTATGGATCTGAGTAAAGTCGTTGTCGTGTCGCCCGCCCGGGCCATCGGCGGAATCATCGGACGTGCTGTCTAGGACGTGTTTGATCTTCTGACCGATATTGCGGACATCTAGGGAGTTCGAGTTGATGAATGATCCATTGTTAGTGACACGCTCTGCAATGTCGCGCACGTCTGGGATGTCCTCCGAGCGGCTGTATAGCAGCTCCAGTAAGAGCCACGCGAAGGCACGCGTGGCATCGCTGGAAAGCACATGAGCAATGTGTGCCTCAACGAGTGTGTTCCAAAATGTAGGTGGTTGTACAATTTGTTCGAGGACGCGTTGCAGAAACTGGCCACTGTAGAGTTGCTTGACCGATGGCTCGGCGAGTCGGAGGATGACGGATGTCGCCAAGCCGTTGAGAAACGTGCTCTCACGTGTCAACCTAAATGCGACAGAGACCGCCGCTAACCCTGCCGGAGACGCAATCAGGCGCTCCACACACTTCGAAGCGTCCTCTTGAGAATAGAATGCCTCCAAAAACCGATTACCATCGCCCACCGTCTTGATGTCGCGATTGCCGTGAATGACGGCGTTGAAGAGCTTCGTCAACCCCGCGGCTCGCTTGGCTGTCGCCTCTTGGTCCGCCATATGTAAAGCTCGTATCGTGTAAAGTGTCACTTGTCAAGAAAGGCTGAGATCTGCCAATATTTGAGGATTCTACGAGGGAGATGTTTGGCCTTTTTGAGCTTTCAAAATGGATAAAAAGGATGTGACACTAAACCGCAGCTCATGCGTGACGATTCTCTGATAACGGGCTGTGCGAATGATTGGAAACCAGTCGCAGTTGATGTGCAGAAAAACAATAAACCTTGTTTGCCTGCATAGTCTGGTGAGTTCTGGACGAATCGAGGCCTACCAGGCATGCATTGTGCGACCTGCAGGTTGAGCAAACTACGCCACATGAACTCAGCCTTGTTTCAGGCATCATCGCCTACTTGAAGTCGGCGTATCGCCTTCTATTCAGCGCAATACTGCGCTTGAAATCCTCGATTCCTGTTTCCATCTAACACAGTGTCACAACATCATCCATGGCTTCATATCCAGGCAGCGACAGCAGAGGTGGCTTTGCTCCACGGAGAGGGCGAGGCCGTGGTGGAAGAGTCCCGTTCTTTGCGAAGCCCAAGGAACAGGTGAAACCTGATCTTGAGAGACATCCGCTTGGAGACCTTATCAAGGAGTTTCGCAATTCGGATCTGAGCTTGAAACCCGCAGCTCTAGCAGAGATATCCGATTGCCAGTATGTAGCATCCTACAATTGGCTCAACGGCAAAGTACCCACCATTGTCATTCCAGGTGGGCTCTTTCTCGCAATTGGCAGGCCGAGTTAACAGTCATAGGAAAACCTCCTCAGTGGACACCACTTCCTACACCACGGCGTCTGCCAGAGGACTATGGGCAATACTTTCGTGACCCCAACGCCGCTATGTATCCCGAATATCCAATGGCACCCGTAGTGCGTGCTATTATTGAGACCAACCCTGAATTCAACTCTGCGAGCACCGATCTCTTCGCTTGTGGAAGCACCCTTGGCAACCTCCTCCGCTTCGCTCGGGGTGTCGACAAAGCTTTCCGTTTCAACATCGAGGTCGTCGGCGAGACCGTCTTCTTCGTACGAAAAGAGAATGACCCTAAAGAAGTTATCAAAGACGTTAGAGGCTATGGTCATACCTTTCCAGAGGCATACACCACATGGGAGCAGAGCGTTAAAGGCTCCGAAACCCACCAACGCATCATACGATATGAGTTCGGCGGCTTGGAGTGCCTCGTGCGGTTCGAGAGTGACGGCTATATTGAAACGGCCGGAGCAGTCAATGATGCTACGCATTCAGAGAGCGCCAAAGACCCCGATGACCTTCTGGCAGCACTCCAAGACACATCGATCAGCAGGCCATCAGACTTCATGATAAGCACACATGATGCTTTGACTGTCAAACAGGGTGGAACCACGGTGCTGCAAGACGTCATTTTCGATCTGAAGACGCGCTCAGGGAAGTACAAGAAAGACATAGACATGAGCGACATCCACCCAGCGCTCTGGATCAAACAGATATCCAACTTCATCGTCGCCTATCACAACGGTGCTGGACTTTTCGAAGACATCCGAGTGCAAAATGTCAAGAACGATGTGCAGGCCTGGGCCAAAGATAACGAAGAAGGCATCCGCCGCTTTGCCACACTTCTAGATACGATCGTTAAAATCGCTAGAAGTAACGCAGGCAAGTTGCTCGAGGTGTATTGCCCTGGGGCGGACCGCTTGGAGGTCCGGTTTCAGTATGGCAAGGGTGTGCACGCCTTGCCTGCAGACCTGGCAGACCGCTGGGAGAAGACTTGTATTGATGTCGTCTCTACGCAAGATGATGAATCCGATCAGTTCAGGTTTAGCGATGGGGGTATCGGTCTAGGAGATACGTACGAATTCAACACTGGCTCTGACGATTCCGGATCGGAGCCAGACTACACTGCTTGTTCCGCTCACGATTGTGGCTACTGTGGCAGGTGCACGTATTGAGAATTGTAGGCTAAATCACAGGCACGGTTTATGGAAAGCAAACAGCTAGAGCGCAATTTATTGTAGTTCTTATGAAAAGTTTTTATTCCGTTCATTTGGAACCTTGTTAGCGGCTAGTGCTAGCCTTTTGGTTCAATCTCTGATTATAGCGTCTACTTCTAATTCTTTTCTGGAGGCTGCTCATATTCGATGAAAAGCTGTCATCAAGGTGGCCGTCTTGCTCCGACTAGCCTACAAGCGGCACTTGGGACCCATACTTCCTTAACCTTGCGGGGATTTGTCACAGGACCGTAACTACATAGTTTCCATAGTGGTCTTCTTCCTGGAAGAGTTGAGGGTCAAGTGGCTGTCGATAGGCCTCGAACCGCTGCTGAACTGTGTGGACATCCATCTCGCTGTCGCCTCGTATCTCAGCCTCCATAATACCCACTCGTCGATATACCCCGCGATCTGCTCCAGGTGATTGATGTAACAGAAGACCCATAACGGTACCTTCTTGACAGTAGTTCTCATTCTTGATCGGCTTTACGTAACACAGTATCGGCATGATAAGAATGTTTCCAAGGAATGCCTTCGCCCGGTTATGCTGTGTCCGCTCGTCTGGAGTAGACGGCCGACGTGTTGAAGATGATGTATCCGTTCCGACATTGCTAAGCCCGCCAGTAATATCAGCTCCCTGCACCAACGAATCCTCTTGATACTGCGGAGCAGCTTCAGGGTCTTCTGGAGTAGATGGTCGAGTCATGTCGGCCAAGCATTCTTCAACGGTCGAGTCGAACCATCCGTCTTGATACCATGTGAACATGAAACCCTCTTTATCCGAACCTAAGATGAAAAAGTACCGAGGACCCTCATCTTCCCAACTTGATGAGTAGGCAAATTTACTTGGACGTGGTAGAAGAGGCCCGGAAAGTTTTAGCCCTGACGGAGGAACAAAGCAGATGTTACAGATACGTTGCATCGTAGCTTGTTGTAGACAAGTGTCCCAAAGCACGCTTTTTCCCCGTCCCAGCCATGACCAACTTGGCGAGCCGTTCCATGTTGGCACGATTTTAGATTCCGGGGACTGTTCAAAACGATTAGGTTCAAAGAAGAGTATTCCACGATGGATGTCGTTGGTCCATAATCCAAATATGCTTCTATCCTCGAGACCTTTCGCGAATTCATCAGTGATTCCTGCCAAGGCAGGTAGCTGGTCCTCAGCAAATGTGAGATGACGATTCGAGTAGTCTGCTAGAACGTCGTACCAGGCGCTGTATAGGGAAGCCTGGGCTTGGTCAGTCTGCGCAAGCGGCTTTAGGTTCCTAGTTGACAAACTGAAACTAACATCATTGTAAGGTATATTCTCAAGTCTGAACATCCAACTTTTGTCGTTCATAGCGGTTTGAAATGGCTTTTCCAAAGGAGTATTCGCCCATCCGCGAGGCCAAACTTCATTCGCGACTGTACATTTACACTCCCAGTAGACCTGTTCATCCTTAAAGTGTATAGTTCGGTTTGACTACCAATCAGAATATGGACGTGATCGTATGTCGATAAGGGCACTTACAAGTAATTGTTCTTGCAGTGTCCAGGCCCGAGTGAATATTGGGCTTCTTCTTATCTCTCCCCACGGGTGACTAGCCATCACGTAATAGATTGCCTGTGTGTCATTCTGGGCAGTTGAAAATCCAGTCATCGGGAACCGAGAATGAGGATACACTTTCACTGGAACTGAATCAATGTGACGCTCGTGTGAAAAGAACCCTTGTACTCCGTCAGGGAAGCCAGAAGCCGAGATGGTACAACTTGCGTTTTTGTACACTCCATACATGGAAAGCGATTCCTGCTTCCAGTCTTCAGGATCATCCTGTACAATACAAAGAGAATCGATCCAGATGTATTGGAAACCCAACTCCATAGTCGTAAAGAGAGCGTCTTGGAAGGTTCTGGATAGGCTGTTTATGGGAATCGACAGTTCAAAAGAATTGAGATTCGTGCGCGTCGTGGTCAAGAACTTGGTATCGCCCCAACAATGGGAGAGTGTAATGTATGGTGTTTGTAGGGGAAGTGAATCCCCTCGACAGAGTCTTGCAGACACTTTGGAGCTTGTACCATCTGACTCGACGTATACAAGTCTAGTTGGGAGCTTTCTGCTATTGATAGGCGATCGACATTGACTGTGCTTTGAGAAACATTCGTTCATCCATTTTCTCACCAAAGAGAACGTCTGTTCCGATTTTGTTGATGGATCCAACTCTGAGCAGAAACTCTCTGCAATTTGCGCTGGGTTTATCAGTTACTAACTTCAAATACAAAGAAGCATTTACCTCCAATGGCTGGCTCCAGCAGCCAGAAAGAAGTTACTGATGATATGTTATCCGCTCTATCATAGACCATGATCCACAAATTGTATTCCAGCACGCCGCGTGCGCGGTCCTCATGCCATGTGTGGTTCCACACATACGTTGTATAATGAACAGTGTGAGATACCTGGCTCCCATCAGGTCTAGGGGATCTCAAATCTCTTCAAATCCAGTTGCAAATATAGCAACCCTGTTCTACTGCTCGAGAGAATTCCTTAACGTTACTATGATACCCTTTCTCTTCTCTGCTCTTATCCGGTCCTGCTGCAACAATGCCTTGACATGTGGCACACAATCTATCTCCCGACATTTTCGCTAAGCGGGTAGATAACGACGACTAATGCAACATCTGTTTTGTCGTCGCGAGCGATGATGCGTGCATCTCCGATGGCGATTCCGTCGAGTAGTTGACCAGCGAGTGAATGGAGAAACCACGGAGTAATTGGCTCGCTAGGGTGCGCCAGTATGATTGCTCTAAAATGCGCCAAATTCGTGTCAGGTCCAGATTTTCTGATGGTTTGCGAACATGTGTTTTGGGTTGGCGATATGACGGACGCGGAAAGAGGACAGCTGAGCCGAAGCGGGGCAGGGCCAGTGACGTCAAGGCAAGGCCGCCCATACAGCATGGGTAGCTCAACAAAGCTATTTATACCAACGCTATCACGAGTCAACACATCATCCGAAACTGCACGACTCTCTTTAAGCAGGCACCATCTTGATGTGACATTAAGCCCATTTCCAATTAGTTTCCGGCCACCAAAGTCATGTCCCAAAATTCCTTTCCACCTACACAAATGCAAGCATGGAAACAATGATAGCCACATAGCACGTCCAAAGCGCACTGCGTGTTTCCTCTTGAGACATCTAATAGTTCGTGGTTATCATGCTTGCATTGATTGTCCTTGCGATCGCCATCATCGTGCGTCCGCCACGCGCAGGTACCAGAAAGAGCCTCAGTGCAACGTAATTTGTGTTCCTATAGCAAGCGCTGATTGATAATCCAATTCTTTTTCCCTACTACTATATGGTTCCTGTAAGAAATATTCGATGATACTAGTTCCCGTCCCTTATCATCACACACACTATGATATACGGTGTCTTTGTCTTTGTCAATTAGGATAGTTCCAGCTCTTCCTAGCGATACGGATACATTCACGGCGAACAGATAATGCGCAAAGCTTGAAAACAGATACTGAGAGTCTGTACGTACATTCCGGCGAAACGAAGTTGTCGTTGAACTATTACCTTCCGAGCGATGCAATGGTTTTACCACCAAACATAAAATATCTCGTCTCTTTTCACATTCGTCCCACAGAGGTAAGTCCCTTGCGTACATTGCTGCAGCCTTGTGATACAGCTGCTCGTCTCACTGCATGCAGTATTCGAAGGGTACGACGTACATGATATGGCGGCGGATATCGTACACATGACGGTTTGTCTGTTATCGCGGTCTTAGCATCCACAAAAGTTGAGGGGCTGTCATGAAAGTTCTTGTTTACCAGATTGAGGCCTGTTCACCCGCGTGTCAATCTCCCCCGACACCTCGTCACTCCGTCACTCCACCATTCCGACTCTCTTGTCCTCCGCACGGTGCTTTTAGTGCTCGAACATCTCTGTTACATCAACTGTAGTTCAGTCTCTAGAGTTCGTTCCGTTCCTCTGTGGCGTTTGCAGACAGTCTGTATAGCGCTATCTACATTTGGTCGCCTTGCTTGAACAATCTGGCCGACAGAGGCATTGTTGGATTTAGCCTCTTGTAGGCGGTGCTTGTTCCCTACAGCCCTTTATGTATTGCCAATCTGTCGTATGCTGATAGTGAACATAGACCACGAGGTTTCGTCCGGAGTTCCCATTCTTTCTTGCAGCTTCGCAAGCTGGGTGCGCCCAAGTACTTCGCCAATGTCGATCCTCACAGCCAGCCTTTGGCGCGCCACAAGATCGTGTCAACGCATGAACCTTCCGGTCGCAAGACGCTACATGTTCGCAATTACCTGCATCATATCGAGAAATCGGATGGTACACCGCTACCGGAGGAAGAGAACGCGGCGCTGATGGAGAAACTGATAGGTCATGTAACACGACCTGAGAACGTGCTCAGGCTGGGGTGGTACGACAACGGGGACCTGATCGCATGGGATAACATGTCGACACTGCATCGTGCTACGGGAGGTAGCTACGAGGGCAAGTTCACGCGCGGCATGCGCAGAACGACTGTGAAAGATGATAGCCCGGAGGGTTGGGGTGTCAACTCGACTGGAAAGGTTCTTGCAACTGACACCGTCAATCTCTCGAGCCTGAACTATCTCGCAAGGTAGTGCAGTCGTCCATTCTTCACGTGCATGAGAGTCTTGTTTCATCTCCGTGGTTGAATCTGCAATATGAAATATCGTCACTACATCATATGACCAGAGTACTAGTTGTCATGAATATATGTATTATGTAATAGAAGGCCGGGTATCAGCGTATACATCCTAATATCGTACAGCATCAAAACGAAGACCGAAAGACGCTCCAACATATGCTATGCCACAAAGGAAACAAGAAAAATACAACCAAAAGAGATCCAAAGAGTGTGCTCAAGACCGAAACCGGAGAACGAACAAACAAAAAAACCGAAGCTGGTATACACAAGAAAATAGCATCTCCACGCACGTGTTTCACCAACATCAAGATCATCACAATCCATCCATCATCCTCGTCAAAGCCAACCAATCCGCCAGCTCCTCCCCACTACTCTCCCTCTGGCCCGCAATCTCCCTCGCCCTCAGTTCCGGGCTGCTCAACTTCTCATTGACCTTTTCTAGATCCAAAATGCCCATTATACTACTTCGCTTCTCACTCAGCCCGCTGTCCACGCGTGCCGCAGTCGTGCGGCGCTGGATCGTAGCTGGTAGTGCGACGACGGGTCGTGGATCCATCATATTGTTGAACTCTGTGCTGAAGAAGTCGGGGCTAGCGAGGATATGAGGGGAGAGAATAGCGATGGGTCGGACGGGCGGTTCGAGGTTATTACTTTGCTGTTGCTTCGAGGGGGGTGGCGTGTTGATGCGGAGACGGAAGAGAGAGGCGTGTCTTGGCTTTGGTAGATTGTCGAGAGGGGGAGGTGCAGATTTGGATTTATTGAAGAGAGACGAGGCTTTTCGAGATAGGAAAGACGATTTTCGGGCAGTAGGGAGTGGTGGTGATGTGGGCATTGGGGCTGGTAGTGTAGGTTGTTCGCGTAGCGGTTTTGCGGAAGCTTCTTCGTTGGCTTTCAGGATGCGAGCTTCTGCTTCTAGCTCTCGGTGTAACTTTGCTTTTGCTTCTTCTTCCTTCAATTGCTGCATCTTCGCTTCGTATGCTGCGATTGCAGCGGCTTGTTTTAGTTGATCTTCTTCAGCTGCCTGTTCCTTCTCTTCCGCGGCTTTGAGCATGTCTACTATTAAGCTCTTCTCTCCTTCAGGGAGATCTTCGGCTACGCAGGAGACCGGTGTCAAATCTTTCGCGTTCTTTACGTTCGCTTTGGCGCCTTCATGCAGCAGAGAGGCAATGATCTTATCACTTCCGCCAGCCGCTGCCGCATGCAGAGGGCTGTTCTGCTCCACGTCAAGCATGTCAAGCTTAGCGCCGTGACGAAGCAATGAGTTGAGGATTTCCCAATCCCCGCGTTCAGCAGCCATGTGCAGTGGTGTTCTTCCATCCAGGTCGACGCTGTTCACCTCAGCTCCATGGAGCAAAAACTCTTGTACCACGTCGAAGCGATTCGCCTTGACTGCCGAGTGCAACGGCAACCGACCGTTGGAAAATGCGGACGCGACTGTCAGTTGTGCGCCCTTCGCGAGCAACAGGCTTATCACGTCCAAAGCGATTTCAGAGTACTGTTCAAGCAGGAATGTGAGAGGATGCTGGGTCAAGACTATACTCTGCTTCGAAGTCGATGCTGACTGTGCCGATGGTGAGCTCCGTGGTATGCACGCATTCGGATTAGCGCCCGCATTCAAGACAACGCATAGAGTTTCTAGCACGTAGTCCTCTGGCATCGGTGGTGTAAGTGTAATGTGTCGGAGGAGAGCCCACAGTAACGACACACCCAAAGCCGATCTGGGTAAGGCATTAACGTCTAGGCCCATTGCAATCATGTGTTCGAGATCCTTGACAGGTAACGTGGTAGAGAAAGCCGAGACCTCCGCTACAGGGTTGCTTGGCCGTCTTCGCAGTACTCCTGCGCGCTTGGTCCACTCGTACTCTGCAAAGAGCTTCAGGATCTGCTTGTCAGCCTCAACAGTAGGCTGCAACTGGCTGGCTCCGGGTATCCAATCCTGGAGATCGAAAGTAGCGCCATGCTTAAGCAATGCATTGACGAAGACAGGCTTGCCCATCGTCACGGCGTAGGATAACGCATCCTGCTTCTTGTGATCCTCGTGGTTGACGCAGTTCCGACTCGCTTTTCGGTCCTGCTTCTGTACCAGGAGAGCTTCAACCACGGGCAGGCCGTCCTCTGGAAGCGCCTTGATCGCAAGAATGAGCGGCGTTGCACCCGATCGCTCGCGCGTAGTCCTGCTGACACCACGATCACAGAATGGACCAACAATGGCAGCAATGTCTCTCCAGGTTGCTGGCGCTTTGGGTATGCTTTGAGCAATGAGGTGCAGAGGGCTCATACCATCCTCATCCCAAGAATTGATGCTTGGTGGTATCGTGAGAAGTGGTACAACAGACCATTGCTGATGCTTCACGGCAAGAAGAAGCGGCGTGTTCTTGTCCTTGTCGCCAATGGCGGTATTTGCGCGAGCTTGGAGTAATAACCGCACGGTGTTCTCTAGGCCGTTCATTGCTGCGAGATGTAGAGCTGTCTGTCCGTTGGCATTGGTCCTGCGTATGTCGGATGCTTTGACTAGAGACTCCAGGTCTGGCTCTTTGTCCTTCTTGCCGTTCGCAGTAGCATTGAGCAAAGGCGTGAGGTCGTCAGCATCGGTTAGGTTGGGGTTCGCTTTGTGCCTCAGTAACAACTCTGTGCAGGATCTACTGTGAGTAGCAAGATGCAAAGGTGTATCGCCGTCTTGGTCTCGCGCATCGATCTCCGCGCCAGCATCGACGAGCAGTTTTGCGATCTTGGTGTTGCTGAAACGTGTAGACACGGCATGATGAAGCAGTGTCTTGCCATCTGGGTACTTTACAGTAGCATCGGCGCCTTGCTCTAGCAGCGCACCCAGGATGATGGACATTGACTCCTTTTCCTGCGCCAATGGGCTTTCGAAAGTGGCTTGGAGTACAGTAAGACCCCTGCCATCACGGGCGGTAAGATCTGGGGTACGTTTGAGAAGCGCGGTAATCACTGGTGCCCCGGCGCATTCTAGTGCCACGAAGATGGGTCGGAGACCGTTTGCTGCCTCTCGATCTGGATCCGAGCCCTTCTCTAGGAACATCTCCACCAAGCTGGCGTCGTTCCTCTTGATTGCTTCCACAAGAACGTTGGATTCTGCACCGCAGGCTGCGGTGAAGATGTCGGCGATGAGGTCGTTGCCCATCGAGAAACGGCCTTGCGTCTTCTGCACATGCTTGAGCAGCAATTCCCTCTCTTTCTCGAGTTTGTTGCGCTTGCCATGTGCGGCGTTAATAATCGCCACGGCGCCTTGGATGTTATTGGCTTTCAGAGCAGCCTCTGCTGGCGTTTGACTGTGGACGTTGAGTGCTTCATAACTAGCACCATGCTTGAGCAGCGTCGTGACGGTTGCTAGCGATCCGGATTTGGATGCGGCGTAGTGAAGAGGTGTCTCGCCAGATTGATTTGTCTTGGTCTCGAGATTCGGTCCATACGGGATAAGAAGTTCGATAAGATCACTACGACCGTTCTTGACAGCCAAGTGCAAGGCTGTCTCACCACCTTCCGTCATCGCAGCATCGACGTTTGCACCAGCATTCAGGAGTATCCTCGCGATACTGGCATGTCCATTGGCGATAGCGATGCATAGCGGTGGTATTCCCAAGCTAGTAACATCATCTGGCGATCCACCAGCTCGTAGAAAATGTGACAGTGCGGCTTCCCGTTGGTGGTATACGGCATAGTATATGGGCGTCCAGTCCTTCGATGGCTCAAACGTCCCGTCGCCCTCTGGTAAACCTGCAGGCTTCCCAAACTTGCATCTCAAGATCTCAACAGACGTCTGCAATGTCGAACCCTTGCGTTTCAACGCCATCGGTCTCGTCGTATCCCTATCCAGATCCAGGTCGATATTGTGGGGAATTGGAGGCTCCATGTCGCTTGAGTACCTCGTGGAAAGACAACTGCAAGATTTGGATTTCATCATCCGCGGCCAGACATCCACACTTGATAAAGAACTACCAAGTTACCGAACAGTAGCGACAAAAGAAAATATGCAGGGTAGAGAAAAGCATTCGAGTACCCGCAGGGCAAAAGAAAGCTACCATGAGCGACAGGAGCTTGACAAGTACGCTCCCCACCATTCCCCTTCTTTTTCCAAATTGGACGAGCTGAAAGGGTCTGGCTTACGCACGAATCAGGACAATCTCGTCGCGGTTGTCGTGCCATTTCGCCTTGCTTACCGCTAGAAGCCATGGTCAGACTACCAATAACGGGTGTCTTGTCGTGCTGTAAACCTAATAGCGCCTCCACTGCAGTCCTTGAGCGGGTAGCTAATTGCCTAAATCGGATCGAACAGATCACTTACGACTCGCGTCTTCGCGGGACGGTGCGTCGAGGACGATCACCACCAAGCGCATCCCTTGCAGCGAGCTTCGTATCAATCGCCTCAGGAAAAATCCTGGAGGCGCTGTATGTAAACTTGTTCTTTTGCTTGGCGTTCTCGCGACAATCCGCCAATTGCGAAGAGCGCTACTATGTATAGAGAAGCGAGGGCGCGATGCAGGTACAGCTCTGGAAGGCTGCAAGCCAATGCAGCGTGACAGCGATTAACACGACCCGAGACGTGCCAACAAGCAAAGTCAATGAAAGCAACGGAGAATGCGAGCCTTTCGCGCTCAAAGTCCGGGAGGAGTCGAGGCCGATCCTGCTTGCGGCGTTTCGCTAGCCGACCCACGTGTTTGTGGCTTGGATTGGCTCAGGGGTAATTGCCCTCCGTCGCCTCGCTATTGCGCACCGTCGTCGCTGTCCAAGCGGACGGCGGCAATGCTACGGGTACATTGTTTCCGCAAAGATATTCTCAAGAGCGGAGGCGTATATTGAGTGGAGATTGGACGAAAAGTCGAATCGCAATTGCGCTTATGCACGTGAGTTGCCGGGAGACTATTGTCGCTGTGAACAGCGGGAGATCGTCCACCCACTCCGTATCACGAGGATGGAGACGCGAGGCTTTCCGAGGCTGTTACACCTAACTGTGTTGCGTTACCATGGCGTGTTCACAAGGCCCAACGTCATACTTCATGCCTTCGACGCATAGCTTGAGTGCAACTCGGAAAAAGAAGCTTTATCAAAGTGGGAGCTGAGTACGCCCGATCATGTCGCAAAATGAATGTTTGATTCTTCGTTTGCTACAGCTGAGAAGATCATCTGAAAACCAAGTAAAAGAGTGTAAGAGGACGCAAAATGTGGCGTCCCAGAGCGCAGTAAGCAAAAGCAAATCAAGCCATCTTCCAGCAATCTGTATCTTCTTCCTCCGATCTGCACCATTCTCCTTTTACGGCGATTGGATCGCCTCTCCAAGGGCGCAGTTTCAAGTCCATGGACATGCGGCATCCCCGCAAATCTACACAGCCGGACACCACGTCTCAAAACTTCACACCCAACTTCCAGCCAACTTGGAGTGCGCGACTCCACACGAAGCAGAGCGATGCCACTATATAGCAAGCTGCAGTCCAGATGACCACACCCCAGTAGTGCCCACCTGTAGCCTGAATGATAGCCCCCGCGATAGGGATACCCGTGAGCGTACTGAAGCTGACAACAGTATAGCAAGTAGCGTAGTATCTCCCGTACACATTCGTATCGCAGAGCTGGCCTACACAAACCGGCGTGAGGGAAATATTCGAGCCAGATGCGAAACCGAAGATGACTGCGTAAACAATAGAGAGAGCTTTTATAGCTGTCGCCTCGGCCTCAGTGGTGGGTGTAAGGAGCGATGCGGGGAGCCAGAACACCAGTGATGTAGCTGAGCAGACTGCTAGTGCAGCTATCATGCTGTTAAAGCGCCCGAGCTTGTCGGCAAGGAGACCCGGCACCCAGCGACCGAGACAACTTCCTGCGTTGAAGATGGCGATGAGTTGGTATGAGAACGACGGGTTAAAGGCGCCGGTACTGATCGCGAAGGTAGTGAGGTACGTGATCGGGATGAAGAGCGCCCATTCCATCATGAATATGCCGACTGTGAGGAGAAAGTAGCTCTTTTGGCTGAAGATCCGGAAGTCTGGCCATACTGACTGTCCAGCTTTGGGTGGTAGGCGAGAGCGGATGAGGAAGCAGGCGCCGACGCAGCAGAAAAGCGTGATGAAGCCAATGATGCGAGTCGCCCATGGGAAGCCCACATTCGGTAGCAGTTTCTCCAAAGCCAGCGGGAATATCACTCCGCCCAGCGATCCTCCAGCGGCAGCAATACCCGTTGCGTTGCCGCGCTTCTGCAGGAAAAAGTGGCTCACTGCTGCAAAAGCGGGCGTGAAGATCAAGGATGTACCGAGACCACCGAGCACGCCAAAGACGAGAAAGAAATGCCAGTACAATGTGCACAAGCCGAGCAGGAAGTTGGACAGGCAGATCAGGATGCTACCTGCCAGCACCAGGAGTCGCGGACCATGGGCATCAAAGATGGGTCCAATTTGTAGTCCGCAGAAGAACGACAGGAAGACGTACATGCTGAAGATCCATGAGACGGTCGACTCGGAGTAGTCCGCAAGATAGTGCTCGGCGATGTAGGCATGGTAGATGCCGACAGTGTTCATCATGCCCAACGAGGCGATGAGACCAAGGAACGATCCCAGAACGACAGACCAGGCACCTAGGCCGCCTTCAGGGTATGTTACTTCGTCATTGGCGATAGAAGTTGATCGAGATTCCTCATCATGAGGTCGGTGAGCTTTCTCATCTCCAGTTGCAGTGTTGCTTGGGCGATTCGCCTTGAAGCTGGCCGATGCCGGGGCATCGGCGTTGTGAGTTTGGGCACTTTGGCATGGCGAAAGTGTGTCCGATGGTGGGATGGTAAATTCGGCGTGAGGGTAAGTGTTGACTCTAGTCAGATTGCAGTGTGGGTTAATTGATCCTGGCGTGCTGCCTTTTGGTTCGCTGCTCATACGACCTATTGCGTTCGTATCGGGGAAGAGGTTGAATATGTGTAACAATGCGCGTGCTGCGCGGAAAGCAGTCGTTCAGATTTGGAAAGTGTCGCAAAACTCCTACACAGTCCCCAAGAGCGTTCTCGCGGCCCTGTTATACCTCCCAATCGATGACGTGCGCGGAAATTCAGTCGCAGTTTGTGGTTCCCCGAGCGGTTTGGTGTTGCATAGTCGAGCTCCCCGAGCGGTATAAGTACATCGAAGGCCCATAGAGGGGTAAAGAGCCATGACCAATAGACCCACTGTGCCGCTTCGGCTACCACTCGCAATGCGGTATCGCCCGCTGCCGACGAAGGGTTTTCCACACACACCTTTTTCGACGCGGTGTATGATTCGCCCTAGATGCCGAAAACCAAGACATTGTGTGATATTGGCGGTGAGATCAACGGCAGGGCGTGGAAAGCATCAACTCCGAACATAGCAAATGTCGGAATTTGACACGGAGCTCAGCGTCGTCGGCGTCGGGGAACTTCTTGTGGGGGTCTCCGATCTGCTCAATGATGTCGACAGCTTCCTTTCCTGACCGTGTATACTGTAAAAGCTCCTGAGCCATAGGCGCAATCTTTTCCGCGTCGTTGGTGGCTTCGAGGATGGATAGCCAGATCTGCGCGCGCGAGGGAGTGGGTGTGAGTGTAGTAGCGTTGCTAAGCATGGAATCATAACGGCTATGGTCGCTGTCATGCTTGGTGTAGGGTGCAGCGGGCATTTTGCTGACCTCGTGGAAAGGCAATCTATTCCGGTTCGTGTTCGATTGCACCGTCTCCAACAGCAACCTTTTCTCGTTTGTATCGTGTGCGCACGCGCGAAGGATATCGCAGCCGTCATTCGAGGCACATGTCTGGATGGCCTTGTATAACAGTAGCCAACTACCGCGGAACCTCCAGCGGTCTTGGTGTGATACATCGCGGTTGCGAGACGCATACGTAGCTCTCAGTCTGCCTTCCAAGAGTTCGTAGAGTGTATCGTTGCACTTTTCGCTGTCGGTCTCCGGTTCGTCGTCTAAAGTGTCTCCTTGCGGTCTGTAGTATGCAGTGGCTTCACCGACATTCATCGGCGATCGATCCTTGTAATGAAGGTTTTTCGGCTCCGAGGTGTCTTTGGCGGCCTCGCCAGGCTTGGACTTGAGCTTCAGTCTCGTGGTGAGCTTCATCCGGAGGACTCGTAAGTCGCGACGGAGGAGCTTAGCTGTCCAGCCAAGGTCGTATGAGACCGGAAGAAGCATCATGATGAGAATTGTGGTGGTTGAAAGAATAAGCTACATGTACATCAGCATGATCGTAGGACGGAGATCTGGTTCAGGGTACACTCACCAACATCCACATATGTCCGAACCGAGCACTGACAGATATGCGTGTGGAGGTGGATATATTTGTGCGACCGAGAATAACAAAACACGTAGAGAGCAACAATATAGTTAAAAGTATACGTTAGAGTGGCAGTCATATGTGATGTGGTCAAGGTCAGGGAAAAATGATGGTGAAAGTTGTTCCCATGTGAGTTGAAGCTCGTGCAATAAACGCGTCACATCAAGGCAACTGCATTGTAAACAGATACGCAGCAGGCGCGCCTTTCACTTCGACGCGTTTCCACGAGAAGCTAGTTGCACATACAACCGATACTACAGCGTCGACGTGCAATTGCAAAACGCTTCGCACACCAGCAATATATGACTGAAGGCGCCATCAAACGTCGCATCACTGTGCTTACACCGTCCACTCCACCACCTCCCCCAATCTCCAATCCACATCCTCCATCCAAGCCCCGACACTCCACGACCTCAAATTCCTCGGCCACCACTCCTTTCCACCCTCTTCAACCACCTCCTCGTCTTTCTTCTCATGCACCTCAACCCAACACCCCCTCGCTCTCGGCGCAATCGCCGCAATATCAAACGCCCGCCACTTCTCCGTGCCCACCAGCACGGCACCTTCTTTCTTCGGATCTAGATCATACTCGTCCACCTCTGCTCCTCCAAGGACCTCGCTAAGCGCCCTCTTATACTCTGGTGCAGCAGGCAATGGCGGCTGCGCGGCCGCCATGCTAAGCGGAAGATACTTTGTGTTTAGCGGAATGGGGGGAAACAACGTCCACGGCTTGAGCGTACAAGCAAAGAATGGGGCGCCGCCATCTCCATCCTTAGTGCCTGGGGGAAAGACTTGCACAGTGAGGCTGGAGGGGGGTGAGGCACCAGGTGGCGTGGGTGGCGAAGAGAAGGAGAAGCGAGCGAGGTGTTTGGGTATATTCCAGTTTAGGCGGCCATTATAGGTTGTTGTGCGTTGGGAGACGTAGATGCGGGATATGCGTTGGGCCTTTTTATGGATCTTGATATGCAAGTGGGATGAGGTAGTGCTAGTGGGCTGCGGGACGATGAAGTTTCCGGGAACGAGGAGAAGTTCGTCGTAAGGACCTGGATTTAGGTTAGAGGGATGGCTCTGAGAGTTCCGGTCTCGTGCAGTGTCTAGGCAAGACACTCTTCATGCCATTCTCTTTTCACTTCTAAAGCGTGCCGTAAAATCAATCGGATAGTCTCCTCGTCCTCGTAACTCGCTTTCTTCGCACTCCTTCTCTTGTGCTCTTTACCAATATCACTAATATCACTGCTCTTCTGGATGGGAAAGAGACATTTTACGTACCTACAGGCGTGTCCCTATACCTATACCAAGGACATCAGCATATGCGCAACGCATGCAAGCCATCTCACTTCCTTTTCTTTTCCTGCTCCTTCATAACCCGCCCGCTTCCGGCATTAACTTACCTAACGACAACCACACTCCCCAAACCCCCCTTGAACATTCCCTTCTCCTCGTCATCCCACCCTCCAACCTCGCCTTCCAACTCATCATGCACATTCTTGGGCAACTCCTTCAACGTTAGAAAGAGCATGTACACCTCAGCCGTGAGTTTCCATGGTGCGAGCGCACGCTTGACAGGGTGATGAGCCGGTTCTTCAGACACGGACGTCGACATTATTATGAAGCAGGAGATGGATGTAAGAAGAACAAGATTACAAGAGACGAAATACTACCACTGTGATCGAGGAAACGACAAACGGTGACGGCTGTGTTGGCGCAGTAATGATTAGATTGATACTGTCCAGGGTTTACACGTGAGAGCACATCACCCCTCCAGCCGCGGCTTCTCGTTACATTGCCGCGCCGCTCCCTCCTCTTTCCAGCGAACGACGGGACCTGCCCAGCTTAGATAGCATTATCTAAGAGGCACGATGCATCGATCCTACCGATCATCATCTCCAAGCAACAAGTGCGTCTGCTGTTGAGAATGTGAATGATACTTGCAGGAAGAGGAGGTGCGAAGAGTGCTGTGGATGTGGTATTGTCAAGATTTCGCACCAGCGGGTGCGGAGGGACGCGCGACAGCATGAGCGCCAAGTAGCGCCCTCCCGCGTTCTTCGACAACGCGACATCATCTGTGAGCACAACAGATAGTTGAGTTGATTACATCCTTCATCAGCATTGAAGAGAGTCATGTCAAAACGCGCATTGTGGTAGCCTCCAAACATGCGCTGAGCTGTCGTCACGAGACCGACAAGTCCAGAGTTCAGTCCGCAGCATGATATCGCTGATTGACTTCACTGCTACATTCCCATCTCACCATTTCCGAAATATACGCTTTAATCATCGGATATGCATCCTTCTTTGCCCCATCTCCAACCAGAACCCTCACTCCTTACTACTACGCGCCGCGGTCCATCATATCTGCAAGCGCAAGAGAACCAAGGAAGATACTCCGATCCCACGTACCTCCCGTCTCCCACTATACGTATCATAATGACGCTTATTTCTTCGGACATGCACCCCTTCAGGTACAGGAATGGCAGTGACGCCCAAACATGAAAAACATCGTGACCATCAACTAAGAAACCACACTCGGAACCGTCGCCCTATTCAGTACAGCACGCCCGTTCGCACTACTGGTACCGAGCTACCCAGCATTTGCGCGTGGGAACCGTGCTTCAGCGCAGGGTCCTCTTTACGCCGCAAATCCTGTAACAGAGGGATTCCCTTGCATGCCAGCAAGCCACACCCACGAGGTATCGAAGCCAAGTCCTGTCATGAGCCACTAGCCTGATGTTTTGCCACACACACACACACACACATAGCAGCGGTCGATGCGACGTCCAGGTTGCCGTCTATTGTCAAGTGTGCACGTGGTGAAGGAGATGACTCGAGACGCCACCGTCGAGCCCGGCGGCCAAATGCCAAGAGAACGCTTTGTTCCCGCCACAAGCCGCGCGCTGAAAGGACATCAGCCGAATGCGCGTCATGCAAGCGGACTGCTCTATGTGGGCAAGCCCTGGTCGAAAGCCCGATCGAGCATTGACCCTTTTTTTTCCTCTATTCGCACGTTATGGGCTTGGCTTCAGCTGGTGCAGAGCCGCATGACCTAGGTTTCTTGCTCTCTCGATTCGCCCGCCCGCCGCCGCCGTAGTTAGCCGGGAGGGTTGGGATGGCGCGGCGTGATTGGATAGGATGGATTGAGGAGCTAGGAGGCCAATAGACGGTACGGTTTGCCCGTTCAACTACTGGGGTGTAGTTAGGACATAAAAATAATCTCATGTCATGGTCAACAAAAGACGAAGGTGGGTTGAGTTCGGTAGATTGATGACAAAGGGGACGAGTGAAGCGGTAAAGCGGTAAAGCGGGAAAGAGGGAAACAAAGGGTCTGGACAAGGTGCGATTACCATATAGCCGATCGTCGCAGAGCCGCAATACCGGCCATGTGGAAACGTTACTTTGACGAATGAATCAGTTCAACTTGTCCTTTGGAGGTATGTGTGTGTGGGGGCCGCTTCCAAAAACCCTTTGGATTCTCGAGTCACCCGGACGTTATACTACACAACTACACAGACCAATATACCCATGTCCGCCTGCAATGCGGTACAGAGTGAAACCGAGCACACGACACCTTACCATATGCAAACACAACTGCATCGCTCCTGCGGGTTTTCATCTATATTTTAATCTCCGCTCCGTCCTGCACCATTCCCGCGTATAAGACAATCATCATCATAACAAAAACACACTTATAAAATTGCAATCCCACGATACCTAGCCCCAGTGACTACTTGCCCGCGTAAAAGCGGGTCTGAATGAATTTCTATTACCCCCAGATAATTCCCTTTCGAGGCTCCTTCTCCACATTTAACGTATATACTAAGCAAGCTGGGGCGGCAACTAGAGAATTGAAAGGTGTTCTTAGGTTCTTCTACGCCGCCGAGAGGATCCTAGCGAACAAGTAGACCGGCACATCAGTAGCGGTGTGCAAGGTCAAGCAAGGAAGGTGCAAGTGGAGATTAGTCGATGCGAGAGAGACACATGCAAGACATTTTGGTTCGCATTAGAGTGTTGGACGCTGGGAGTAGCGCTGGGCATACATGCATGTGATTTCGGTGCATGCGCACGGGCGGAGAGGAAGAGAGAGACATGGGAGCTAAAGGTTCAGTTAGTGGCAAGGGTCTACGCCACATGCAACACTGTAACTTGTCTTCGTCCTACTATGATATGAGTTGAGAAGTAAGCGACGCATTCATAAGACATGTCTTTTTCCTACAGCGTAATCACGGTGACAATTAGGAGTGATCAAAACGATAGCATCTAGGAGCCAAATGGTAATGTAGTAACGTGTGTAGAGTGTGGTATTACGGAGCCCCATCATCTCTCAATCTGAACTGAGAAGACTCGTCAGGACAGCCGCCATGGTCTAATCAACTATTTACGCAAGTAGAGGACCAGGTAACAGAAATAAAAAAAACGCCGTCGTTGTATAAACGCATTTTGAAGACTTTTGTTGTTTGCTCTGCTAGGAGAGGATGAGAACGCCATTGAAAAAGAAAGAGACCCAAGTCTATTCGACAATTCAAGGGGGGGATATTCCGCGTTAAAAACACAATAGAAGAGAGATGGCCAACCAAAAAAACACCTCTTTATGCACATCGATTTCGTCATACCAAGCGTCGTTGTTGTTGCTGTAACGCTGCCGCCCAATCAAAACGGGAGATGTACGTCTTCAAGAGAGGTGTACAAAGGAAGCGAAAAACGTAGTGGAGCTCTTTATCCAAGAAATCAGGCCTAGCTTATTTGGTGGTAGAAGATACTGTATTGAATCCTCAAATCCAAAGTGTAACGCCAGGTAGATGCAGGAAACAAGAGACGGTAGAACCAGTCATGACTTTTTTGTCTGTCGTCCATGGAAAAACAAACATTGATGGGGCAAAAGCTGCAATCGTCGTCGTCGCGAGTTTGGAAGATTTGGGTATTGAAGAAGGGTACAAGTGTGGCGAGACGCGTCGAGAAGCGGTCTCGAAGAAGGTAAAGGGTTTAGAACATGGAGGGGTCAATGCCGCCCATTCCAGCACCTGCGACGTTTGCGTTCTGTAGATTTTGGAGGTTGGAAGTAAGGCCAAGCTTCTGCATCGCAAGCTCGGGATTGCAGTGAGGGGCGTGGGAGCGGTGGTATTTGAGACCGTTGAGGTTCTTGTATCGCTTGCCACATACTTCGCAACGGTAAGGCTTCTCCTTCTCCATGCCGACGGTGCCGGGGTATGGAATGGACGTCAGAGGATCGACAATCGAGAAGGTACCGTCGTCGTTCTCCTTGAGTTGCTGGTTCTGGTGACCATGCTGCTTGTGGTACTTGAGACCGTTTTGGTTCTTGTATGCCTTCTCACAGCCAATGACTGGGCATCGGAATGGCTTGACCTCTTCTGGGAAGGGGAACTGGGGTATGCTCGCGCCGTTGATGAGCTGTTGCTCTCGTAACCTCCTGGCCATCTCGCTTTGGTCGTTTCCGCTAAGCTGGTAGTTCTTGAGCGCTGCTTGTAGCTGAGCCTGGTTCAGACCGCCACCTTGCTTGCTGAAGAGACGCTTGCCGGGCTGGTCGATGGTGCCGTTGTTGTCAAATGCGCCCATGCCAAAGTTGCCGTTGCCGTTGCCAAAGTTCATGCCCATGTTCATGTTCATGTCCATGCCCATCATTGGGTTGAAACCGCCAAAGTCCATGTCGAGCTCGGCCGGAGTGCCCGGATGTGACGATTCGGGCGATGTCAGGTTGTGATTTTGCATAGGCATGGTGCCCATTGTGGGCGTGTTGACCGACGAAACGGTGGGGTTATTTTGGAGGTTGAACTGCTGTGTGGCGGATGGCGTGGTAGGAGTGGATGTGCGCATGCCTTGGTGATTTTGCATGTTGTTGGCGAGGTTGACGTTGACGTTGAGCTGTGGCTGTTGATTTTGGTTCTGGTTGAACTGGTTCTGGACTGGGAATTGCTGCATGTTCTGCTGCTCCTCGATGGGACCGAGGTTGTTGAAGTCGATGTCGTCCATCTCCATGTCATCCAATGTGTCCATGTCCTGCACAGTCGACAGGTTGGAGCGACTGACGGAGCCGATGCGCTGGCGTGGCGCGCCGATGGAGCCTGACCGCGACTGGAAGCCATTCTGCGTGTTGTAGGCATCGCCCTGTGTCTGGCTTGGCGCAATCGAGCTGGTGGGAGCGCCTGATGTGTTTGTGAAGCCGTTCTGGGGCTGCTGTTGTTGCGGGCGGGCAGCGGGTGCGTTGGCGTGCGTCTCCTCGAAATGCTGGAGGAGATCGTGCAGCGAGGCGAGGGTAAGGCCGCAGCAGGTAAAGTCCTTCATGAAGGCGGCTTCCATCTTGGGCAGGTAGGAAGACGAGTGGAAGGAAGGCGAGCCCTGGACGAAAGGCGCGGGTGAGGTGCCCATCATGATGCTGGTGCGAGAGTCAGTTTTGGATTTCGTGTCGGGTATTTTAAAGTGGATACTTACTCGTCGCGGATCCAAGACCCGACCGAGTGGCCGCCCCAGCTCATGCCGCCTGCGAAACTGCCCATGTTTGTGCTCTCGCGGCGGCCACGGTCCTTCATGGTGATGGGGCGGGCGCCGCTGTTGCCGTAGAAGGAGGAGCCGAGCATGCTGATGGAGGGGTGGCGCTCGCTCATGCTCGGGCGCTGGCCATTGGTGAAGTCGAAGTTGTTTGGGTTCAGCAGGCCGGGCGTGGTGGACATGTTGTCGGGCTGGGCCTCGGCCTGCTGTCGCAGGGCCGACGTCAGGTTGGACGTCTGGTTCTGGGGCGAGTTGGAGCCATAGCGCGGGGGCGTCTGGATGTCGATGGGCGAGGCGGTAGCCATGTTGGCGAAGCCGCTGTGCAGTTGCGGCTCCTCGGGGAAGAGGGGGAAGCTGCAGTCGCCCGCGTCTTCGAAAAGGACGTCCTCGCTGGGCTGGTGGCTGGCCACAAGCTCTTGGGGCTTGCGGTGCCAGAGGTTGGAGAGGCCGGCACTCGGGTCCTTCTTACCACGGCCAAAATGCGGCGACGATGGCTGTTCGACAGGAGTGCTGATGGGGGTGCTCGCTGCCGTGGATTCACGCGGCGAGTGGGAGAGAGGTGGCGGCTGCTCGTAGGAATCCAGCTTCGCGGTGGGCGAAGGTGTGTAGAGATGTGGCAGTGGGGAAATAATGCTAGTGGAACGGCGACTCGTTAGGCGCAGTTTCAGATGACTGTGCGTTGGCTTGGGTGTGGCGTATGGTGTATAGTGGCTGGCAGTAGCAGTGGCTTGTTATTTTCTTCTTCTACTCAGCAAGAATATGTCGCTGAAATAGGTCGGGGATAGTTGTCTGGAATTATGCAACAAGTCGTGCCGGGGCGTGGGAAACTATATGCGTGTCGGTGGGAGCCAGAGCGGTGACGAGCGACGAGCGGCCGACCTCGAGATCCCTGCCGATGGGTGGGTGGATACGGCCAATTGCGGGCAGGCGCTACTGTGCCTGTATGCGTCGCTCCTGGCAAGGTGCAAGTCTGACGAAGGGCGATCAGTGATTGTGCGATGCGAGTGACGAGGGCGGCAGCGTCATGATATAACCGCGGAAATTGTCGCGAATTGCCTGCTTCTCGAAACCCATCACCAGGCACAACAACGTCTCAATGCCACCCAGCTGAATAAGCATCACAATGCCTACGCCTCGCGAGCAACGGCACTGCCGGCCGAGGCAACTTCTGGTGAGCACCGCGCACGGCCACATGGTTTCTGGTACGCGCCCCTACTAGAGCCGGAGCATGGAGACATCTCCAAGCGTCTACTGTCACGCCGTCGCCTCTGCAAGCCACCCTGGCCCGTAGCATCACCAACATATCTCACCTTCTAGAAGCCCGCCGCTGATGGAAAGTACCGTGGCCTTGTCCTTGCACGTGGCGCAGACAACCGCCGTACTATGGAAGCTGGGCATCCAACCATGCCACATCCGAGTATTCACCGACACCCTACACTTGTTGGAATCTCACCAACAATACCAAACAAACGTATACATTCAACTCTCTGTCCCAACTATATACGCGAACCGCCGCTGACGCCCATGCACCCTCTCCTGCAACCTGCAACTCACTAACATGGCTCTGCTCCGCTGTGAACTCAAAAGGGTCTTGGTCTGCACCACACCCAACATGCTTCATCCCTACCCGCCGTGCTAGCCACCACCAGCCCGTCTTCGAGCATCCCCAGCGCTGAACATGGTCGTTTCGAACCGTCAGCCAGTCTCTCGGCCAGGTCGGCAGAATGCGTCGCCCTTGGCCGGACTGCTCTCGGCTGTTTGACTGCCTTGGGCTCTCTTACACAAGCAATCAACTAACCAGCCGCCGCTGCTATTAGCCTGCGCTACATGCGGTACGTACTCTGAAGATGTTGGGACGACGACATGCGTCGCGTATCGATGCTCTGTAGCCTACACATCGGTTGCAATCTCTAGCGCCAGAGTCCAAAGCCATCGCAGAGATACTCGGCAGGTCTTGAACTTACTTTTTTACCCCATGGTCTACATGGTTTACATTTCTGGGGTAACAACCTGTCGCTTGCCAACGTGCGTCAGTCGTCGTTGCATGCTTGACTGCCACTCTCCAGCTCCAGTACCGACGACCCGAAATGTCGTGCTCGTCCACCAACCAGGACAAAACTACAAGATAGCCAACCCCCACGGCCGCCTCACAAGCTTCATTTGCACAGTCTACACCTCCTGGTGATCTCAGTTGCATATTCGAAACATGCAGCCTGTCCCCGTGACGATGCATCCGAGCGCCGGAGTCTTCTCATACCGTCCTGTAAGTAAGTCTGCCCTACACAAGTCCCATCCTTGCAAACGTCACGCCCAGTTCGCTTCACGTCTTGAGCGCTCGTTTCATTGGACCCTGCAGCAGCTCATTCTCCCACGTCGTGCTGAATTGGGGATCCCGCCCTACACGCAGTCCCATTTCATCCCACTTGCGTGTGTCACTCTAGACACCTCATCACCGCCCCCGTCAAGCACTTACGAAAGCACCTCAAACATGTCGTTTTTGGATTACGACGACTCCGACAATGTTTTTAACAAGTACGCGCTACCGCTCGTCATATCCGCGGGCTGACTGCGCTCCTCGGGCATGGGCGGGATTCGTTGGGGCGGCTCTCCCGCTGTCGCTTCGCTTGTTTACCAACGCCGCCAAGTAACACACGCGGAAGGCCCAACCGGTGCAACTTCCGACTTGCGAGCCAGAGTATGGGCTGCGTGTGCGACGTCACTCACCTGCTCACCCATCGCCAGATTGCTTGGGGTCCAGCTCGTCTCAGCTCTCCATGCCAACCACCAATCCAATATTCTCTCGCCACGCACGGTACCTCGAGCTGAATCGTCGTCGCTTCCGACGCTCAACGCAGCGTTTCTTGGTCCATCTCTTGTAGCAAGTGTGGCGAGACAAGGCATCGTCAGATTCACCAACCCCCAACATCGCATCAGGACTCCAACTCCAATCCCGGCTAGCATGCTTCACCGCCAACTGCCGCCAGACGTGACGTACCCGGTATAACAGTATCTATTATCCGGTAGCGCACGACAGTGCATCGACACCTAGGCTGCTTCAAGATCATGCACATTACATCTTCCGATCTTATCAATGTAGAGTCCGGAATACAGCCTGCCCTCTTCCGCTGGTCCACGGTACCATGGGAAGAATAGGGACAACTCGCAACTACATTCAATCCAAGACGAGAATTGCTGTCATGCCGATTGCGGCAGCGGGGTAAAAAGCAATTCTGGTACTGAAGCACTGGGCAAAGTGACCGGGACCGTAAGTAAGCTTTCTGTACCGACGACATCTCAGCTGGCTCCAATAAAGAGGCAATCATGAGGCCAATTCATCGCATGTCCAAACGGTCCCGCTACCGGGCTCGTGAACCAACGCCGCCAGCCGCCACAGCACTACGTGGTCGAAACGGCCCTTTCTCATGTTCACATCTGCGCGTCATTCCTTTTGGCGTCAGGCACGTCTACCTCGAGGGACGAATCGCGACCACGTATCACCACTACTAACGTCAGTAGCCTGATGTCCCTCGCTTAAACAACCAGGTCTCGCAATGATCAATCACGTCCGTCGGCAAGGTAACGTCAAGGACCCATGGGAAATCGTTTATCCCAGCAAGCAGTCACAATTTTTCGAAATTGTCCGAAACACCATCGCTTATGGCGCCTTAAAATGCTCCATGAATCCACTCTGCATCGTCGAATTCGCCCTACTCGCATTTACCCACTCTCCACTTCGAGCTTCATGCATGTGCATTTCAAGCTTCAACGCTAGAATTTCTAGCGCGGGCTCGGTCCTTTTCCAAGTCACGTTATCGGGCCGCTAAATGTCTACGCAGGACCATCATCGGCAACTGCCCTGAGATCATAACTTCATCTTCACTGATGTGCAACATGGATAGATGGCGGCATACCGATTCCAGACTTTCCGTCTATGAGTGCTCGACGAAGGATTGATGGGCCAGACGCTGAGATGATGATGATGCATTCCTCGGTGGAATAGCAGGTGTCTTTCGGCCCTATATCCATGGACGACACGAGCGCAAGTCAGCCCTGTGACGTCAACCAGGTAATATTGAATCGTTCTCTCCCTTGCCTACACGTAGAACGCCAAACATGTGCGAACTCTCCAGCCCAGCTTACCGAACGACCATTCCAGAGGCGCGATGCGATCGAGAACGATGAAGCACCTTATCTAGTCAGATCTACACTGTACTAACTCCCTAGCCTCAACCCGCATTTCGGGATAACTATATCCAGAGGGTGATGTGCGAAACCGCGCGTCACCGACCTGCGCACTCGCGGCGTGGCATATGTCATCCCGACAAACACCCTGGTGCGTTGTGACGAAAGATATGATGGAGAATCAGCCATAGTCTCGCTGCCGCTTCCGGAACCGCATATCACTCTACACATCTCAGCCCCGATGGATCGACCTTCCCTAACGGTTTGTTCTGAGATGAGCACGACGATCAATTAGGCCAGACACAGTAGGTCCGGCAACGTTATCCGGTGGGATGGAGGTTTGTGAACAGCATACTGTATGGACTTAGTATAGATTCGGTATGAATCTAGCTGCGTCATGACATCAAGTGATCGACGTTATCACTAGGACTGAATAATGCTCGTCTATGACAGTACTCTACTTTCCATCTCTTCATCTTTCCACTTCCCCTCAATAGATACGGGGTATGTCCGATTCGATGAGGCACGGATGTATACTCGCGGCGTTCGACTGCCTCCCCCTGCGACATCGACAAAGCCCAACCTATACATTAGCTAATGTGTATCTATACAATCGGAAAAGACAACACTACGACTACAGAGCATGCTGCGTGTGTAAGTACAGCAGCGCTGGAGGACTTCCATAAAGACACGGTCTCAGGAACGTGATCCGAAAACATCACGGCGGTTTTACTATATACCCGTTTTCCACAAACTCTCCGTTCTCTAGTCAACGTTTGATCTTGGCTGTCTTGTAGCGCCATCTCTTCTTATCGTAGCTGCTGTTCATTCTTCGATGTAAACGTTGGTGAGATGTTTATCTGGACAAGAAGATGATGATGCACATTATAGGACACGGTTACGAGTCGCGATGACTCCGACACAGCACTTCTCCAGCCTAATGCCAACCACAAGGCACCACATTATCGTTGGAACAGGGGCGATCAACTTGATAGTTGTCTTTACATCGAAATCTACCTACAGCTGAAAGATCAGGATATCAAAGCTCCTCCAGATACGTCATTCTTCCAGAGATCACTTTTGTCTTTCCTTCCTTGTCAGTCTACCACAAAACATCAACCTCCTTGATACCCTCATCGATCCACACCACCGCTTTCAAACAACTTGCTCTTTGTTCTTCGTCATCATACGTCCTGAAAACGTTCTCCGCCCATTTTGTTAATTCTCATCAACCTCTTCTTCTCCTTTTCCATACCCTAGCCAATCCACCACCCCTTCAACATCGGAAAAGTCTACAAAGCCGCCGTCCCTCCACACATCACCGTGGATCTTCCGACCAGTATCTTCATTGTCTCGGCAAGCTGGGTTCTGCGTACTGTCACTACTGCTACGCGCACGACCCCAGCGACAATATGTCCAGCCGTGGGTTAGGATACGCGCGCGTATACCCATGTTTCGATACTCGCTCTTTTCGAAAACCGGGTTCTCGTTACTGCTGGTCTTGTTCTTCTCCCAGCCCCCTCGCCTATACGCAGTGATGCCCTCTATACACACAATTTGTACCAGAGGGACATCGCTGCCTGCTCGACGTTTCTCGGTTTCACTCAATCTGTTTCTTCTGACTGTTTCTTGCTGCAGCTCCTCTTGCGTTGGTCTGAAGGAGGAAGGGGAAGAAGAAGAAGAGGAAAGGGAAGATAAACAAGTCAGCGATGTACGCATGTTACTCAACCGCATGGCACGTTCGTTGAAGCACTCCATCGAGGAGGAAACGTACGTGTCTTCTTTGAAAAGCGGGACGTGGTGGTAGATCGTGTTAGGGGAGAGGTACATGTGTAGACTCAGGAGACCGGCGCTGATGACGAGAGTCTGGAGGTGCGGGAAGAGGATTGGTAGCGTTGGTGTGTTATCTGGAGTAACGAGGGCCAGGAGGGGCGAGAGATGCGTATACAGCGCGCCAACGATGATATTGACGTGGGCATTAAAATTGGCTGGTAAGGCAATCGGCGTTGGTAAGTACGATCGGATAACAGCTGCGTATTTGATCTTACGATCGAATCCTATTGCGGTACACTGTCAGCGAATCCCTAGTCTGCACTTGCCCTTCCTCCCTCTCTCCCTCCCTCCTATCGCTCCTTTGCTCAAACTCATATACTCACCATCAGAATCCCTCATATCCTTCTCAACCTCCCTCACTTGCTGCACGCCTTCCTCTGTGCCCCCAAAAAATCCATGCCGCAGGACTTGCTCCGAAACCACGTTACCGATGATTCCGCACACAAGCGCCCGCATCTTCTCCCCGTTCACAAACAAATCATGCCACCCGGATACACCACCCGGTCCACCGGACGCTACACAGGCAATCACCCTCGCCGTCTCCGGACTCAGCCCCGAATAAAAACGTTCATCTAACACCGCCTCCACCCTATCATCCTCGTTGTTATTGCCGCCGCCGTGGTCGTCTCCAAGGGGGAACGAAGCGTGCGCGCCACGCCGCTGCTGCTGTTGCGGGAAAAACTTCCTGGCGAAGTCTTCGATCCTGTGCATGAACGCCCAGATTGCGTCGCGCATTTCTGTGTCGCGGAAAGCGTAGGCTGGTTTGTTGGGGAACTGAGCAAGGATAAGTTGGGGGTTGGAGTGGAGTTGGCGAGCGTGGAGGTTGGGATCTGTAGACCATTTTTCGGAAGCCTGTAAGGTGGACCAGGCAGTTGAGTGGGAAATGCGGTTGCTGGGCAGCTTGGAGGTATTGTTGGTGGTACTGGTGGGTTCTTGGTGGACGGTGGAGAGATGGCGTTGAGGCGTTGCGGGTGAGCTGTGGTAGTGCTGTTTAGTAATCGTCCAGCCGCTTTCCACGTCTTTGTTCAACTCCTGCTGCATTGTTGACACTTGTTCGCTCGAGCTCTCATCTCCATCTTCCACGCATGTGAGACCTGTGTTTGCACTAGCGGTTCTGGTAACAGGTGCCTGATCCATTGGCATCCTCGGTCTAGCAGCCGTTACTCTTGTGGTCTCCTCTCTTTGTACCTGCGTATATCCTTCCACCTGAGCCTGTGCCAAAATCGCGTTGTTCCTCGCTCTTGTTTGCGCTATAGTCGCGAGCTTCTTCCTTTCGACCTCACTGTCAGGCTTCGTGGCCAACAGCCTTTCAGTCTTGTCTAGTGTGTCATTCGATGTGCGTGCAGCATCGAGCGCAATGCTTCTCACGCTGCCCGGTTCGGGATAGGGTATAGAAGGAACGGCATGGGTATGTCTACGGACAGATTTGGAAGTGGCCGTGGGGCGGACGTGGCGTAGTTGTTCCTGGAGTAGTTGTTCATGCGCCTGATCTCTCTCTTCTTCTTCTTCTTCTTCTTCTTCAATCTCTCTCTCATGTTTTTCTTCCACATCGTCTTCGTCGGAAACAGTCGTTATTTCACCAGTACCGTAAACAGCGCGCTGGTACTGGCTTGAATCATACGAAGATCGACTCCTTTTCTTTGTGGATTTGACAGTAAACACTTCTGCATAGTCGCGTTTCTTTGCTGAAGCAGGTTTGGCGGGTGTTATTTTTGCAGGCAAAGTGAAAAGGCCAACGACGTTTTTGAGGAGGTTCATTCTGGATGTTGAATCGGCGGTAATGCTGGCGTCGGGTGAAATTGGCGATATGGTATATCGATGAGGAAGGGTTTCTAGATGCGGGAGAGATTAATCGAGCAGTTTCTTCTGCTACTGACTCTTGTATGTGCATCGTGGCGGCTTTGTCTTTGTAGGCCTTTGGCCGCATGCGGCAGTCTGTGAGAGCGCGCCGCCGGATGAGGTTTGCTCTTGTTCCTACAGGACAACAAAGACTCCAATGTTTGCATTGCCTGAAGACGAAGACATCATGACTGCAATGGGAAGAACTATCAGAATCTCACTTTTACCTTTGCACGGCGGTGTCTTAATTATTACTTAGCAACTTAAGTAAACAAGGTTAAACATAATAAGTAGTAAGCACTTATTAATGAGATCTACATACTCAAGAGATTCTTCTCTTTTGTCTATCTCTTCAATAGCTTCTATAGGCGTCATGTCTTAGCTAGACGCTCTTGTTGCGTGACCGTGTCGTATAGCTCCGCAGCTGGTGCGATTTGTTGGTTGTCCTAGCTTTCTTTCGCTAACGGATCCTCTGATTGTAAACATTTACCGTACAGTGTCTGTACAGGCGCTCCATCGCGTCGGTCGCGTAGCACCGTACGAGGGACATCAAAAGTCTGACTAACTACTCTTACAGCCTTGATCTGGTTTCTATTGAGGGATGAGATAGTAAGCTACATATCGGCTTTAGAGGAATACAAAAGAGGTTGTTGGGGTTGAGGCATGATTACTTTGAGCTTGAAAGGTGCGCGAAGCTGGTGGGATAGGCGGCTCGCTTGTAAAACATGATAACTTCTTCAGGACGTTCCGTTTGGCTGTCTCTATCAGATCCTGGCACATTAATGCCACCTAAAGGAAGGTGTCGTTTGCATTTGACATCAAGTGCTAGAACACCGCGTCCTGTGTTGGCTTGTCGTACTTCCTCCGCTGGACCAATAGGAAGACACTTGACCCATAATTTCTAATCAGGAAGCGATGCGCATCCTGCAGCCCAGTCTGCAGCCCAGTCACTTCCATTAGGCAGCCATTTGATCAAGAGCAAGCTGAGCTGACGCAAATAACAGTATCCAACCTTCCAGGTTCATCCACGATCCGCACTACAAAGCCATAGACTTCAGCTATCTACCTATAGGCAATAGCGACCTCCGACTTCTGACTCCTATCTCTATCCAATCAAATCGTCTTTCCTTCAGCATGAGCCGCTTTGCTCAAAATTCAGCACCTCGCTACACTGCGGTCTCATACACTTGGGGCAATGAAACTCCATCGGAGCACATATTTATCAATGGTCAACCTTTCCCCGTCCGACTCAATCTCTGGTCATGTCTGCACTATCTAGCCCAAGACAAAACGGCAGGCTGGACACATCTCTGGGTTGACGCAATTTGTATCGACCAAATGAACAACGCAGAACGTACTGCGCAAGTTCGGCGCATGGATACAATATATCGCAACGCGAGTGCCGTGTCTGTTTGGCTTGGTCTCCCACCATCTGTCGAGCAAGACCGATCTTGGCACGAACCAATACGAACTTTTGAGGTCTCGGACTTCGATTTCCACGATCAGATGTCCCATCTAGCAAACCATTCGTATTGGACTCGCTTCTGGGTCATCCAGGAGTTTCTCCTCGGCCAAGATGTGAACGTGTACTGCGGAAACACGCGCATGAACTGGATTGATTTCAAAGAAACACTTGGATCATGTGCGGGTGTACCTGAGCACATCCACCAAGCGTCTATGCCGAAAGACTTTGACAGCAGGCCTTGGAGAGCTTTCCCTCTGATCACCGGACGCCACCCGGATCGCCATCCAGAAATGCATCTCCCGCTCTCCCAGTTGCTCATCAATCACGGCAATTCTGAATGCAAAGATCCGCGAGATCGAGTGTTTGCTTTGTTGGGACTAGTGGTGCCAGACGAGCGGGTGCTTCTAGAGCGGTTTTTCCCAGATTATGATATGAGTGAAGACGATGTTGTACTAATTGCGCTTGCGCATGTGAGGCAGTACAGCTTCGAATATGACAGGGTCGATGATGATGCATTGTTTAAGGGGTTGGGGATCACAGATGCGAAGAAGAGAAAGATGCTTGAAAGACGCGTTGTGTACTATGACTATCTGGGAGATGAGGCACCTCGTCATTACCGGTTCTCTGATGACGATGATGGTTATTACCCGTTTTCCGATGACGATGATGCTGCAGAGATGGAGGCGAGGTTTAGTGAGGGTGATGATGGTCCAAATCACAGTTGTTTCAAGACTGCATATGCAGTCACTCTTTTTGTATTCGCTCTGCTGCTTTTGGGTGGTTGGAAGCGGTATCGCTAGTTACAGCCTTATAAGTATTCTCGCAAGTCTCTGCAGCTTACAAACCCTTGATTCCGACCTTAAGGTAGTAGGGATCGGCAAGGTGCTCCTGAAACTCTTCAGACATCATGTCATCAACATCCCAAGCAGCGAAGACAAAACGACCGTGCAAAAACGCGGCTTCTGGCGTAGCAGTCCAGACAGCAAACTGCCCACTTAAGTCCTCTGTAACAAAATGTCAGAGAACCAGAGTAGCAGGTTTGGCTCCACGATATATCTTACCGTCGTACCATTCGATAGTATCCTTGATATAGCCATGCCTTTTGGCTGACTCGGTCAAGACTTCACCGAGTTGAAAGCTTATGACTTGCAACTTTTCGGGCTTCACGTCCTTGGCAATCTGCTGCACTAGGACTGTACCGGAGTTTTTAGTCAGACCATACGATGGACGGGCTCCTTCGGCATCTCATAGGTATATCCCGTTGGTAGAAACATTGAGGAGGAACTGCGAAGAGGTGTTAGCGAAGTATCCTCCTCGTCATTGACAGTAGACAGTAACTCAAGTTAGTTCCACACACGTGCGCCCGACTTACCTTCTGTTGAACGTGTCCAACTTGTTTGTAGAAATGTTGAGTATGGACAAACAATGCGCGAACGTTTACATCGGAACTAGACCAAATCGCGTCCCGACCGCTATTCAGAAGCGGCTCTTCAGGGCCATAGCATACCGCATTCAGCACAAGGACATCGACTAGTATTCCTTCCTTAGAAAGACTCGACCAAATGGTGTCACTTTCGCTAATGTCGCCGACGCTGCAAACTCGGGGGTCTACGATAGTCACCCCACTGGCATCTTCGATCTCGGCTCTCAATTGAGAGGCTGCAGCGAAAAGAGCATTTCGATTGACATCTAAGATGATAACTTTCGAAACAGACGCCCGCGCAAAATTTCGCGCAATGGATAGTCCGATGCCTTCGGCAGCCCCCGTAACCAGGACTGTCTTCCCTAATTGACTCAGTTCGGGCCGAAGAGGTGAGATTGCTGGATATGGTCGTTTGTGGAACGTTGGAACGACCTGGAGGATCGCGATGAGGCGCTCTATGTCTGGGTTGATCATTTTCCTTAAGATTGCGAATGTCGTGTTCGATAGCCGCCTTTGGGATTGCTTGAACGCTAAAAGTTGAAAGTTGAAAGTCTTGTTCCAATACTCTATTGCTCTCGGTCACAAAGGACAATAATTGCCGCAATGATAAGTTCTGTGGAAATGACGATTGAAGGATAATTGCACTTAGGGACGCAGACAGGGTATCTTTTAAAGCAACGAAGTTTCCACCAGAGAGAATGTGACCCACCCAGCCGGAATGCTGACAAAACCTGTGATCGGGGAGAATTTTAAAGCAATTACTTATCTCGTGGCCGGCGATGCCAAGGGTCGAGAGTGGAGCATGCATCCTTAGCAAGCCAGTTTCAGTCTGCAGATCGAACTGATTGATAGCCAGTTTGCTTTCAGCTAGTCATTCCTGACGCGATACCAAATCTAGCGTAGACAATGCATAATCCGTCGGCTCATCTCAGCTGGGAAAGAAAGGCGCGAAAGGCGGACGAAGGTTGTATTCGCCTATCCTTTTCCTAAGATGAACTAGACTAGGCTACGTTTATCTAACAACTTACATTGTCTTAGCACCAACGACTCCTCGCTGGAATTTGACCAGACTGTTAGTAAGAGAATGTTTCTCCCACAATCTTCTCGCTTAGGCTCCACAGACTCTCCGCATTGTCTTCGCTGAAAGCATATTCTATGACCTTCGCAACTTGACAGTCATCTAAGAATGCACCCGAGAAGTCTATGAGTCTTGTCAGCTACATCTACAATGCTATAATCGAGCAGAGTATACCTACCATCAAGTCGAGGATCTAGCGCAGCAGCGACAGATGTCGCAGCACCCTGTTCCAACGTCTTCTCTTTTGGCATCTCCATTTTCTTGCGTTCGAACATCTCCGTAACGATCGGCCAACTTTCGGGATCCACGCTAGCCGCCAACCCTGTCTGTTGAATATTTCCTGGATGCAGTGAATAGCTCTTTACCCCCTTGCTTTCCAGTTTCCTAGACAAAGCAATAGAGAAGAGAATGTTAGCAGTCTTGGATTGTCCCTAAGCTTCCCACGTGTTCCAGGGAGTAGACGTGAATTGAGGATCCAAGAAATTCACTGGGCTGAATTGATAAAGCTTCGACGAGACATTAACCACACGAGCATTGCCTTCGGCCTGTTCGAGTTGTGGTACAAGAAGATTGGTGAGAAGGAAGTGGCCGATGTGATTAGCAGCGAATTGGCTCTCTACACCTTCAGGCGTACGAGCCAACTTGGTACCCATGATTCCAGCGTTGTTGAGCAGAACATCGATCTTAGGGACGAGTGCTGCGACTGAGGCAGCAGCAGTGCGTACAGAAGAGAGCGACAAAAGATCCATCTCTGTAAGCAACATCAAGTGATCGGAGTTTCCGTTTACGTGCCAAGTGCATTAACCCCAGCCATCAGTTAACGCTTCAAGGTCAAACCAAGAGGCCTGTGTCGTCGATGTAAAGGGTGATAAGCAGTCGGTCTAATCTAGCCAATCTTGAGATAGTTAGTGTGGACAGCTTAGCAACCAGAGGGTTTAGTCAAGCGGAATCGGGCCGATGCGAAGTCAACCCGAGCCCAAAGGAGTTCGAGACATGACTTAGATTTTGCGAAGACTATACGCATCCCCCGCATTACTTTTCCTGAAGCTTACAGGATTTTCCAAAGTTGAGTCCTTGCTTGCGCACGATACCCATGATGCACTCCCGCCACTAAACCCCTTGTCTGTTGTTATTCTGTATGTGTGTGAACACGGGCGATAACTTCTTTTTCCTCGTACGAACGGAAAGTCGAGAGATATCTGTGTGTCGGTGTTGCACGTCTTATCTTCCTTCTCGGACACAATTCCTGCTCGGCACCAACAATTAATAGGTATCATTTACTGCCATGATGCCTTCACTTATTCAAGCAGTACTAAAGATTCTTCTTCTGTAAACCTATGTTTCTACAGACACATGCAGCCAAGTATAAACTACGCAACCACATCCTCATTGAATATTGATAGTTCTCACATTATAAGTGACAGTCATTGCAGACACCGAGAGGTTGCTCAAGCAACCAGATTCAGTGCCTCCTGAAATCCTTCAGGAACAGCCACTTTGTCTGCTCTTTCCACCCTTTTTGCTTCCATTGATTTGCTGACCGGGGGAATGTGTCGATAACAGCTGAAACAGTGTGGTCGTGCGCAGCAATTAGAAAGACGTTGTCCTGGTCGTCGAAACCTCTCGCAGCGTTGATAGTACGCATCGCGGTGCTCATATCGCTGTTGACTTTGCCAGGTTGGAGCAAGGGTGCAGAACAGCACTTTGAAGGAGCAATTTGTGCAAGCTACTTAGCGGACAATGGGTTCGGGATGAGATTGGGTACGTTCACATGCTCAGGTAGGGGGACGGATGCGGATGGTCGAATCTGACTCGCGTGGTGGTACACATCGCCAGTGAACAACATGAAGGTGTTCGTTGTTGTACGGGCGAGGCCGCACAGGTGACCTAAAGCGTGACCAGGAGCATGGAGCAGGTAAAAACTGCCGTCACCGAAATAATCCAAGGCAGGAAATCCGCCAATGGACAATTTTGTGTCCGAGAAGTCGAGTTGACGGACCTCGCGATTCGCGAAATCAGTCACTAGAACAGGCGCATCGGGCTTTGTTGGCCATCCGGGGAAATACTCGTCCTTCACGCCAGGACCGACGATAAGCGCTGCGCTAGAGGGGAAGGTTGATGAGTCCCTAACATGGTCGACGTGCGCATGACTAGTCCAGACGTCAGTTCGGCGATTGCAGACAGGTTTGAAATGATGTACCTCCAGATCAGTGCCTCAATACTAGCCCTATCAATCCCTCCACGTTCCAACAAATCTGCCACATTCTCTATAGGCTCAAGTATAGCACCCTCGATCGCCTTCGTTGCCTGCACAACGTGAGGTGCCATATTCTCCCAATCTTTGCGGGCCCCAAGATCGAAAAGGACGCGTCTGACCTTGCCCGCACCGTCAGTGTGAGTAAGGACAAAAACATAGCTGATACCCTCAAACTTTTCGAAACCAGGTATCTGCGGATCTGTGAAGATGGCGGCTGGAATGTTTCCGATTTTACACCCGGTGTCAATGATAGAAACATTGACAGTGTTACTAGATTCTAGGATTGATATCATGCTGTAGAATGGATCGTTGTTGAGGGTTGAGGAAAGAGTAAGAGTTTTCTGAAGCTGAGGTTTCAGATGCGTACAAGCAAATCTGTTATATGGTCTTAGCGGGGACACTGCCGTGTCTTCAAGATTTGCTTCGTCTATAACCTACTTAGTAAAACCACTAGGCGGATTCTTGAGCTAATTGTGTTGCGTCTCATGATTTGTCGGCTACAAGGGAGCAAAGTGAGCTGCAGACCTAAAATACCTGGAGGGGATGCTGTACACTTCGCAGAATACTGGTCCGTGAGCTCGGAGAGCTAATTTCGCGGGCGCAACCGGATCGGACACCATGATGCTACATCATGTAGTCATCGAGTGTTACGTGACATCGCTTGGTAAAATGAAGTATTGCTCCACAATTAACCCGACAGTTCTGGTCAAGTCAGTTGGGTATGGCTCAGGTCCTGAGAATGGTTGTCCGCTCATGGTGGCATAGTGTTGATCACGGTTATGTGCGATTACTCTGACTCGGTTTCATTCGCAACATGAGTGTCAGCTTCATGAATCGTTTTTGAATTTCGTTTGATAAATTGTCGGTGTGACCTTTGAAGGCGAGTGCGTAGGTTGCATGTAATCGAGGAGAAAACACCTAGACTTGAAGCACGAACCCAGCTCAGTAGAAGCGAGTGAATTCACATCCACAAAGAAAGAAATGGGAATGAGTCGATATGACCATGTAACTCTGATGATGGATGTTGGTCATTACGACGAGCTCTGTACTCCGACTTGTAGCCACTCTGGTACCTTTGCTTCCCATCGCCCTGTGCAAGCACTCTCAATACATTCCGATAAGCTTCCAAAACAGAACTCTCGGCCCGTAAGACCGGGCCCGTAGTGCGCATACTTCCCTGAGTTTGTCATGATGCATCTTGCCTCCTTCTTGATCACTGGATCGCGGATGAAACACCAACACGTATCCGTTAGCACCTGGATACCAAACTCGTCCAGCTGCGCGATGTAGCCCGCTTGAGTCGCAAGACTGTACTGTGCCCTCGATGTCGTTACGATTACAGAAGTGGAAGGATGTTTAGTACGTCCGTGGACGAGTTGGGCAAGCGATTTGAGCTCGAGAAGCGAGAAGTGAGGGTTACCAAGGGACACAAGATCTACCGTTCGAGGAAGGACTTTGGAATCGGAATCTTGATTGAAAGCTGTCCACGTATCTTTCAAGTCCTGCCAAGTGATGCTGATCTTTGGCTGCAACGCGTCAGACTCTAGTAGGCCTGCATATTGCTCGGCTTCCGGTGTGACGCCGAGCATATGGAACATGGGTGCTCCAGCACTGGTAGCGAACGCAGCCGAGAAGGCTTTCAAAGCATCTCGAGATGGTGGGCGCTCCATGGATTCGAAGCCGGTGACGATAGGAATACGTGAGCCTGCTTTAGCGCCAATCTTGTAGCCGAGTAGTGGCCAAAAGGAGTCGTCAATTGGCGGTTCGCGAAATTGGTTGAATGAAGGTGCGGAGATAGAGATCTCCGGTACCCTGTTCTTAGCCGAGTGGATGCTAGCTAGAGGAGCGCGACCGGTCAGAGCGATGAGTGTTTCGAGCATATTTGGATATTTAGCTGTTCTTGAACCAAGAACGCTGTTCGAATAGCACACGACATTAGATTCTCCAAACGCAACTTGGTCGCCGAGCTTCGGTGCTGAATCAAGCTGATAAGGCGCACGTGTGAACGACATCTGAGCACCCATGTCGAGAAAAACCTTTGCCAGCTCATCACTCTCTATGCCGAAGCCTGTGTCAACTCCCAAGTCTCGCCAGCGTTGTCGGTCGACAGTAATAGCATTCACAGTAGTGGGCACCGTGAACTTGCCACCCAAGTCGCGAAGCCGTTTGCCGAAGAAGACGGATGCTGGCCCAAAGTGAGCGCCGTCTACATGTGCTTGACATACAGATATCAATGAAGGAGCTTTCATGATGGATGCTGTCCGAATGATGATCCTCATAGCTAGCTCGTGAGCCTTAGTGTACCCGCTTTTCTCATCGCAGTTACCTTCGAGCATGGCTTTGTCAAGTCCCGAAAGCTCAGGTGTGTGAGGTCGAACGTGTTCAGGGCTCAAGGCTTTATAGTGGTCTCCTGTGCTTGTCTCCAATTGTCGTGTCGAAATGCAGTGATCTTGAATGAAGATTATCCTTTTGTTCCAGCCCAGTATGGTTTTGAAGTCTTCAGGATCTACGATCAGCATAGGTATCTTCTTCCCGAACACTTCTTCCGCGACAAAAAGACCAACGGCAAGGATCTCGTTGGCACGCTCGAAAATCAATGCTCTCGGCCCATTGCCGTTCATGATTAGTTCTAGTATCGTTGCTGACCCTGAACATGATCCACGTCCACCTGGGATAGCCAGTATCTTGTCTTTCAGACATTGCCGCACCAAGGGGTGGGAACGATCAATCACCTCTCCGGTGACATGGTCAACACCGCCCCAGAAGCTGAGTTCAAGATTGGACGCTAGTAATTCGCCTGACACGCTGCCTTCAACGTGAGGTGTACCGTATACAATTTCCAGATGCATGTTTGACGAAGGCTCATCATGCATGTTAACGAATGGGTGATATAAGGTATGGATATTCAGGCCTTCTCGAAGATTGCAAGACGTTTGGAATAAGAATTCGTGAACAGCTTGTTCAGATTGTGGAAGCGTTGTCTGGTAACGATCAGTCTACAGGATGTCAATGGTTCGAGGAAGAGGGGCAATCATGACCTCATTCGTGCACGTCAAATCGAACCTCGGCCTGGGGCGCTTGTAAGACAGTAGGTCAATGGGATAATGATAGAAGCATGCAATGAATGGCAAAGATGGCTCAGTCGTCGTGGAGATCTGGAATTGTGTAGACTGAAGTGTAAATGATGATCGCAAGGAAGAGTCGGTTCGGAGTTCGGACTGGTCCAATAACCGAGGACGGAACTCAGGACCGCCTAAAGCGTCCATAAGAGCAGCTTCCACCTTACAACTATCATATTATCGCTTCGTCAATTCCGCACCCTCGGCAGTGCGATGAAGCTGCCGCGGGTCGCCTTCCGAAGCAGCATATAAAATGGCCAAAATTGACACCAACATAACGCAGAACTTCCATCACTCATTTCAAGCCAAGCTCTGGAATCCAGTCGTGAGCGCTCACAAAGCATACTTAAACTCTTCCAGTCATTCTGTCGAATATATCGCAGCACTCTGGTAGCGTGCTTCGATATGGACCTGATCATTGACACTCCACGCCTCAAGCTCACGCTCCTCACCACCGCACCCCGCTCTTCTCAAGAATTCGGCTGGGTTCATGAACTCCGAAGCGACATACAGAGTTCATGGTGGAGGTAAACCCCCTCTCCTATCCCATCATCCTCAACTGACAGTGCATCCAAGTCTCTACGGTGCCTCTAAGACTCCCGAAGATACCGAAAAAGCATTGCAAGATATCTTGCCGGTATCACATCTAGAGGGCGAGGAGAAAGTGCATCGCTTCCCTTACGCTGTCCACGAAATTGCCGGAAATGATGAGAGCAAGGAGGAGCAATTCATCGGCCTGATTACCCTCCGCACCCTGTCCACCTCTGAAACGAAGTTTCCCCCACGCGACAAGTATGGTTCGACTTCGACTTCGCTTTCACTGGAACTGGCTTACATGTTTCTTCCCCAGTCTTGGGGGCGCGGGTACGCTACTGAATCTATCGCCGCTGTCCTCGAAAATTGTGCGCGTGTACCGGCAGTTCACTGGACTCCGTATGAGAAAGTGGTTGTGAGGGCGATTGTGAATGACGAGAATGCGGCGAGTCAGAGAGTGATGGAGAAATGCGGTATGGAGAAGCCGGAGATTGTGGAGTTCGAGGGTGGGAGATTTTTTATTGCGGGGAAGTGGAGGACGAGGCATCGTTTATTTGTCTATGGCAGAAAGATTATGGTTGGGTGAGGATGAATCTTTGTTAGTAGTGTGCCATAAGAAGTATTCGAGACTCCGCTTGCATCTGGAAACATCGCAAGGCTTTGGACACCGGTGTGGGTTTTTATGCTCCATCAGGGCTTTTAAAATCATTATTTGCGAAAACACCATGTCCACCTCGCCCCGTTATCAACGAGCATGCGTATGAAAAATCGCCTTTCTGTTCGTCAAAGGTCCGCAATACTGATCGCGTTCAGCTACAGCCTTATCCGCTGCTTACGGTGGCGGACGCCCGAGAACAAATCCGGTCGTTGTAGACGTCAATGGCTGCACACAATCGCAGAAGCGTATGCGCGATAGCGTAGCACTCGTTCTTTACTTAACCAGTTAGAAGTCTCCACGTCGTCTTGCGTACTGCTATACGGAATCCAGCACTTCTTCTAAGAGTTGAGATAACCTAGCATTGTTTCTTGTTATAACTTAGGCCTCAACACTCCAACAACTAGATCACTACAGGATATTCCTACGTGTTTTGAACGTCACGCTTTTCTTTCGTTATGGCAAACCGCTGTAAGCATGAAAACTATACAGAAAGGCCAATCGAAAGGTGCTGCGGTGTGAGCACATACAAGTTCCTTCTGGGGGCCAAAGGTCCCTGCGGAAAAGTCTACACTTGGTTCACGAGGACTAGTTGCGAATGTGGTGTTTGGTGGGAAAGCACTATTAATGATGATTGCGGCGGTCACGGTCGTGGACCTCATGAGTACGGCGTGGCGAAAAGAAAGAATTGTTATGATGACAATCAACTTACACCAAATGAACCGGGTGGAGGGGGAGGTCGTCGTGAGTTTTGGAACTGTGATTTCGATATGAACAAGCTAATGAGTCATAGCGACTGCGCCTCGGGCTGCAGACCCTACCGGATGGCGAAGAGGCGACGTTTCGACGGCTTCTTGCACGGATGTTGGACGCCAAATTCCCAGACGACCAACGTCGGGCACGTAAGGCAGAAGCAACCAAGCAGGTGGGAACTTCTGTCAACTCTTTTGCGATCGTGAGGCTGTCTTTACTGAATGTGTACACAGCTGTTGATGACAAAATAGCAGTCTAGAGACGTGACTGATCGATGAGCAAACCACATCGCCATGGTAATAAATTGGGTATCAATCTTCAGCTCGTAACTCATCTATCCAAGTAAACCCATCGACCCAAGGAACTACTTAACCTCTTCGTTCCATCGTATCGCATCATGAAGCGTATCGACATCCAAATTCTTCGTGAAAAATGTAAAGACAACCCCCAAAAACGCCGGTGATGCAATCTATCGTAATCCCAAACCAAAGGAAGATAGATAGTAAGAAAATGCTTCGCATATAGCAAGCGTTTACGAAGCCTCAGCCAACGCCTCCCCCAACGCATCAGCATCATAATCCTGCACAACAACCTTGGTAGGCGCATCCGGCACCTCATCGAAGAAGCCCCAAATAGGACCATTCTGGTTGACGCCACTCGGCCTCAACTTTGGCTTCTTCTTCCTATCCCCATCCTTGGTCGTACCCTCACTAGACTGTGAATCCTGCGTAGCCTGTGAGTCTTGCGTGGATTGCGTTTCCTGACTAAGAATCGAAGGCGCACGATTGTCTGTAGTACTGGTGGCTGTAGCAGGGGGAGAGACGACGGGAGCAGGACTAGCACCCCACTTGCCAAACACCCAACCCCCGACTTTCTTTGTAAGGCCTTGTCCGCTGCCACTGGCAACCTGCGGCCCATCGCTCTTCCTCGGCCCGCGCTTCTGGCTCGCAATGTTCGCGTACAACCTATCCCGCTGCGCCATGCTGCTCTGACTCGTCTTATTGCTCAGAGTGCCGTGCGCGGTGGCAGTCCAGGGTGTGAGTTCGGGCCCCACGGAGCCGGCGTTGCCTGGGGTGGCGAAGCGTGCGGCGTTAGAGTAGAGAAGTTGTGAGGGTCGAGACTGCAGAGTGTGGATGTCCATGCCAGAGACAGAGATGAGGGATTCGTGGGAAGCGTGGCGACGCATTGCAGGGCGCATGGCTGTCATGGGGGAGACAAGGTCGTCGGGCTCAAAGTCGCCCGTGGATGTCATGAGTGAAGGCTCTGCTGTTAGAAGCGAGGACTCTTCACTCTCCCGCTCCTCTGGAATAGCGGCCTGGGGCTCCGTCTGCTGGAGGTATGGCGATAACGTGAAGCTAGCATCCGAGAAGGAGTTTGCGGGGCTGACAGCCGATATCACAGCCGTTGCAGGACTACTCTTAGTTGTCAGGGCTATCGGTGTGCTGGAGCTGCGCATTGTGGAAAGACTGGGTGGCATGAGGCCGCGGGATTTGCGGCGGAGATGTTTGCTCCCACTCTTGGCCACCTCGAGTGTGCCAGATGATCGTCGCATCATCGGAGGCATAGCGTCGGGATCAGAGCTGTAGTCGTTGGACTTGACGGGACCGAACATGGGGGACTGGAAGTCGATTGAATCAGGGGGACTGGTGGGGCGGGATGAGTCGTAGGCCTCGCTGAAGACGCGGTCGTACATTGACCCGCGGTGGGAGTCTGATACGGGCGAGCCCGCGAAGGAGCCTGGTGTGAGAGTCGACGCTTGAGACCATCTGTGCGAGTTTGGTACAGTGACAGCGGTGTGCTCCAGTATCGTCGCCGTAGATGAGCGGTCGAGCGTCGGAGGCGGGTCGAAGTGCGTCGGGGTGAGCGAGAAGCGCTTCTTCTTTGGCCGTCGCTGCGCCGGGGGTTTGGGAACGTTGCGAGAAACCTTGGGGCCGTGGTAATGGTGATGTATGTGTAGTTCCTGTTGTAGTGACGCTTCTTGTTCCATCTCCAGTTCTTTCTGCAGCGAAGGGCTCGTGACGTCTTCAGATGAATTCGATACCGGCTGGTGGACTTTGAGTTGGTCTCGCAAGCGCTCTACCTCTTCGTTCGAGTTGCCCAGTAGCTCGCGCAGTTCCAGTATTCCGTGTTGCAAATTCGCGTTATCAAGTAGAATGTCCTTGACAAAGTGGGAGACGACGTTGGGCCCGCCCTTGTCAGTCCCTGCTTTAGCCTTGAGCCTGCCGGCAGCGGAGTGGAGGTTCTCTTCGACAGCCATCCTGCGCTCCATGCGTGCCACGACTTCCATGTGGCGCTGGCGTTCGGCGCGGGATTCCTTCTCGATGCGGTCGATCTGGTCCTGGAGGTCACCTATAGTCCGCTCTGCTACTTTCCATCGTTGTATAGCTGTTCGCTCGTCGACAAGTTTGGCATCCAGGCTGCTCTGCAACTGCGACTGTTCCCTTTCGAGGTCAATCAGCTGGCGCTCGAGTAGTTGGGTGCGCGCTGCGAGGGAACTTAGACGATCGATCTCGTCTTCGGTGGATCGTAGCGTGTCTTCCAGCGCGCGTATGTGGGCATCGGACTCGGCAACAGCGCTGTTGAGCTGCTCGAGCTGATCCAAGAGGTCCCTGTTGGCCTTTATGGTTTGCGCATTCTTGGCCTCGAGCTCTATCTTGTCCTTCTCGAGCGTGTCGATGGTGTGGAGCATTTCCTTGCGTTCGCGCTCAGAGTCGGCGACGTAGGCTTCATGGCGGACGAGTAGGGCCTGCAGGGCAAAGGTTAGCGGCATGCGCGAGGTGAGAGCCGCGGCAGGGCAGCCGATCACTGGCAGCGCAGCGAGGAGGAACTTCATACCTGGCCCAGCTGTGCAGCCTTTGACACATCCCTCTCAAGCCCCTCTAAGAGTCTTCCGTTGTGAGCCAGGAACGCGCAGTCCTGGCTCCCACAGCAACACCGAGGCCCTGGCATGCCACCAAGGCCGGCCGTGTCCATGTGTACGACCCCTCGGTTCGCGTAAACAGTGCCTTGATAAGCGGCAGGTGCTATGCTGTTGGGAGTAAAAAATGCGTGCGAGTAACGTGGAGAGCGTCGCTCATGCTCTTTTGAATTATTCGGCGGGCAAGAGCTGCAGAGACATAGGGAGAGCGGTGGGAGCAAAAAAAGCAAATGGCGTAGGGGAAATGGAGGTGTGGTAGTTGACTGCCCGGGCGCGTCGAGCGATTTGTTGTTCCTGACTATTGCCCGCCGGCCCACATGCCACTCAACCAGGTGTCCCTGCCAGCAAAGCAGCCCCGCCAAGCCCCCTGCCACCGCTCTTTCCTCTCCGCTCTTCCCTGTTTCTACACATCTACTACCCCGATTCGATGATGCGCGCACAATCACGCAGTAACATATGTTCCCGCCTGTCCTTTACCATATCTTAGAGCCGTCATGTACTGATATCGTTCAGCTGGCCGGCGACGTCAACGGCGCTCGGACGCACCGTTTTGCTGACCCCTGCGCAAAATCTACTGCGGAGTAAGATTGCTGATGCGAACGCCAATATCTCGCAATCTTAAGCCCAAAACAAACATTCCTGGCTTGGCGCCTGCCTTTCCCACGACTTCGACAGAATCAGTCACCAAAGTGCGAAGACGATGAGTATATAGAATGTCTGTGGGTGAGCGCAAGGTAGGTTTGGATTCAGATCTCATACCAAGTCACAATCTTCTTTCAACGATTCTGCCACTTCATAGTTCCGGCATCACGTGCACTCTTCAGCCTCACTACCTACCCACGTATGACCCCTCACCGGATGGCTCTCAGACCTAGCAAGATGCGCATCACTCCGTTGAAACGGATGTTTCATCGTCTGCACGATGCAGCGCATGCTGTAGCCATGAACACGCGGCGCTTCCAGACGTCAGCGAACTCCAGCAAGAACCCCACGTCTTCCCCACCATTACCACGTCAACAAGCCGAGAACCCGTCGCTCCCGTCCTTCAGCCTCATCAAGCAACTCCAGACCGCAAAACCAGCAGTGCGCTATACTATTTATGCCGGCCTTGGTCTGATGGCTACCGTTGAGACAACTTTCTGGTTCCATGTTCTGCGAGCAAAGTTCTTCCCGCGTGCATCGAGAGAGGAACAAGATCAGGCTGACGCACTCCTGGATCGCTTGAGGGATGCGATGAGAGGCTATCATAGTGTGTGGATGGCGAATTACGGTAGGTACTACGCCGCGCATGTCTGGGGATTGGGGTATGGAGGACTCAATGGATTAGAAAGTGACGGGCATTGACCGCTTCTTGCGCGCGCCCTACTGGCTACGTGATGCATGGAGTGGCGCAATAGGGCATAATAGGGCAACAGCCAGTGTGCGCCCCGCGTCTGCCTTTCCCGAATCATAGAAAATGGTACATAGTGTGCCTTTCTTATCTGCTTCACGTAGACATCTTTCTCTCATCCTTTTATCTCTTCTGCCTAGGTCTCCTGATACCCGGGAACATCACGTGGTTACAATGAACAACATCAACGACGATAAGAAAGGTGACAACAACGTTGACTTGTCGGCCTTTCCTGGCTGCGCGAACGCACCTACAGTTGAGTTTATGGACTTCCAGCTTCCCGCCTTCGAGTACGATGGTTTTGGTTCGTTATCACTTTGCAGTGTAGGCATGGAACTCTGCTGAAGATGTATGTTGGCAGGTCATATCCTCCAGAGGCCTTGGATGGCTGCAAATGCTGTCGAACAGTCATTCGCAGAGGTTGGATATAGCTTGACGTCTCACAATGATGTCCACGATGACGAACAAACGTTCACGCCCATGAGAACAAATCGGTACAATTCGCATGCCGATGAATGTCAGGAGCGGTAAGTCTGAGTCGTCGCACCGCTTTGCAAACTGCGCCGTCTTCCGATGGGCCGCTAGATCTATACTTATGCCACGAAGCAATTTAATCAAGGTACCCAGTCCAGGTACGCACTGCTCGCTAGCTGCTAACGATAGACGCAGGTACAACTACGCTTGTCAATCAGTTGAGACATTGCTAAAAGTTTACAGGACACTGCCTTCACAACCCCTACCGATCACCTTACCTCGGCAACCCCTTGACAAAGTATCTGTGTTTACAGATCACGTCAAATCACAATCAGCGCTACCTTCTTCATAAGGTCGATTCCATGAGGGGGTGAGGTTCGTTCGTGTGATAGATGTCATGAGGTCGTGCTATTGCCGAGTGGGTCTCAGACTCATCTTGACTTCTCATCCGCGATTGAAATCTCCTCTTGGGTTGCACCGCGCATTCTTATTATCGTCGTCACACGAGATAATATAAGGATATCCTTATGATGTCAGTACTGTACCACTACCCAACCTTGGAATGTGCGAATTCGCGCAAGATTGAGCATTACCGTCCGAACCTTTGCGATCGCACATCAAAACGCTAGTTGGTCTGTGACCACTGGCCGGATGCGCGACGATTGAACTTCATGACATACCCAAGAATGCCTAGCTAACGTATGGGCTCCATAGACATCAACTTCCTCCCACTTCGAATGCACTAGTGGTCAATGCTATACATCCGCCACAAGCAGCACCTCGAATGCATAGCATTGTAAGTCATGAGGATTTCCTCAGTCCTATTGCGAACGACAATTCCGAGCACGTGGTCATCGGCGTCATCCTTAGTAACGGGGAGGTGCGCGGTAATCAATACCGATGCAACGCGCGCGCCTGTTCAGGCATGACATTCGGTCGCCTTGCGGATCTCAAACGACACCACTCCAGTAGACATGGCGGAGCCGGAGGAAAAGGACAGCGCACCTGGTGCCCAGTCGATGAATGTGAGTCGTCTCTCACAAAAACCCTGAAGTCCTCACATCCAAGCTCGCTAGCTTCGAAAGGATAACAAGAAACGAGTGACTAACGTTGTTATCGCATCAGGCAGTAGAAGCAAGCGCTGTAGGGGAAAGGCTTTCCCGAGGAAGGACAAGTTGATGGATCACCTAATGCGCATGCATGCAAATTGGACGACCTCTTAGAGGTTGAAGCTTTTCCCGACATGGTCATTGTCTTGTTCTCAAGTTTGTGGATATTTGGTAAACCGATTTGGGAGACTATGTATCAAAATCTCAGTCGTTTTCATCACTCGCAATATCTGCACCTCCGTCAGTTATTCCGGTCCTTTCTTAATGCTTACACTCGAGGGCAGTTCGTAAGTTCCCTCCGAGCAATCTACTCACGTTACTCAAAGGTGTGTAGCTACTTGTCACCAGCGGATTGCGACTATGCATAGAGTTCGATGTACGAAGCTAGTCAATGATCAGATGGGCGAAGGATTGTATCAAAATGTAGAAACGAAGATCAAGAGATCATCACAATTGTCACTCAGTAGCAAAATTTTCTGCTGACGATTCGGAGACATTCGACCCTTGCGGAGACATACGCGATTCACGACGGAGACTTTTAGCACTGTGCAACCCCGATTATAGACAAGATACAGTCAGACGGGGCGTAATGTTCAAGAGGAAATACATCTAGAATCAGCTTAAAGCTTTATCTTCGAGCGTCAACTCGGCCGCCAGTAATACATATTTACAACCGAAAGACTTCCGATTTCTCTTCTTCTTGAACCACTTCATACCGGCAGTATGCCTTCGTCTACTTCCATCTCTAAGACTGGACTTAACGATGATAACGTCATCTTTGCCGCTAACGAGGATGAGGTCCAGCGCCTCGACAAGCAGCACAAAGTGGTTTATTCTGCAATGCCCCAGCTCGTTCTCGCACCCATCGACCTTGGAGCAGGCGGATACCGGGTCTTGGACCAGGCTACCGGTAGTGGTAGCTACCTCCGAGCCAAAGAACTGTTCAAAGCTAACGAAGAAAGGTATCTGGCTTCGAGATGTGCGCCAGGCGGCCGGAGGTGCTTCGAACACATGGATAGGAACCGACATTGAAGATAGCTATTTCCCAAAAGAGACTCCAAACGACACCTCGTACCATCACCAGTCCATGACCGAGCCGTGGCCGCTACAATGGCAAGGAACATTCGATCTAGTGCACTCACGTATGGCACTTCCGGGCGTCGGTCTCAGCTCACTGGAGGATGCTGTCATGAACCTGGTCAAATTGGTGAAGCCTGGTGGCTGGATTCAGCTGGTCGAGATGCAGTGGCAGGACTGGGATGCCGGTCCAGTGCTCCAAGAATTTCAACAGGCCATGCGGCAGCTTGTGGGCATGGTCACTAATGGACAGGGCGTGGACATGAGAAAGAGCCTGACGGCATTGTTCGAGAAGGCGGGTCTAACGAAAATACAACACGCCATCATCGATGTGCCAGTAGGATTCAAGGCAAAGGATGATGTGCGTGAGCTTAGCTTACAAAGTATGTTTGCGACAGCTTCATTCGCCACGGCCACGCTCAAGACACTACAGCCAGTTGAGCTTGAGGCAGACATTGACTCATTGCCAGCTAGACTCGTGGGAGAGCTCCGTAAGACAGGCGGATCTTACAAGCTCTTTGCTCTCTGGGCCCAGAAGCCTGAATTTTGTTGAGATAGCAGGCGCACGTGTGTATCCTATGAGTGCTGATCATGTGTTCGTCGTTAATGTTGAAGTTAAATGTCGGAAATCTTCGATAAGTAGTAAATGTAACACAACGTTTATAAGGGCAAGTGAACAGAGAACAGCTCTAAAGAACGTGGTGTGATTGCAATTAGGGGTACAAAAGAGCGTATACACATGGAGCTAAGGATCACCACTACTGGAGATAGCTCAGACGATGGAAGGCAAGCGCGCTAGAAGGACAGGCTGCACTACATGAAAACCGTTGACAGCTATAACTTTGAAACCAGACACATTGGGCCATAGCGGTGGCAGCAGAAACATATTCCGCGAACTAAACACCGGAGTCATCCTGCTCAATACCGACCGTTTCGGTATGACTCGTCCAACTGTCACAGTTGCTGATCAATGTGTCATTGCTCGTGATGCCCGCAATTGCGTCGTACTGCTCGACGAACTGCATCGCAAAGCCCTCAGACGTATGCCATCCAATGTGACAATGCATCAGCCAAGCCCCGGGGTTGTTCGTCTCGAACGCCAATACCAAGTACCCGGATGCAGGAAGCATAGCGGTATCACGACGGGGCGGATTGTCAAGGTTGAGAGTTGTCTCGCCATCGGTATAAGTACCTGTGCCCTGCGCGATGACGTAGAAATCATGGCCGTGCAAGTGGATTGGATGAGGCACAGCGAGCGTCGTGGAGATGACGACGTAGACCCATTCATTGGCATTGGGCAACAAAAATACTGCGTTGGAGGTCTCAAAGGCCGTTTCGCCTTGCATGATCTTCATGAGGGTGGGATCTTCCCATTCAGAGACGAAGGTTGTGCTGTTCAACGTCCATTTGAAGAGATTGTCGCTGTTAAACCCAACGGCGACAGGCTCGTCAGCTGTGGCACCAGCTGTGGAACCAACGGTCTTGGAGACATATGGCACGATGTTGTCGGTCTCGTCGGAGCAGCTGTCCTCGTAGTCGTAGGCCGAAGTAGTGGGGGTACCGGGTGCGTCTCCATAATAAATGATGCCACGGATGTCATCTTCATTATCGTTTTCGGAGCAGGCTGACTGAGGGATGGCACGCATCCAGAAGTCAGTAGCATCGGTTTGGTCGGCTGTTACGACGATATCATAACGTTGGCCCATGCCGATACTGATGACTGTGGCTTCGTAGGGTTCGATAGCGACAAGATCAGAAGCGATCACGGTCATGGTGTGATTGTCAATCATGAACTTCCAGTGTGTATCCACGGCGGCATTTACAAGTCGGAATAGGTAGGATGTGCCAGAAGTGAAAGATTGATTGAATCGGTAGCCTCCGTCCTCGTACGTGTTCGTACCATTGATGAGTCCGTTGTCTAGTGTTGGAGGTCCAGAAGTCTCGGCGGTGATATAGAGCTCGTCAACAGTCTACATCGAGTTAGTGGAGTCTAACGACTGAGCTTCCTGTGGGCATGAACACACCTGATGATCCCAATCATTGAGCATTAGTACACCTAGATCTTCATCATAGTTGGCGGTAGCGGGTCCGTTGATGATGATGCCGCCGAAAACACCTTGCCATGCTTGAAGCGCGAAGTGGGAGTGATACCATGAGGAACCGTATTGCGTCGCTCGCCAAGTGTAGGTCATCGATTCACCCGGGGCTGTCGGACATTGCGTGATCGAGCCTAGTCGTGGGAGTAAGAAGTCAGCACTCTCTTACAGTCCGTTCGTGATCTAGGATTACTTACTGACACCGTCCTGGTCATTTGTGTTCAGCTGCCAGATACCATGGAAATGGATGCTCGTGCCGTTGTTTGAAGTTGTGAGCGAGTTTGTAACATGGACAACGACAGTATCGCCCCAGTCTGCAATGAGGGTTGGGCCAGGAATGGATCTGAAGGTGCAAGTGGAGTCAGTGTGTGTCGCAAATGTAGTTGATAGCGATGTTGTCTCACCCATTGACAGCCATGGCTGAGCGTGACACGCCGTCCGGTGCAACAGTAACATCCGTGAGCTCCAACCAGTATTCACGAGTAACCCCAGTATCGGGGACGTCGTCAGATGGGTCTACATCAATGGAATAGTCACACCATTCTGAACGTGTGGTAGCAGTGTTTCCGTCACAGGCTGCTCTGGGTCGTAGATCCGAAGTGAAGGGAAAGGCAGTAGCATAGCCAGCTAGAGCTGCGATGCTGAAGATACAGCGAAGAAGCATGATATGGACCGAAGCGCAGTCTGATTACGCTAACAAAAAGAAGGACGTATCCACAACGAGTGTTCCCAAATAATGCACGAGAAAGGAGTGTAGAGCAATGAAAGCGAGTGTGAGAGAAGCTGGATGATTTCTAGTACGGAACGAGTGATTGACCTATATACTTTGGAGATCAGTATACCTTTGAGATTTCTTCACCTCACCCTGCTATCATATCACCGTGCAGACAATAGTCGACGTTCGTCGTCGTGCCTCAAACTGCCCCTCTGCTATCCCCACCAGTGTTCAACGCCGCGCGGCATAATACTGAGGCAGCGAAGACCTCCACATCGCAGAGCCGCTAACTTACTTTAGTCGACTCAGCCTAAAGCAAACTTTGTACGGCCCACATGTAGTCGTAACTATTCTTGTTAAGTCGATTGAAAGTTTAGGAGAGATTCCACCGACGGTGATAACATGACACGCGCAATCCATGATGATCATGAAACAAATCCAGGTTGTTGACAGAGCCTCGTCACGGGGGAACAGCAGGGTAACAAACTGTGGCTGAGAGCCGCGAAAGCGCCGCGCCTGAAGGCACGGGTAGCGCCAAGACACCGCACGTCCCATCACGACTCAGGAACACAAGCCACATGATTGGTTGTGTCTAAACAAACACCCACAAGCAGATGTTACGAACTGGGTGAATTCCGATATAGCCAGCATTCGTGGCCTACAGACCTGGTAGCAGGGAGTCACGCGGCGGACGCGCCCGCCAATAGTGCGAATCTTCCTGCGTACGTGTGTTGGGCGCCGAGTGTCGTAGGCATCGGATGTCGTCCGAGATAGCGTTGCGACGTTACGTCGGCTTTCTGATTCCAACGATAGGGCGTAGAGGCCTCGCGGCATGCTTGCGTTGCCTGTCCATATCTTGGGAAGAGAACTTTTCCACGATTGGTGTCGACTTCCATAAAAGAGTACATGCTGCAGGAAAAACAGACTGTCACCCAACTTTCCCCACACTCCTTTATTGACTCCTCTTCTTGTCAGATCAAGATCCATTCTTTGCAAGATGCGTCTCGACATGCGAAACCTTCTGGCTGCCTCCCTTCCTCTTGTCGTCCTGGGTGCGCGCAAGCGCGACGTGTCCCCGTCCGCAACATTCCAATTGTACGCGTACGGCGATGGCTTTGGTGGATTGCCGCTCTTCTATGCGGATGGCCTCGCCTACATTGGTGATCCGAGCCTTGCTAACAGCTCGGATGCTGCTGTCGTGATCTGTAAGTTCTGAGGTTTCACGGGTCCTTCCGTGTCCGCTTCCCAGCGACATGTGCTTCAACTCACTGACATCGTCAGTCACTACGGACTCTGATCACCACTTCGTCGGCAATCCAAACGTCACTGCCGGCGATATTGCGCCCTCGTGGTCCAACGTTACGTTGTTCGTTCCCGAGCCCTCGTCCGGCGACAAGCGTGTTGGCTTCCTTCCGCCGAACGATGGTACCGGCAACGCTACCACGCATACTTCTGGCTTCGCCTTCTACGGGTCCACGGCCATGCTTTACGGCGACGATGGCAGCATCGCGACCTCTTTCAGCGGCATGCAGTCGCAGAAGAACGGCATCTACGAGCTCTTCTGGAACGACACTGAAGGAACAACACCGTTGACGCTGAGAAGACAAGCACCTAGCAACAAGCCTAGTAACATAACCTCGGAAGCTCGCTAGATCGGGAGTAGACTATCTTCGAATGTTAGCTGTGACTTATCACTCTACTTCATAAATCAATGATATCGTCCTTCATGCTTGTATTGAGTGAGCATAGAGGAGTGCGGATTGCTGGCGTTTGTTTACTTGTCTGGTGATCAGCGAGGCGAATGCGATACAACTCTTCCCAATGAAAAGGAATGCCACTCCGAGCATCCGAGCACAAGGCATCGCATATTGTGGTGCCGCGACGGGTCCAGTACTCGTACCAGTATGGCGATGTGATGAAGAGGTCCCCATCAAGTAGAGCTCCTGCGAGAAAGCCTGGCGGCCGTACTTTTCCCACATCCAATGCAACCAAGCTGCATAACGAGTGTGAATAGCGCTGATGTTGGCCGATACCTGAAATAGAATTTCAAAACGAAGAGGTTCGCGCGACACGACTACACGTGACGTGGCGAACGTAGCGTAAGCTGCATAGATTCGTCATCGAGAGACCAGCCACCAGATCCTTCCAACGCAGCGATTTTGCTGCTGGGCTTGGATTTCCGCGCATAGCATGGATGCTATCCATCCTGGAGTCTGCAGTCGCGAAGTAATGTTGTAGAAAGCAACATCAATAGTGGTGGGCATTGCGCAGTCTCGGGATGAGGAGAAGCTCGGTCGTGGTGTGGCGATGCAAATGCGTCGGAACCTCGGAGGCGCCCAACTGCAACGCGCTAACTGTGCTCCGAGCGCACCAGATCTCCGCCGAAGATGTTGCGACACCCACCAGGCCACATCTTCCTTGCGCATGAGATGACACGCGATGATCGATGCCAATGCGATGCACTCTCGCGCAGTCAAGCTATAAGCACTGTGTGGACACCGATGACGAACTCTATTCGGAAGGGCGACAATTTCGATGCCTCTACGACGGAAATTTCACCGCTCAATTCCCAATCTCGCGGCTTCACGTCTCGACTTCAAGACGCATGCGACGATTCATTCCGCTACATCAGTCAGCGAAGCATTCGTGTACTTCGCCATCGAGAAGACTTTATCAGTTGAGAATAGTATGATCCGGCACCCGATCGTGGAGTTCGACATTGTCGCACAAGCAGTTGGATACCCTATTTGATCGACATCCACGCAGCATGTTATGATAGTCTTTGTGGTGACCATTGAGCGACAAATCAGGACTGATTGCCGATTTACTCTCATCCTTACTTATCTCACCCACACGTTCGAATCCATGGAAGACATGATCGTGCCGATTGCGTAGATCTAGGGTATGCGTTGAACGCATACCCGCAAAGCAACACAGTCATCGCCATTGACCAGAGTCTGCAATCTCGTGCCTTTCTGATCCATGATGTAGCGCTGCTCATGCCGATCCGTAAGCTCATTGTTATCTGAGACCAACGTCGTCGTCGGCAAGAGTGGAATAAGCAGCCACCTACGTCACCCCTCCTTTGATACATATGCGAACCTCTCACTTATTGGCGCGAGCCTATGATCAAGATCATCGCGTATTGATCATCTGGAGTTGCGCTGTCTCCAAGTGCGGGGAATGGTGATGATACTTAACCGTTGAACCAACGGTTCCATTTGACTTGTAAACTCACCTCTCCTGCACTTGAACTCTTTCCCACGACTGAAGGATCATCAACCATGCAACTCAGCTCTCGGAAGATACCAGGCTATGCCCTTGCGTCCACATTTGTGGCGCTCGGTGGTATACTCAATGGGTATGTCGTAATCGCAATCAATTCCTTTCGTGTGCTATAACATGCTGAAAAATAATGCACGGCGAAAAATGCTAACTTGCGGACAGATTTGATACAGGCTCAGTAGGTGCAATTACTGAAATGCCCTCCTATACTGGAACTTTTGGTCATCTCTCGCCAACTATGCGCGGCTTCACTGTCTCGTTGATCATGCTTTGCGGCGCCATCCCAGCAACAATCGCCGGATATCTGGCAGACCGGTTTGGGCGCTTACGCATCATGATTGCGGGCGCAGTACTGTGCACCATCGGCTGCATACTCGAATGCGCTGCGTTCCATCTTTGGCTGTTTCTCGTCGGACGTGCCTTGATGGGAATCGGCCAAGGGTTTGCTCTCACCAACATTGGGGTGTACATCTGTGAGATCGCACCGAGTCGAAGTCGCGGTAAGTTCGTATCGCTGCCGCAGTTTGGAGCGGCGATTGGGGTGTGCGTTGGCTATTTCTCGTGCTACGGAAGCATTCACATCAAAGGCGATATGTCGTGGCGCTTGCCATACATCCTCCAAGCGGCGCTCGCAGTACTGTGGGCGACTGGGTCTTTCTTCTTACCAGAAAGCCCACGTTGGCTAATCTTGCATGGAAGAAGAAGCCAGGCGATGGAAGAGCTTAAGAAATTGGACTTTGGGACAGCTGAAGCGGAAAAAGATGTGTTACGGCCTGTCGAGACTGCAGCTGCTGAAGACGAGATTGGAGTACTGGCAGGCTTACGCTTGATATTCACGAAAGATTATCGATCGCAAACATGGCTCGCAGTGTTTATACTGTCTTTCATTCAGCTCAGCGGCATCGATGGGGTGCTCTACGTATGTGTTGTGCCATGCAGACAAGATGTCATTGCACTTGCTAACACGATCTCCCAGTACGCGCCAACGATTTTTGCGCAAGCAGGAATACCGTCACAAACAGCATCATTCCTTGCATCTGGCGTCAGCGCCATCCTTATGCTCGCCTTCAGTATCCCTGCCACACTTCTCGCAGACAAGTGGGGTCGGCGCACGTCTGCCATCTGCGGTGGAGTAATCCTCTCCGCGACCATGCTTCTGATCGGCTCTCTGTACGCTGCGGATGCTGTACACTCATATGGTGCGGCACGATGGGTCGTTATCGTTTCCGTTTTTGTGTTTGCTCTAGGATACGTCTCTACCTGGGCTATCGTTGGCAAGATATATGCGTCGGAAATCCAACCCACCAAGACCCGTGCGACCACTAATTCGATGGCGACGGGTGGTAGTTTTGTGAGTAAATTGTTTATGCTGCCTATCCACGAACACTTCACAATTCCCTTGCGCATTGCTTACTGATTTGTTCCGATCAGCTCGCGAACTGGCTCGTCGCTTTCGCGACCCCAATCTTCCTGGCCAGGTCGGCCTATGGTGCGTACTTCCTCTTCGGTGGGGTTGCCCTCTTGACACTACTGGTGCTTGCAATCTGCATGCGCGAGACCCGGGGTTTATCGCTTGAGGATATACAGATTTCCTTTGCGCGATCTTCAGCACGAGTGTCGCCCATCTCTCTGGCTTGGACCCGAAGACGCGGGTTTGAAGGATAAGAATCCGCGTTAGGTCATAGTCCGTGATATGGTAGTGTCGTATAGAAGTAAGGAGAACTCACCGCGATATCGCAGGGTGTAGGAAGACAGAACGAGCTACGCACTAGACCAATACCGTGTACCTAGTAAATTGCAATGGAGATCTATCGGTCTATGATTACGTGTTCTACGCCAGACTCATGTTTATGATTCATCATGTAAGAGGAATGGTGATGGGTACTCTACTGGACCGCATCGTCTATTTGCCGTCCGCATTCTTGTAGCAAGGGAACCAGCATTCGAAGCTCTGCGTATTTGGAGCACTTCCATCAACGACCTTGCAGAAGCGTAGTGGTTGCCGGTTCGGGTCCGTGTCGGGGTCGGTCCAGGGTCCACGGCCGTTGCCCTCCATGTCCGAATCCCAATCGAAGAAATTAACGTTGACGCCGTCTTGGCCTGGTGCGTATTCGAACTCTAGCTTGCTACCAAAGCTGCCGGTGCGCTTCACCTGCAGATCGTTGGGAAGGCCCTGCAAGTCGCACGTATCGCCATCATTAGCCAAATTACACCCAACTGGAGTCGTGTCCTTGTTTTCCCAGTCACTGAGCGTGACGTCCTTGATAGTCGCGTCACCATCGCGCGTGAAGGCAACGCTGCACTGGTAGAGTTCCGCGTAGACTGTGTTGGACAGCTTGTACTTGTTGTCATCGCCGGCACGGTTGTAGTAGCTAGTGATCTTGCCGGTAGGGATCTTCTTCTCAAAGAGCTCGAACTGCATGCCGTCGGAACCGCAGACACCCCCTGGATTAGGATTCGGCTGGCAGAACTTGAGTTTACTCTGATCAGCACCGGTGATGTCGAATTCCACGTCAAAGAAGTCGTCGCGGACCATGTTCTGGTTCTTTACAATAGCACCCAGCTTGCCACCGATGGATCCGTTCTCGCCGCTTGGCATGCAGCGTAGACTGTTTGGTGCCAATCGATTCGGGTCGCCGAATGGGAACTGCTGGGACAGTGCAGGAGGCCACTCATCACATTGGTATTCACCTAAACCTGCCGTCTTGTCGCTGAACTTCTGACTAAATGGGAATTCACCACAGGGGCTAAAGCCTCCAGCAGAGCAGCCGGATGCCTCTCGATTCTTTTGGTTCTCGCCATTATTGCCATTCGGCCCGATGTACACGACCCTGTTTGGATTTGGGATGTTGGCGTATGGGGCCTACCGCAGACACGAGTCAGTTCTAGGTGAAGGTCATTGAGCTGGCGAATACTAACCACGCAATTAATGTAGTAACAAGCATTGTTACAAGCACCTTCTCCACCAACACATGATATCTTCTGGGTACCGAAATCCTTTCCAGCGCGCTTCTCGAACATTCTGTCTGCCCTTCCGGGTGCCACAATAGCAGGCACATTGTTTCCCTGCTCCAAGCCCATTGAGGCCCGGAGCAGCAGAGTAGTAGCCAGGATATAACGCATAGTCGACCACGGAACAGACTTGTTTGATGAGAAAGGTATCGGAAACCTCTGAGAGGTAGTGAAAAGCGCAAAGTACGAATAAGATGCGAGAAAGATGGCAAGCAACTAAGGAAAGTGTGAAGTCGAAGAACTGTGCTGGTAGTGAAGAGATATGAGTACGACATTCCAACCTCTCTTATACCACCTCAAGAATGCCCTTACTTCAGCGTATACTACTATCATTATCATAGTACTTTGATCCTGGCGGCTGCATCTTGGGGGCTGCACACTACATTTCTCACATTACCTCATACTCTCATGATACTCATGCTCAGCATAGTACCTAGGCATCCATCGGCGTAGAGCTAGAGTTCAAGGCCCGCCATGTCAATAAGCTCCGGCGTGTCTTAGATACAAAGGTCGTCTGACCAACTCGTCAGCACGTCTACAGGCGTAAGTATTTTGGAACTCTGCGAGGCCGCCAACGATGCGCAGCGCGAATGAGTATACATAACGTGAGGAGAATCGCGATGAATACAAATCGATGTTAGCGATGTAAGTTCATTGGCTGTGTTGGACGTGTTAGGGATTCAAGGTCTCCGTCTTAGCTTACGGTGCAGCTGCATGTCGAAAATAAGGTGCGGCGCAGCTGCGCAGCGGCCCCACGTAAGTAAGCATTCGCTCCGCCTCAATGCATGCATGTGCGAACGCAAGTGACGTCAGTCAGTAGCAGGACCATTAAGGCCGCCGCTTCTCCGCGAAGTCAAATTGGCAGCATTTGCAGCTTTCTTACTTCCAAATCATATCGACCACTACATACAACAAACATGTCCGACCCTCCCTACGCGCTCTTTGTCCTCAACAAGAGCATTACGAACGAGGTCAGTAACGCTGGGTGCATCGAAACTCTGCCGGGTACTAAAAATTACAGGATCTCAACTCCGTCCTTGAGCGCGCCTGCCATGGTGACGGCGACTCGGGCTGGAACTTTTGGGTCGCGACCGACTCCTACGACGACTTGCCGGCATGTCCAGAAGTTCACAAGCCATCTCCAGATGCTGGCGGAACTGAGCCTCCTATTCCATCCTCCTTCGTCTCCCCCTGGCTCGGCAAGACACCCGAAGACTGCGCAAAGTGGCTGCAGGCGATGCCGCGCACTGAATCCACAGACGAGAAGAAGTATGTTGTGGACACGCCCGTGAACCCACAGTACTTTGTATTCCTGAATGAGTTCTCAAAGGACGAGGATTTGGTGTTTGTGGCGCGTATTGTGAAAGAGGAAAGGGAAGAGATGAGAGTTGAGTATTTCCCGCAGTCGACCGACCAAGTACAGATGATGATGTGGACGAATTGGCAGTTCGACGAGAGAGCAATCATGTACCAGCGGATGCAGCTCAGCAAGAAGAAGCCGGATCGAAGCCAGTATGATGGACCGAAGAATTAGAACTAGAGATCCTTTACTTTACGAGACTACGGGGCAAGCGTCCACCAACAACAAAAGAGAGATGTTGATTTTCCGAAAGATGCGACATTGAACCCTAGTGTCTCGACGACATCATCTCTGAGAAGAGCAACTTCTCGATAACATCTCCTCTGCGTGTCGTGGCCTCAATGTATCATGTACGCACGACTGGTCTACGTGCGATCTCCTCTGCAAGAATAAGATAAGGTGGATGGATTAGCGTAGCCTGACTGATGATATAGCGTTAGAACTTGAAGGGTGAGGTCGAACGTCACAAATATGCGGTTGCGGATGGAACGAGAACGAGGTCAGGCCCTACTGTGGGGCTGAGGTCGATAATGAATCGACCCCAATCGCTGTTGCATACATGTGATGCAGTCATCCTTGCATTCCAGTGCTGCGCACCTCCCCAACCTTGGAAGGCTACTCAGCCTTGCGCCTCATCCTGCGCCACCAGATCACGATGAAACCACACGCGCTTTTCAAACGCACAATACAAGAGATCATACGAGCGTTCGATATCGAATAGATGGTTGCGCGTTGCAATAGTGCTTTTGCGAGCGTTAATTACGTTTTCGTGCAATCGTTGTCAGCTAGCAGCGGCACGAGCAAGAGGCTTTATACAACAGCGCATGCAGTGTGTTAATTTTCAACAAGATCATGACATCGCCAACCTTATGTGATTTACAAAGTACTACAAAGTCGCGTGTGTCAAAACAAAGCGATATTAGTTTCCAAGGTTGCGCTATTGCAGCGCGTCGATTGTAAGGTTGTGTCCCACTAGCGTTGGCGCGATGCCGAGGGCGAGGGCGAAGCGTGCCAGCCCCGCGTCCTACGAGCCTTCCCGGCTAACAATCGACAGCCAGGCCACCACCTCACCGCATCTCATCCTGGTTATCATTCTAACAAATGTAACTTTGGCTCACGTCCAAGCCGCAAAGAGGATGTGCAGCGAAGGATAGCGTCGTAGCTCTAGCCAAAAGCGGATCACTTTCCGTTCACAACCCCGCATCGGCAGCGGAAACCCCGAGTAACTGATAACCGCGTATCTAACTGATAACCCCGTATCAGTGCATGGTCCGCTAGAGATGTTGATATAAGCTCAGTAAAGCGCTTGGCTTCACAAGCTTCTGCATCTTCTGCTTTCACGTTGTTGGTTGAAGTCGGTGCAAACACAATGCCGAACATGACCACCGCGACGAGAAGTCTGGACGAACGGAACGCGAGTATGACACCAAAGCTCTCGATCAACGCAGAAGAAGTTCGGGAAATCGTCGAACTCGAGCATGCGCTCACTTTTCGCGAGGCCTTGTCTCTCTATCCCAAAGCAATTGCATGGTCGTTCTACTTCAGCTTGGGTGTGATTATGCTAGGTACGACAAGGTCGCCAACGTCTAAACTGTTTCTTACAATCGAGCAGCATTCGATCCTCAACTTCTCGGCAACTTGTACGCAGTACCTGCTTTTCAAAAAGATTTCGGCTATGCGTTCGGGGACGGGTACATCATCTCCGCCGCATGGCAGACGGGACTTGGAATGGGTAACCCAATTGGCCAAGTTGTCGGCGCGTTGGCCGCAGGTTATCCTATGGAATGGTACGGGCGCAAAAGAACGTTTAATGCATGCGTTATTGCTGTCGCGGGCCTGGTCTTCATTCAATTCTTCGCACGCTCACTTCCAGTTCTTCTCGCTGGAGAGCTTCTTGCTGGACTAGTACTGGGCACGTTTGTTGTCATCGCCCCTGTCTACGCATCTGAAGTATCACCCTTGGCTATGCGAAGTGTTTCGACCTCGTACGTCAATCTTTGTTTTGTCACCGGCCAATTGCTTGGAAACGGAGTTGCCGCTGCGACCCAGCATCTTCAGTCGCACTGGGCGTATTCAATTCCGTTCGCAACGCAATGGTTCTGGGTCTTGGTAATTCTCCCAGGAATGTTCTTTGCTCCGGAAAGTCCATGGTGGCTGGTGCGTCAGAATCGCCTGGAGGACGCCGAGAACTCTCTTCGGCGGCTCGCTAGCGACAAGGTCAACGTCAAGGCTGTGCTCGCACAGATCATCGAAACAGACAGACTTGAGACCGATATGGAAGCGGGTAGTTCATATGCCGACGTTTTCAAGAAGGTCAATTGGCGCCGCACGGAGATTGCGATCGGGGTGTATTCTACCCAGGTCCTATGTGGCGTGTATCTCATCAACTATGGAACGTATTTCTTCACCCTCGCTGGTCTTGAGACCGCGCAAGCGTTCAACATGGGCATTGGGTTCATGGCTATTGGTTGGGTCAGTGTGCTTTTGTCGTGGTATCTGATGCAAAAGTTTGGCAGAAGAACGCTGTTCAGCGTTGGCCTCACAATTCTGATGGTGCTCATGTTTCTTGTGGGTATACTTGACCTCGTACCTACAACAGGAGCGACATGGGCGAAGTCTTCATTGTAAGTGTACATTTTTCTGACGTTGAATCTTGTGCTGACTTTTCAGGCTCTTGGTGTGGAATTCGGTGTACAACTGGAGCGTCGGACCCGTGGCTTTTGCTATCTTCTGTGAAGTCAGCGCGACGAAGGTACGCTCGAAGACTGTCGCCGTTGCAACCGCCATCCAGGCTCTTTTCGGAATCATCATGACTGTCGCAATTCCGTACTTGATCAACCCAGACGCAGCTAATCTGGGTGGCAAGCTTGGATTCTTCTTCGGTGCTCTCAGCATCCCATGTCTGGTGTGGTGTTATTTCCGTGTTCCTGAAATGAAAGGTAGAACTTACGAAGAGTTGGATCTCATGTTTGAACGAAAGGTACCCACGAAAGCATTCAAGAATCATGTCATAGACTAGGAATCCCTCATGACAGATATGAAGTGTCACAATGGCTGCTTCGTTGGCAAGGAGTACGGTCTTGAATGGATACGTGCACGAGGAAGAAAGTATAGAAGCACAAAGATTTAATTTGCTACCAAACGAAGAAGAGGATGTTGCTTTGCATATCTTGATCACATCGACGGCCGTGTTTATGCTCCACATTCAACCTTTCAAGATTTCGCCCCCAATTCTTCACAATCGAATTCGCCAACAAACCCCCTCTAAGAACACTATCGCTTAGACGCATGTCAGATCGGCGGTAGCCTCGTCGAAAGTGCAGCGGTCGGTGTGCTCGAATGCAAGCTATGGTTATATCGTTAGTCGAGGTTCTCATGACCTTCCGTGTGTAGCTGGAACTTACGTTGATGAACCCACCGTCGCCCTCGGTGAAGAACTGGTTGGGAGCGGCAATGTACATGCACTCGTAGTCGGTGTTGAGAAGTCCAAGCTTAAACTCGACAGAGTTCTGACCGTCGATGTTGGCGGGGTCAGCGACCGAAAAGCCCTGGTTGTAGCAGGCGGCGGCTTGGAAACGGGCAGGGTCGGGATTCCTAGCCATCATCTCCTTGGTGGTTTGTTGGGTGAAGGCCTCCCGAGCGGAATCGAAGTTCTGGACGTCACCAATGAATTTGGCAGTGGCGCTGACGGCCTCGCTGACGACAGCGCTGACAGCTGCGGTACCAGCCGCGACGAGAATAGTAGCGAGAACTGGCTCGCGCTTGCTGAGGCTGTTCTCTCGGGCCTCGAGAGTGGCAACGCTCGCAGGGACGGCGGCGCCGTTGACGATAGCAGAGCAGCCGGCAAGAGCGGCAATGACGGTGGTGAAAGAAGGCATGTTGAGTGTTGAAAAGTCACAGACTTGAGGTAAAAGAAGCGAACTGGAGAGTGTTGAGAAGACGAAGTGAAGAAGTGAAGGCGATATGAAATGAATGAATGATGGGTAGGTAGACGACTGGACCTTACCTTTTGTACCTTTCTAGTCCGTCACCTTGATCTGAGTCCTGTCACCGTTTACTCACCCCATATCGCGAAGCCGAGCTCTCAGTCGGTCCGAGGACGAAGTGACCCCTGGTGTACCCTGCACGTCACATCTTCAAAACTTCTCTCCAGGTGCATTCCCTTGGCAGAGCAAACACTTAAGGTATTCAGTTGTACAACCTGAGGCGACGAGATAGAGGGGTGAGTCGCCGGAAACGATCTCGTGACTTGTTAGTGCCTGTTTCACGGGTACTGCCGATGTCACCATGGCTTTCAGCCTCAGTCTAGGCCTAAGAGTCATGACCACGCTCGTAACGAGGTAACGTGCCCGCGGCTGTCAGTCCACCCGTAGTGGCGTCTTGTAAAAGGTACCAATCGCGAATCGAAGCTTCGGTATGCGCCTCTTTTTGAACATCTTGGCATGATCCATCTGTAGGGCCGACTTGATCTTGCTTCATACGTAGGGCCGACTTGGTGTTACACACGGTTTCAGCTGGACAGCTGTCAGAATTAGCACAAAGATGTAGCCAATAATGACTACGGATACTTACAGAACGCTGTGAGGTGCATTGCTGTGACAAGGTCGCAGTCGTCTTGGCGAGCCTTCTAACACATGCGACTCACGTCAGAGCCAGGACTGTCGGTAGGGGAAGCCGAGAAGGCATGACTATTGCAGCTGTTAAGGACGTGCCCTTTCTCAAGATCGAATGTCAGCAAGGTGCCAAGCCTGTGTGCAATACACCGAGTTCTGCCAGCTGCAGACTTGGCTAATGCTATCGAGCTGCATTGAACACGGTCAGAACACCACTATCAAGGCGCAGCCAACGCATCGCCGCCCCGGCGAAACTCACCCTGTTGAAGCATTTCGCTACTTTCATGAAGGCGCTTTTCGACCCTCCCAATGTCTTCTTTGCACCCTGGGCAACTTGGCAATTGCCTCGGGTTTCTCACAATGTCCTAATAGACAGACAACCGGCGCCGATGCAGCCAAACAACAAGAGCAACAGGAGCAACGGACAGACTGCACACCACAAAAGTACAATGCTAAACGCAACACTAACTGCACAACACCAAAGGTACAACATAACGCTTACTCTATAGCTTTGAACAGCTCAGGCAACGTCTTCTGGCACAACGAAGCAGCAGGCGCGCTCTTTGAGCGTGCCTGCGACTGGATCCTCTCCACCTGTGCTTTTTGTCATCGTCGTCGTCGTCTTAGATATTGCCGTGGTCGTTGCTATCTTTGATCTCTTGTACCGATACGATAGTCGCAGCATGGACGACTGTACGCCTTGTAAGATGATCTTTGCTGTGCTCTAGCTGTACGGTGCGATCACTGTAGTGATTCTGGCAATTCGCAATGTTACATGGTGAACTGTGAGATCGAGAGACGCGAGTGAAACACGGCGGAGTGGACCTTCGATTGGCAACGCTGGACGGAGACTGCGTAGGAATGTGGGATCGGGTTACGATATGGCGTCGGAGAGGTGATGTAGGCTGGGCTGCATGCGATGGCGGTGAGGCTGCATCTGTTCAATGAGGCCAAGACTCCGCTGAAGGCTATAGCGATGCGCATACACCTCGTATGTATACACTGCGCATGAGGGGCGTGGATGTGTTTTGCAGGGTCGTTCTCCCCGAATAGAACCGACCGGATGTTGACGCATTCGACTCCAGGTGCTCTGGGCATGCGCGTGTATTATCCACATTCCACAATCACTACCAAGCGCTCTCTTGACCCAGATGATCAGTGTATGCGCGTGTATGTCTTCACCGAGCGATACCGACAGTATCAAGACTCTTCCGTCTGACGAGTTTTGTAGACGTCGGCTCCACAAACTACGCGCTTGCTCCTTTCTCTATGTGTAGACATCATTCTCACTGCCACGCCGTCGACGTATCACATCGTAGTGGGTACGGTATCGTGGAGTGATGGCACGTGGTGCTCGGTAAATCGAGGGCCGCGATGGAGCAGGCATGTGCTGATACGAGAATGCTGTGGCGATTAACCTGATGCTGGCAGTCGTATCACAATGCCAGGTAGCCATAGCTTCGGCGCCCTGCTTGTTTGTGTATGTGATGCGCTCATGGCGGAGGCAACTCGATCGATCGATAGTATAGCGGAATAGATGTCGTCGCTAGATATCGATGTGTATGCTGGCATCAAGGCAGTAGGAAGCCCGCTTTCGTCCACTATCTATTATGTCGCCGGCTTAACTACGTGCGCATACTACAGCAAAAAACAGCACACAGGCTATAGGGTTAGAGTTACATTTTTGCCCCTAAGAGCAAGATAGTAGATGTCTGCCTCTAGAAGTAGGATAGTAGGTGTCTACCTCTAAGGGCAGGATAGTAGATGTCTACCTCTAAGAGTAGGATATTAGATATAAACGTATAGTAGGTGTCTACTTCTAAGAGTAAGATAGTAAGTATCTACCTACCCTACCCGAGAGGATGTGCGCGATTGCACTACAATCGCGCTGTTTTGTTAGTAGCGATAAGAATGCGATAAGAAGCGAGGCGTAGGATCGCGGTAGTAGGATCGCGGTTAGCTAGCTACACTAGAGAGCTAGCTAGAGAAAATCGAAAGAAGCCATTTTGTGCAGATTTACGCCAGGATTTTAAATCTCCATTCGGTTTGTCGATAGCTGCTCTCCTTGTTGAGATATCTGCGCTCAAGTGTAGAGGTGGAGTTTTGATGTTCCTCACGTGACTGCACGCTGCACAGCCACTATTGCAGCGCTCTAGCCACACAATTTAATATAGAATTACGCCACAATTTCAAATCTGTATTTAGTT